CCAGTAGCCTCGAAAATAAGGGATCAGCAGCCAAAATAAGGGATTTTCCAAGCACAGGTATGTTCAACTTCCGAGCCCCTCCAAGCCAAAGACAGAAAGCCCAGCCAGCAGCCAAACGAAGCCTCAAGCGGTGGTTCCCACAGCGCAGCAACCCGGCAAAGGGATGCAGCAAGGAAAACCACCGTCACTTCTCCGCTGGGAAGCGCTGAGCAAAGGCAAGTCCCCAGGCAACGCGGCCAGGCACAAGGCATGCAAGCTCCACCCCCCAGTCGTTCTTAGACTCCTTATTGGGTGAGCAACGCAGCCAAGCAACACAGTTGGAGCCTCCCTCCTCCCTGGCCAGTAGGGAGGGAGGGAAAGGAGCTGCTTCCTTTAAAACCCGGGAAATTTAAGGGACTTCATCAATAAGGGACAGCAGCGGGAAACGGCGCTGGGATAAGGGAGTTTCCTGCCAAATAAGGGACAGTTGACAGCTATGCCAGGAAGTGGAGTGGGAAGATTCCAGCTGATCAAAGGGAGCAATTGCTGATGGGACACAATTCATACCTAACTTAAGAAGATCTCAGACTATTGCCCCTTTCTTACACTACAGAAAACCAGTTTGTCTTGCTTCTCTCTCTCTCTCCTCACCCTTTATACGGGGCGATTCATTCATGACTCGTGCTGACGACAGATGCATTATAAATCCCACCCCCCTCAGAAAATGTCATTTTCAGATGGGCTAAAGGGACCGTTTGGGATATCCTGCTATGTTTGGTCTTTGAAAAGGGTGAGCACGCAGAACGTTTTGAAGAGCCTTCCATGAACTACGTGTGCTGGATTTTTCCCTCGCTGTCCGCACGACATCCTCCGTAGTCCAAACAGATCCCGACACTTTGGGTAAATTAATGCCCTCATTTTCCTTCCCTGTGTAAATCCGCATTGTCTCCTGGTGTGGAAGACCAGAAATTCTCCTTTAAAAAAAAAAATTGAATCAAAATCTGGTGCTCTAAGCCGATGACAGGATAGGAGACCAAAGCTGCATTTTTATATTTGAAGGATGTTCTGGTAGCCTAAAATCCCAGCACAACACCTTCTTGGTTTACAAATCCAGCTTCTTCTTATTTATTTTTTTTAAAAAACAATATGGTGCTGGGTTGATTCACAAAGCAGGTTTGCTTCACTGGTGCGCGACGGCTGTAAAGAAAGAGAACGCATCGCATTTTTGTTTTAAAGCCGACACGTAGAAGAATCACAGGAGAGGGAGAAGGAGCTCCGGCTGATGGAAATAATCCCTGCTGCTGATCATTAGGATGGTTAATAACCCTGGTGATTGCAAACACCGTAATGATTGCAAGCGTATTAAATTGCATGGGGCAAGTGGATGAAACACATTCGTCAGGTCCTGCTGGATAAGTTAAGCCACGGGTCCCGAGTTCAGTTCCCAGAACATCCAGATAGGACTGGGAAAAGATTCTCTGGCTGAAATCCCGGAGAGCTGCTGCCAGCCAGTGTTGGCCATACTGAGTTGGATGGACTGGGGGTCTGGCCCAGTAGAAGGCAGCTTCCTATGCACCCATGTTTGCATGGCAGAGAGAAAGTGTGTGTCGTCAGCTCACCCCGTCCCACATGGGGAGAAAGATGTCGGAGGGAGGAATGATCAAATACTGATGGCCCCAAACTGGGGGAGATTAGCAGCCAAACCTAACACATGCATATTCTTGCTAGATAGCCTGAGAAGGGGTTAATACCATAGTGCTGAATTGCTGGTAGGCAGACCATACTCAGACCATAGAAGTACAATTGGTAGAGAGGGCTCTGTGTGATGTCATTTCCCCTCCTCTCCTGGAGAGGAAGGAGCATAGAGTACTTCCTGTTCCCCTATCTCTTCCTTTGACCGGCGTTGGATACAGACATGCCTCTGTTTGTCCCAGCTTCAGCCACATGCCTGAGGCTGGTTATACTGTAAATATAAGTGTTTTACTTGAATAGTTTTTACTGCTGCCATTGCTAATCAATGTGAGTAAATTATAATTTTAAACTTACTTCCCATGTTGTGGTAAGAAAGAGGAGCAAGCTTACTTCATAGCTGGACTTGCTCAAATATCTCAAGGGCTGTCGCATGGAAGATGGAACAAACTTGTTTTTTTTCTTCCTGCTCCTGAGACCAGGACCCAAACCAATGGATTCAAGTTTAAAGAAAGTAAATTCCGACTAAACATCTGGTGGAACTTTCTGAGGGTTTGACACGATTCTGCGATCCTCTGTTGTTGGCAATGGAGGTGTGCGCCTTTGGGGATGAAGTCAAACTCAAACTGTTGGAGAGTTACAGTGCCTGCTGTGGCTGTAGAGACCGATACAGGAGAGACATGTTTTGTTGCAGCCAGGGCAGATGAAGGCGTCTGGTTGTGCTGCTACACATGCACCACGGCGTTTCTTCTCTCTATGCTCCTCCTAGAGGTCATTCCTCCTCTGGTCACTGCTTATTCTAACCTCACAACGCAGTGTTGATCGAAACTCTGCAAACCTGTAAGGTGAATGGCCTGGGTGGGGACCGTCCAGCGCTCTGTTGGAGAGCACACACTTTGCTTGCAGAAGGTCCAATTTGTGGCGTCTCCAGAACCAGCAGCAGTCTTCAAGGAAAGATCTCTGTTAGAGCAGAAAATACTGGGGTGGGCAGACAAAACAGCTTTCGCGATGCACAGAAACTGGGTTTCAGAGGCATTTTCCGCATCTCGGACTCTCCTCTCCCTTGGCTGCCCTCTCGTTTGTCTATACAAACTGCCAGGCGACTTCAGGAACCTCTGGACCAGGCTGCACTTCTGTTCAGGGAGAAATAAATAAATGAAGCCCTCGGAACATTTACCAGAATGCATCGGTTCACCTTGAGGGTCAAAGCACATCCTTGCAGCACACTTAGCTGTGTCAGTCTGAAAGGAGACAGTTCGGAGCTTCGCAGCTGCTGTAGGATGAAATATTGATAAGCTGTCGCTCCTCAAACATCCGGGAAGAACAGTTTCCCCAATCAAGCAGTGTCACCGAATTAAAGACGATAAAGAGCTGGTCAGAGCTCTCCATTCTTTTGGGGGGCAGGGGATTAAGAAAACAGGTTGGCAAAAACTTCAACGTTGGGTTTTTTAAATATTGAAGACACCTTTGGTCGTGAAAGGGGCGGAATAAATAAATCAGCTGCGACTCCGGCAGCCAGGTAGCCTAACCTTTCTGCCAAGTCTTTTGTGGGCTGAATTCTGATGCTGCCCGTTTCACCGCCTCTGCAATTCTTGAGGTAAATGCCGGCCATCTCTTTCAATTATGCAAAGAGCCTTCGCAGACCAAGTCTAGATTTGGCCCTTTAGAAAGGAAGGGAGGAAAAGAAAGCCTAGATTTGATTTGGAGCATTCCTGCCCAATCAGGGTGTAGCTGGATGTTACAGGGATACGAAACTGCTGAGTGGCGGCAACAGAGCTGATGATTAATAGTGCTGATAAATAATACCTGATAATGTAGGAAAAGCTTTGGAAAGCCATCTCCCTGCAGAGACACGAGTAGCTTATGGATTGGACAGAGGTGGCTGCCTGTTGGTACCCTGTATGGTTAACTGTTCCTGTCTTTCACCCTCCCAGGAGAGCATGTGCAGAGTACAGTGGTACGTCGGGTTAAGTACTTAATTCGTTCCGGAGGTCCGTATTTAACCTGGAACTGTTCTTAACCAGAAGCACCACTTTAGCTAATTGGGGCCTCCTGCTGCTGCCTTGCCGCTGGATCACGATTTCTGTTCTCATCCTGAAGCAAAGTTCTTAACCTGAAGCACTATTTCTGGGTTAGCGGAGTCTGTAACCTGAAGCGTATGTAACCTGAGGTACCACTGTATGTTGATGGCTAGAAAAAAACTGGTGGCACAAAATGGGTGTCACCTCTATCCTTAAGGGTTGGTAAATCGAGTGGCAGAGGTGATAAAATTGACTGAGAGGGTTGTTATTGTTTAGTCATGTCCGACTCTTCGTGACCCCCTGGACCAGAGCACGCCAGGCACTCCTGTCTTCCACTGCCTCCCGCAGTTTGGTCAAACTCATGCTGGTAGCTTCGAGAACACTGTCCAACCATCTCATCCTCTGTCGTCCCCTTCTCCTTGTGCCCTCCATCTTCCCCAACATCAGGGTCTTTTCCAGGGAGTCTTCTCTTCTCATGAGGTGGACTCTCATGAAGGAGTCTCGGCTTCAGGATCTGTCCTTCCAGTGAGCACTCAGGGCTGATTTCCTTCAGAATGGATAGGTTTGATCTTCTTGCAATCCATGGGACTCTCCAGAGTCTCCTCCAGCACCATAATGCAAAAGCATCAATTCTTCGGCGATCAGCCTTCTTTATGGTCCAGCTCTCACTTCCATACATCACTACTGGGAAAACCATAGCTTTTACTATACGGACCTTTGTTGGCAAGGTGATGTCTCTGCTTTTTAAGATGCTGTCTAGGTTTGTCATTGCTTTTCTCCCAAGAAGCAGGCGTCTTTTAATTTCATGGCTGCTGTCACCATCTGCAGCGATCCTGGAGCCCAAGAAAGTAAAATCTCTCACTGGTTAAGAAAAGCATCAAGGGACCTTGTCTGAAGCGGTTTTCTTGTGCCGAATTTACAAGGACCAGCTATAATTTAGATTGGAGGTGGGAAAGCATTTGGCGCTCGGGGGCCACATTCCGTTCTGGATATCCTTTCAGGGGCCACAAGATGGTGGGCGGGGCCAGTGGCAAAAGTGGGCGGAGCAGTGAGTGCGAACAGATTATTGGTTTGTCTTTGTTCTGATTTTTAATTATGTATTTTGTGGTTTTGGTATTGTAATTTTAGGTTGTGAACCGCCCTGAGATCTACGGGTATAGGGCAGTATACAAATACAGTGGTACCTCAGGTTATGAACGCTTCAACTTACATTTTTTCGGGTTACGAATGATTGTAACCCGGAAGTAAGTTGTCCAAGCTCTCGGAGGCCTCGCCACTGCCTGGAGGCAAACCCAGACATTGGTGGGGCCTATGGAGCTCTCGGAGGCCTCCGCGAATGCAGGGAACCAAGCCCCGACATCCACGGTGCCTAGAGCGGCTCTGCGTATGCCGGGATCCAAATCTGACATCTGCGGTACAGTGGTGCCTCGCAAGACGAAATTAATCCGTTCCGCGAGTGTCTTCGTCTAGCGGTTTTTTCGTCTTGCGAAGCAACCCTATTAGCGGCTTAGCGGATTAGCGCTATTAGCGGTTTAGCGGCTATTAAAGGCTTATCGGCTTATCGGATTAGCTGCTAAAAGGCTATTAAAGGCTTAGCGGCTTAGATAAAGGGGGGGGGGGAGCTAAAAAAAAATCTCAAGACTCGCAAGACATTTTCGTCTTGCGAAGCAAGCACATGGGAAATTCGTTTTGCGAAGCACCTCCAAAAGGGAAAACCCTTTCGTCTAGCGGGTTTTCCGTCTCACGAGGCATTCATCTTGCGGGGCACCACTGTACCTGCAGGGCTCCGTGGATGTCGGGAGGCAAGCCCCAGCATCCACGGGGCCTACAGAGGCTCTGCGACTGGGCTCCAGCCGCAGGAGCTCTCTGAGGCCTCCACGAATGCCGGGAGCCAAGCCGATTGTGATTCTGGAAGAGGACCCTGAGCCCCCTCCAAACAGTGAGTTTGGAAATAAATTTTTTCATCTAAAATACTGTCTTATTTATTTTATAGTACAGTACATGGATTATTGCCTTCATTTTATGGATCAATGGTCTCGTGAAACAGTAAAATTTGTGTTAAATTGCTGTTTTAGGGGGTGTTTTTTCGTCATGTGGAACGAATCAGTCCACTTTCCATTACTTTCAATGGGAAAGTCCGCTTCAGGTTAAGAACGCTTCGGGTTAAGTACAGACTTCCAGAACCAATTAAGTACTTAACCTGAGGTACCACTGTAGTAATAATAATAATAATAATAATAATAATAATAATAATAATAATAATTTGTACAGAAGTAAGGCCCACTGTGTTCAGTGGGACCTTTTCTCTGATGGGAGGAGAGGTCCTAGGGAATCTGAGCAGGACCCTGTGCTTCAGTTCTCTTTCTGTTTCGGAATGTGTGAATTATTAGGTAGGTTCGTGTCATTGAGAACTGAATCTACTGAGAAGGTTAAATCATTAGCAGGATTTTAACCACACTTGCGAATTAATGGAAAGTATGGATAATTTGGAAGGATAAAACTTGGATGGTATTGGTATGCAGTTGTAAATATTATCACTAGGACCAATGGAAGAGATGGGGAGGAAGTTGGGAGATTCAGAGCAATCTCAGTATTTTGATTTTGATTTTGTTGTTGTTGTTGTATGTTTATATTGGCTAAAATCATATATATATATATATTATATCTCACAACTGAATCTACTGAATCTACTGCCATCCCTAGTCACAACACTCTTGCTGCAAGAGACTGACTCATCTATAGCTTTGGAAAACATATATTTTGCTCTCCGCTATATACAGTACCAGGGATGCAGGTGGCGCTGTGGGTTAAACCACAGAACCTAGGGCTTGCCGATCAGAAGGTTGGCGGTTCGAATCCCCGCGACGGGGTGAGCTCCTGTTGCTCGGTCCCTGCTCCTGCCAACCTAGCAGTTCGAAAGCACACCAGTGCAAGTAGATAAATAGGTACTGCTCTGGCGTAAACGGCATTTCCGTGCTCTGCTCTGGTTCACCAGAAGCGGCTTAGTCATGCTGGCCACATGACCCAGAAGCTGTACGCTGGCTCCCTCAGCCAATAAAGCGAGATGAGCGCCGCAACCCCAGAGTCAGCCATGACTGGACCTAATGGTCAGGGATCCCTTTTCCCTTACCTTTACCTTTATATACAGTACCAACCTTTCCTTCTTCTTCTGCAACTCGTATGCTTTTGTAGCATTAGATGCTGCAAATGTTCAGTCTGAGTAAGAAAGGGGACTGGAGTAGTTGGGTTGGGTTCTGAGCTACCACCCTCCCTCTCTTCTGTAACCTCAAAATGCATCTGCCAAAATGAGAAGAGGCAATGGCCGTGGACGATGCCGTCATTCCAGGCTGATGTCCCCACCTAACCTGTCAGATGCATCTAGCAAGGACTCCCTGGACCAGTTTGAGCAAATGGCATCAACTTCAGCAAAGATACTTGAGATACTTCCCAGCATAGGAAAACGGGAAATTCCGCCTGGGTCAAAGTTGCAATCACCAGAAGACTGTGAGAAGGTGCTTTCTAGCTAAACCACCATGGGATGGTGGCTCCCAGCTCTTGCTTCTCAGGGGATCAGGGTGGAATATGTTTCATGTTAATAATAATTCTGTAGCTGAGACCACATCTTTGGATATTGAAGTCCTCAAGCAAGTCTGGCCAAGGTTGTCCACCATGAGGAAAAGGTCTCTTGGAAGTGCTGAGAAGACCTCTCTTCTTTATGATTGCATTGCCTGCCCCTTTACAAACATGGCCATTGGGGCACCCCCAAAACCTGACTTGCACACCCACAGTGTGACTTATCTGCCTTGTTGAGAAGGCCGGTGGAAAGGACTCAAGTGAGCTAGCGTGAGGCTCGCTGTTGTCTTTGTCATCTGCACGCGGGCAGAGGCTGTACTGCGCATGCACGATCACATACATACATAATTGCATGCCTTTGTAGAAATGTTCTTCTGATTTGTTTTGGTTCTAGATGATGCAATAACAGTGTTTTCTGGTCCATGAGTTACCATATCGTGGCACTTCAACTGATGGCTGTTTGTTTTCAGGTGGACAGTTTTCTTACACACACACAAATGATTTGATAGAGGACAATATTAGCCAAGTAGGTGGTGCCCATTGGACTGGTAGGGTGGAAGGCAGACAAACCAACTGTACCAATAACAGGGTTGAGGCCACAGCCAATAACAGGCCAGAGCCAACTAATTCCAGTTTTGCTCCCACCTTCCTCCCTGCTGAGTTCTACAAGGGTAACACTAAGGACACATGCGCAGCATACATTTAAAGCATGATGCCCACCATGGCGTCCCTCAAAGAATTCTGGGAGCTGTAGTTTGTTGAGGGTCCCATCCCAGAGCCACAGTTCCCAGGCAGGTTAATCAACCAGCCCCTCTTCTCATTGTAGCTCTGCGAGGGGAATGGAGGCCACATTACCACAACTCTCAGCACCAGCCACAATCTACGTTTCCCAGAATTCTTTGAGGGGAAACCATGACTGTTTAAGGTGGTATCACAGTGCTTTAAATATAATGTGTGCAAGTGCCCTGAGATGGAGGAGGAGGAGGAGGACAGGCCAGCTCCCTGGACTGGTTGTAAATAAGCAGGTAGGTAGGTAGGTTGGGGGGCTGGCTGAGGGTTGGTGGAGTGGATCCCCATTTGCCCAAACAGGCCAGCTTGCACCGGCCCAGTCCTTTGCCCTCCCAATTTTGGGGAGCTTATCCGCCAAACTGATGCACGCCTCTTTCTCCCCAGGTGCCTCACGATCCTCTGTCGTCCGATGCAAGCCGGGAGCCAACTGCCCCAACACGCAGAGTGGCCTCCGCAGGCAACATTCCCCCTTGTCTGCCGCTGAAGATTCTGCTGCTCCCATTCTAGAGCTGCAGAGTCGAAGTCCCTCCGGATTTTGCCGGCACGGCAGAGGAGAGAGGCAGAACAGATCAGGTAGGCACCCCGTAGCCTGAGCGTCACGGCTTCCTGTTGTGCCTTGGGTACCAAAATAAAATTTGAAAAAAGCCTTCCCTGCCCCAACAAGGCATGAATAGTTTATTATTGATGATGATGATGATGATAAGGTAAAGGGACCCCTGACCATTAGGTCCAGTTGTGGCCAACTCTGGGGTTGTGGCGCTCATCTCGCTTTACTGGCCAAGGGAGGCGGCGTACAGCTTCCGGGTCATGTGGCCAGCATGAATAAGCCGCTTCTGGCGAACCAGAGCAGAGCACGGAAACGCCGTTTACCTTCCCGCCAGAACGGTACCTATTTATCTACTTGCACTTTGATGTGCTTTCGAACTGCTAGGTTCGCAGGAGCAGGGACTGAGCAACGGGAGCTCACCCCATCGCGGGGATTCGAACCGCCAACCTTTTGATCGGCAAGCCCTAGGCTTTGTGGTTTAACCCACAGCACCACCCGCGTCCAATAAGAAGAAGAAGAAGAATAATTGCATTTATATCCCACCTTTTTCTCCAAGGAGCTCGAGGTGGCCTTCTCATTTAATCCCCCATAACAACCCTGTGAGGTAGGTTAGGCTGAGAGGAGGCGGTGACAATCTCAAGGTCAGCCAGTGAGCTTCATGGCCGAGTAGGGATTCGAACCCTGGCCTCCCAGGTCCTGGTCCGAAACTCTAACCGCTAGCTCTCACTGACTCCTACACTGGACCTACATATTTTGGGAGTGGCATAGCAGGGGAAGGAAGGTTGTGTGAAGAAAGACACTCCTCGCTCTGTCCTCCATCCAGGCCCAGTTCAAAGACAAATTCCAGCCAGGCAAAGACCCCTGTGGAGGGTGCAGAGAACGCCGAGGGGTGTGGTTTGGGGAGGGGTGAGGCCTGCAAAGAGCCCCAAGGGCAAGGGGCCTGGAGGGCTGCATTTGAATTTTAGACCTGAGGTCTACTACCCCTGAGTAAAGAAATTAACCCAAAATATGGTGGGTTCGTAGCCCAGTGGTAGAGTTCCTGTTTCTTGTGTCCCAGGTTGATTCGTACCCCTCTCTTAGAATCATAGAATCATAGAGTTGGAAGAGACCACAAGGGCCATCGAGTCCAACCCCCTGCCAAGCAGGAAACACCATCAGAGCACTCCTGACATATGGTTGTCAAGCCTCTGCTTAAAGACCTCCAAAGAAGGAGACTCCACCACACTCCTTGGCAGCAAATTCCACTGTCGAACAGCTCTTACTGTCAGGAAGTTCTTCCTAATGTTTAGGTGGAATCTTCTTTCTTGTAGTTTGGATCCATTGCTCCGTGTCCGCTTCTCTGGAGCAGCAGAAAACAACCTTTCTCCCTCCTCTATGTGACATCCTTTTATATATTTGAACATGGCTATCATATCACCCCTTAACCTCCTCTTCTCCAGGCTAAACATGCCCAGCTCCCTTAGCCGTTCCTCATAAGGCATCGTTTCCAGGCCTTTGACCCAACTCTTGCGGATGGGTTGTTTTTTTGGTGGGTACAAAGGATGGCTGGTCAAAATGAGATGTGTCGTGTCACGTTGCAAGTTTGCAGCGAGCAAGTTGCATCACAGAAGACTTCTCAAGTAGGACATATGAGCCCCAGGGACAGAGGTGGAGCTAAATCGGATCCCGGGGGGCCTCTGAAAGGCAGTTCAGTTTTGCCACCGAAGCAGCGATGCTTTTTCTTTCATTCATAGGCAGAGAGAAGAGAAAGAAGAGAGAAAACCAGAGGAAGGACCCATTTTTGAGATTGTTAAAAATTGAGATTTGGACTGGGGGGTCTTTTTGTTTGCTTTTTTGGAGGATATTTTGAGTGTCTGCCTGTGTGGGGGTTTTTTTGGGAGGGGTAGCGGGCTTTGATTCCTATGTTTTGTTTGTTTTTTGGAGGTGCCGATGTTTTATCTATTGTTTAGGGCGAGGAGGTTCGGAGCACAGTGGTACCTCGGTCTTCGAACGTAGTCTGTTCTGGAAGACTGTTCAACTTCCAAAACGTTTGAAAACTGAGGCAGAAAGGGAACTGAAAAAAATTATATCATTTACTTCCGGGTTTTCAGCATTCAAAAACCGAAACATTCAGCTTCTGAGGCGCTTGGAAACCGAGGTACCACTATTGCCAGCTTTTATGCTGTGAAATGGGCGCTTTGTGGTGCCTGTGGCAGTTTCTTAGATTTCCAAATGTGCCCTTGGCACATTTTCAACGCCACAGAAGGGGACCTCTGGCCTACTCCGACTGGGAGCAGTTTTCCAGGGCCTCCGGGGAGAGAAGGGTTTTTCTTGTCCCTTCATGCTGGAGACGTTTTCAAGTGGAGGTAGCATCAGGGATTGAAGCTGGGAGCGCCACGCAAAGCATGAAGTACACCCATGTCCCGAACAGAAAGGAGTCTCAGTGGGTATTCACTTTTTGTTGTTGTTGTTGCTTTTGATCTGCAGGTGATACGTAGTTGGCTGTCTCTCCATCACGTGTGCTACGCTACCTTTGCGTTGAAAAGAATATGGTGGAATAAGCGAAGTGACAACATAATTTTACGTAACGAATTGCGCAAATTGCTTAAGCAATACGAATAACACCATTTTGGGCAAACTGTTGAATCTGACCCTGGGCCTCTCCAGGCTGGTGGTTTTGTGTGGCAACGTGTCTCTGAAGCGATGGTGATTATGCGTTAGTGCTGGATTTATACAGTGGTACCTCGGGTTACAGACGCTTCAGGTTACAGACTCCGCTAACCCAGAAATAGTACCTTGGGTTAAGAACTTTGCTTCAGGATGAGAACAGAAATCGCGCAGCAGCGGCACGGCATTAGCAGGAGGCCCCATTAGTTAAAGTGGTGCTTCAGGTTAAGAACAGTTTCAGGTTAAGAACGGACCTCCAGAACGAATTAAGTTCTTAACCGGAGGTACCACTGTACTGGACTGCCCACACACAATATTCTGCTTTATTAGTTGTTCAACACAAGATAGTATCACCGAGGCAACTACAGTCATACCTTGGTTGATGAATGCCTTGGGACTCAGATGTTTTGGCTCCTGAACCCCACAAACCTGGAAGTGTTTGCGAACGTTCTTTGGAACCCAAATGTCTGTTCTGGCTATTGGTACTGGGGCCCATCAGCCAATCGGAAGCCATGCCTTGGTTTGCGAATGTTTTGGAAGTCGAATGGACTTCCGGAAGGGATTCTGTTCGTCAACCAAGGTACATCTGTATTTGTAAACAAACAATAAATGTCCATAAAAATGGCAAAAGCAGTTTCTTTCCTAAATAGATGTTATCTTCAACAATAGCAAACACACTAAAGAGTTTACTTGTAATATACCAGTGGTTCAGTGCTCATTTCTTCTCTTTCCAAAATAAATTTTATATTGAACAATTGCAAATGCAGTAATAAAGAGTCCACTTATGATATATCAGTGGTTCAGTGCTCAGACGTCGTTCCGGAAATCAGATGTTTCGTTGCAAAAGAGCTTAATCATCGAGCTTTGCAGTAAATAATATACAAGAGAAGACAGTGTGTAAACGACTTAAAGCAGGGGGATATCTGTCTCTATCTGCATGTTTCCATTGGTAGGAGCATAGAAAGAGGATGATGTCCTTCAGTTTGAAGGCGGTTTCACTGCATTTGCTATTGTTTAGTTAAACCACAGAGCCTAGGACTTGCTGATCAGAAGGTCGGTGGTTCGAATCCCCGTGACGGGGCGAACTCCTGTTGCTCTGTCCCAGCTCCTGCCAACCTAGCAGTTCGAAAGCACGTCAAAGTGCAAGTAGATAAATAGGTACCGCTCTGGCGGGAAGGTAAATGGCGTTTCTGTGCGCTGCTCTGGTTTGCCAGAAGCGGTTTGTCATGCTGGCCACATGACCCGGAAGCTGTCTGCGGACAAACGCCGGCTCCCTCGGCTTATAGAGCGAGATGAGCATGTAACCTCAGAGTCGGTCACGACTGGACCTAATGGTCAGGGGTCCCTTTACCTATTACTAAGACAAAACCTATTTGGGAAAGAAACTACTTTGTCATTTTTATGGGGGTTTATTTTATTTACAGATAGTTGCCCTGGTGATATTATCTTGTGTCGATTGCAATAGTCATTGTACTAGGTAAAGGTAAAGGGACCCCTGACCATTAGGTCCAGTCGTGGCCGACTCTGGGGTTGCGGCGCTCATCTCGCTTTACTGGCCGAGGGAGCCGGCATACAGCTTCCGGGTCATGTGGCCAGCATGACTAAGCCGCTTCTGGCGAACCACAGCGTCGCACAAAAACGCCGTTTACCTTCCCGCCGGAGTGGTACCTATTTATCTACTTGCACTTTTGATGTGCTTTCAAACTGCTAGGTTGGCAGGAGCAGGGACCGAGCAACAGGAGCTCATCCCGTTGCAGGGATTCGAACCGCCGACCTTCTGATCAGCAAGTCCTAGGCTCAGTGGTTTAGACCACAGCGCCACCCACGTCCCAGTCATTGTATTACAACCCTGTTTATTGTTTTATTGTTAGTGGTTCTGCAATGCTTCCCTCACAGGCAGAGCTGTCTTAAGCATATGCAGCACCGGGGTGCAAAGATCCGTCTGGCGCCCCCCCCCCCAGGTTGCCCAGTCCCAGGTGCGCAGGAGGGCGGAGCCAGCTGGCCACCTCAGCGTCTCGCTGGCTCTGTTGCCCCCAAACTCGCGGTGCAGTTCTGTCCACAGCAGAAGAGCCTACCATAGTGCTCTGACTAACAGGCGGGCTCTTCCGCGGACTCAACTCTTGGGCCCTGGACTCTTGGTCTGGTAGCCCTGAGAGCCTGGCACCCGGGTGCCGCGCACCCCTAGCGCCTATGGGTAAGACGGCCCTGCTCACTGGTACCCTTTTATTACCACAGGTCTGCACCAGACACTGAGCTGGGGGGGCGCCATCTTGAAGCCCGGTAACTGAGGCTCTAGGCCTTGGGATGGAGACATGGGGATCTGGCAGGGTCCCAGAGTCCTCCCTTCTCCTTCCCAAAGCCTGGTTAGCATCCTCTCAGCTTTGGGGAGGAGGTGGGAGGGCTTTAGAACCCTGCCAGAGCCTTTCTTCTCCTTCCCAAAGCCTGGCGCCCCCTTACTCACCATTGGGAAGGAAGTACGAAGACTAGGAAGGAGGTTGCCAAATTTTGAACTCATGCAGGGTACTTTAGTACCCAAGACGACCACTGATCAACATCTGGAGGGGTCCTGTTACACTACAGCACAACGATAGCTGGACTGGAGAAACATCAACCAGAATATTTGTGGTCACTGGGAGCAGCCGCTGAAACCTTTTAACACCGGTCCTGAAAGACCTACATGGGCTCCCAGTACGTTTCTGAGCACAATTCAAAGTGTTGATGCTGACCTTTAAGGCCCTAAACGGCCTCAAAGGCCCAGTATACCTGAAGGAGCTTTTCCACTCCCATCGTTCAGTACCAGTTCCGAGGGCCTTCTGGCAGTTCCTTCCCTGCAAGAAGGGAGGTTACAGGGAACGAGCCAGAGGGCCTTCTCAGTAGTGGTGCCTGCCCTGTGGAACGCCCTCCCATCAGATGTCAAGGAAATACAGTGGAACCTTGGTTTTCAAACGTAATCCATTCTGGAAGACCATTCAACTTCCAAAATGTTTGAAAACCAAAAACTGAAAGCAGAAGCCTCAAATCAATAGGGAAACTCTAAATGGAAGCTGCATAGCACATTTGGCTTCCGAAAATAGTTTCAAAACGGGAGCAGTTACTTCCAGGTTTTCAGTGTTTGGGTTCCGAAATGTTCGTGGATGGAGACATCCGAGAACCGAGGTTCCACTATAAACAACTACCTGACTTTAGAAGACATCTGTCAGGGAACTGACATCGGAGCTAGAGGCGGAGGGGAGGCTCTCAAATGATGCTGGAGAAGGGCCCAGCAGGGAGAGAGGCAGCTCAGCAGATGGGGAAGCAAATAAGCGCAACACCAGGGATAAAGGGGGGCAGATGGGGGAATCGGCGAGAGGGCTCCAGGACTCTTCACCGGACACCAGCGGGGAGAGCACGGGTCCTCCGCTACCCACGCCCTCCCTGCGCAGAAGGCTTCCGCGCAGGGAGAGTAGGAGGAGACTTGGCGTCAAACAACTTTTATGTTGGAAAAGGTTTAAGAAACGCCCACTGACGGATTCTGCTAGCGACTGAGGCAGCCACGAAGTGAAGGGCTGTCCAGGCAGAAAGGTTTAAACAAGGCAACATAGCCAGGAGAGGCGGCAACTTACGCACGAGCAACCCATACTCATTACAACATCTGAAGGCAGTCCTGTTTAGGGTAGTTCTTAGTGTTTGATCTTTTGCTGTATTTTAAATATTGCTTGGGAGCCACCCAGAGTGGCTGGGGAAACCCAGTCAGATGGGTAGGGTATAAATTGTTGTTGTTAAAAGTTGCAATATTTCGGCAGGAAGTTATGGGGCACACACTGATTGAAGCAAAGCGGTATGTCCGACCGGATGGTCAGTGGTCACATGCTAGCAGTGGGCGGGGCCGGGGGAAAGTGGGCGGAGCAAGCACTGCAAATTTTGCTTTTGTACAGTAGGATAGTTTTTGTGTGGACTCACTCAGAGCCTTCTCTATGCTCTATCCAAGCAAGGAGGACGCATCATCATCAGAGTTCACTGACATATGCTAGTCAGACGGAAAACACTCCAGGAGAGCACAAAGCAGGGTGGGTAAGGGGTGTGGTCAAGGAGGGGTGTGGCCTAGGGAAAGTTCTGGGGGCCAGGCAGACAGACCTGGGGGGCCACATTCCATTTCAGATTGCTCTTTGTCAACCAGTTGGAGGCTTCTAGGAGAAGGAGCCTGGGGGAAGACTGCCTTGTCTACTTGCCTTGAGGTCTCCTTTGGGGTGGTGCTGTGAATTGGGCTCAGAGGGAGAAGGTGAGGAAACGGTGATCGGAACAAGGGAGATGGGTTTGGTCAGGGAGGGAGGGGTCCATTGAGGCCATTTTGACTGCACCCGACACCCCCCTCCAAAAAAAACACAACAACCCTGGAATTAGCACTACGTACAAGCAAAGCAGCAGAGGGGGAAACAGCTGCCACAGGCAGAGATGTATGAAGAACATACAGTGAGAGTGTTTGCCCCACCCAGGAACCATTCTGGGCCCAGGCATAGCACAAAAAGCCTTCTCTAGAGGCTTCAGACATTGGGGGCAGTCACACATAATGCTAAACCATGGTTTGTTCAGCAAACCTCAAGTCATCTCACAAAGAAGCCTGCAGCTTTTGCCTTGTGCCTCCATCTCAAGGCTGTCAGGCCGCTAAAGTGATCCACGGTCTGCAGGTCATCAGCAAACCATTGCTCCAGGTCATGGTTTGTTGCCAGAAAACACACAATAGTTCATCTACTGGGCTGGGTTCAGATGTCCAAACAAACAGCGTTTGGGGTAAACAACCATGGTTTTGCTTTGTGCATGAACCAGGTTACTAGTGTGAACCAAATTCCCAGAATTTTCTGACCTGGTGATGCTCGCTTTCAATCAACAAATGCATCTGGTTCCATGCCCTCTTTTCAATACCAGCTGTGTGGCCTGGGGTTCCTCCTTTCAGATATCGGAGGTCTCAATCCCCCTTTAACAGTCACCGCTGCCTCTTTTTGCAGGGGAAGACGGGACCCAGGGCCACGGGGAGAATGGCAGCCAGGAGAGCCACGTTCAGACCCGGTGCGAGTCCTGTACGTCCACGTTCCTCAAGATTGTCTGGGGATTTCTGATCATCCTCTCCGTCTCCTCCTCCTGGGTCGGAACAACGCAGATTGTGAAAATCACATACAAGAACTTTGATTACCCGTTTTTCATGACTTGGTTTTCCACAAACTGGAACATTATGTTTTTCCCAGTATATTACTCCGGGCATCTTGCAACGGCGCAGGAAAAGCAATCTCCAATCAAAAAATTCAGGTAGGCCTATCATTTATTTCATTCCTATCCCACCATTTTCTCCAGGGAACTCAAGGTGACTGACATGGTTCTCCCCCTCCTCATTTAATCCCCACAATGACCCTGTGAGGTAGATTAGGCTCAGTATACCTGAAGGAGCGTCTCCACCCCCATTGTTTTTCCTGACATGGAGTTCCAGCTCCAAGGGCCTTCTGGTGGTTCCCTCACTGCGGGAAGTGAGGTTGCAGGGAACCAGGCAGAGGGCCTTCTCGGTGGTGGCACCTGCCCTGTGGAACACCTTCCCATCAGATGTCAAGGAAATAAACAACTATCTGACTTTTAGAAGACACCTGTTTAGGGAAGTTTTTAATGTTTGATGTTTTATTGTGTTTTTAATCTTCTGTTGGAAGCAGCCCAGAGTGGCTGGGGCAACCCAGCCAGATGGGCGGGGTATAAATAAAAATTATTATTATTATTATTATTATTATTATTATTATTATTATTGAGGCACTGGCTGGCTCAAGGTTGCATCCAGTGAAGGTTTCATGACCGAGTGGGGATTCAAACCCTGGCCTCCCAAGTCCTAATACAGCACTCTAAACCACTACGCCATTCCGGTTCCATTACGATGGCGAGGAGTCTTCCTGGGTAGAATTGATCGAAGGCCCATCTATCAAGCAAACACAAAGCTGGGAAGATGCTGGACTCAGGTCACACTTTGACATTTCTTTTTGTGTTTGTCCACACCCTGGATTTTAAGACTCCTGTTTTCTTTCCCTTGTGTGTGCAGGGAATGCAGTCGGATCTTTGGCGAGGATGGTCTAACGCTGAAACTCTTTCTTAAAAGGACAGCTCCCTTTTCTATTCTCTGGACTTTGACTAACTACCTTTACTTGCTGGCTTTGAAGAAGCTGACAGCCACGGACGTCTCGGCCCTATTCTGTTGCAACAAAGCCTTTGTCTTCCTGCTCTCGTGGATTGTACTGAAGGACAGGTTCATGGGTGTAAGGGTAATGACCTCCGCCATAACCTCTCATTCTCCTTCTCGCTCCCCATTGTGGGTAGGCCATGCGCCATGTTGGCTTTGCAGTGAATATAACCAGAAGGGGCATCAACTTTGGTAGAAATGGTTTTGGTGAGCTGAGGGATTTAACAGCCCCCAGGCGATTCTGAAAACCTTGGGTTGCGTTCATCGGAGTCATTTTTATGGAGAAATCTCACCACCAGGTCGCTTTTCCTTGTGATTCTTCCACAAGGAAGGTCTCATAAATGTTGCCCTCTGGTGAGGAAACTGAGATACAACAATGGGAAAACTAATCCACTAAAAATGTATATATATACAGTGGTACCTTGGGACGGGGTGAGCTCCCGTTGCTCAGTCCCTGCTCCTGCCAACCTAGCAGTTCGAAAGCACATCAAAGTGCAAGTAGATAAATAGGTACCACTCCGGCAGGAAGGTAAACGGCGTTTCCGTGCACTGCTCTGGTTTGCCAGAAGCGGCTTAGTCATGCTGGCCACATGACCCGGAAGCTGTACGCTGGCTCCCTTGGCCAATAAAGCAAGATGAGTGCCGCAACCCCAGAGTCGGCCACGGCTGGACCTAATGGTCAGGGGTCCCTTTACCTTACCTTGGTTCTCAAACGGCTTAGTTGTTAAACAAATCGGCTCCCGAATGCCAAAAACCAGGAAGTAAGTGTTCCGGTTTTGGAACGTTTTTTGGAAGCCAAACATCCAAGTGCAGGAAGCTCCTTCAGCCAATCGGAAGCCGTGCCTCGGTTTTCGAACGGTTTCAGGAGTCGAACGGACATCTAGAACGGATTACGTTCGAGAACCAAGGTTCCCCTGTAATGCAAACTTATTTGCATACAACCGGGGTTGTATCTTTCTTTAACTCCTCAGGAACACATTTTTAAGGAAAACTAACTGGAAGGATGACTGGAAAATGTTGGAGTGTAGACATTGCTAGTAGAATTTCACCCTTATTGTGGGGGGGGGGGCAGAGGCACTCACCTGACCTCCCAAGAACTGAGTCCCTTTTGCTTCTCTGTAAAGACCGGGGTGGGTGTTGGTATTCTTGAGAGTGTATGGATCAAGGCCATTGTGCAAAATGAAGAAATACAGCTAATCAGCCATCTGCCTTTTATCTAGTATCACCGATGCCAATAAGGACATGGTGGGAGATATTTCCCTTAGAATTAATGATAGTGGAATAATAATAATAATAATAATAATAATAAAATAATAATAATAATAATAATAATAATAATAATAATAATAATATCTGGCCGGGTTTCCCCAGCCACTCTGAGTGGCTCCCAATAGAATTAATGGTAATAATAATTTTTAAAAAACGATAAAACATCAGACATTAAAAGCTTTCCTTAAGAGGGCTGCCTTCAAATGTCTTCTAAAAGTCAGATAGTTGTTTATTTCCTTGACATCTGATGGGAGGGCATTCCACAAGGCGGGTGCCATCACCGAGAAGGAACCCTTTCGGAAAGATTGAAAGATGTGTGCTGTAAGGGATTGTTTAAGAAGCAAATGCTACCCATCAGTATTAAAAGGAAAGGCTTTCTTTAAAGCCACCGTTCCTGATTTCTGTTTCCGTAGCACAACAAAGCCCCAAATGCTCTCCCAAAATAACCCGTGCATCTTTTCAACTCGCGGCACCGTCAATTAATGTTTGCCCTCGCCAGTTAAAATTGTCCTCCCAACGGCAAATTAACTGAACGAAAGCTTTCGTGGGTTAATCCGTTGATTAAACCGATCTGAGCTTCCTGCTCCAGTGTTTATTCCATGGTTCTCTCTGTCCAATTTACTCTGCCCCTTAATGAACACAAATATAAACAAGAGGAGGCAGATAAGCAAACCGGTGGGATGAGCCGATGGAGGAGGATGCCATTCTGCCGCGATGCAGATTGAAGAAGCCAGGAGATCTTTGCAGGGAATTGAAAGGAGAGAGGGGCTGTTGCACTCAAGATCAGCTTCCCAAAGGCAACTAGGATTCTGGAGTGGAGAGTGTGGCGGGAGAAATTTGGTTCCGTTTGTATTTTAAAATCTGCACTTCTCTGAATTTTGAGGTGCAGTTCTGCAGCCAAGGAATGTAGAGTAGTACCTCGGGTTACAGACGCTTCAGGTTACAGACTCTGCTAACCCAGAAATAATACCTCGGGTTAAGAACTTTGCTTCAGTATAAGAACAGAAATTGCATGCTGGCAGCGCGGCGGCAGCGGGAGGCCCCATTAGCTAAAGTGGTGCTTCAGGTTAAGAACAGTTTCAGGTTAAGAACAGACCTCCAGAACGAATTAAGTTCTTATCCCGAGGTATCACTGTATGGGGACACGGGTGGCGCTGTGGGTTAAACTACAGAGCCTAGGACTTGCCGATCAGAAGGTCGGCGGTTCGAATCCCCGCGACGGGGTGAACTCCCGTTGCTCAGTCCCTGCTCCTGCCAACCTAGCAGTTTGAAAGCACATCAAAGTGCAAGTAGATAAATAGGTACCGCTTCGGCGGCAAGGTAAACAGCGTTTCCGTGTGCTGCTCTGGTTTGCCAGAAGCGGCTTAGTCATGCTGGTCACATGACCTGGAAGCTGTATGCCGGCTCCCTTGGCCAATAAAGCGAGATGAGCACCGCAGCCCCAGAGTTGGTCATAACTGGACCTAATGGTCAGGGGTCCCTTTACCTTTACCACTGTATACAAAAATGCATGTTTTTTTGTGAAAATACCATGCAAGCATCTCCCCACAAACCCAGGGGTTATGTTCCTGGTAACCATGCGTATATGTGAAATCATATATGGTGGGGAACACCACCTAAATGCCTGTAAACAGCCTCTAAACCTCTGGAAACCCTTGAAAAACTCTTTAAAAAATCCGCTGAACTCCACCACAATTGCTCCCTCCAAACCTCCTTTCTCAAACTCCAACTCTCCCCAGGTCTCAAAGGTTGGTGCACCTGCCATGGCTAGCTTTTCCCCCACACTTCTCGCACAATTCTTGCAGTTTCCCCGCTCTTTCTGGGCCATTCTAGCCCTTTACGCAGCTTTCTGCAGCTTTAAATCAATTTATTCGATTGTTTTGCGGTGCCACGCGTTATGCACGAGCTCAAGTGGGGAGACGCCTGCACAAAAGGGCATTCTAGCAAGGGAAACTGCTTAGCAGAAATGTGTGTGTTTGGAGAATGAATTTGTGCTAAAATGCTTTTGAAGATTAGAAAAATTCACGGAGGCTAAAGCTATATTGTGGCTGCTTCTGCTCTGCTAGGAGGCAGTAATGCGGCTGAACATCAGTTGGTGCAAACCACAGGATGGGAGAAGGCTCTCGCACTCGGGTCCTGCCTACCAGATTCCTATGGGGATCTGGTTAGCCACTGTGAGAAAAGGATGCTGGATTAGATGGACTATGGGACTGGTCCAGCAAGAAGGCTCTCTTAGGTTCTCATGGCTCTAAGGCTCTTCCCAATAAGCAGTCTCCTTCTCACAGAGTGTAGCCCACGTTGACTCATGCCTTCTTTTTCTTCTTCTTTCTTCTTTGGCAATCCCTTGTAGCCGAGTAAGATTGTCTTCCATAAACACAGTTTTAAGAATGAGTCCGTAAGTGACTGTGGAGGCCAGTTCTGGATCCACACGTCCTTCCTCAGTGAGGACATAGGTTTCCACCAGGAGTTGATCATGGTGAGGGTTTGCAAAGCATGCCTTCCTCTTGGCACGTTTCTCCCTTGGGTCCTGAGTTCGAGTTTCTTCAAAGCCCATGACACCTTTGGTAAGGGCTGTTCTCCAACTGGAGCGCTCACAGGCCAGTGTTGCCCAGTTGTCTGTGTTTATGCTATATTTTTTTAAGGATTTGCCTTGAGAGAGTCTTTAAACCTCTTTTGTTGACCACCAGCATTATGCTTTCCATTTTTAAGTTGGAAATAGAGTAGTTGCTTTGGAAGACGATCATCAGGCATCCGCACAACATGACCAGTCCAACGGAGTTGATGTTGAAGAACCGTTGCTTCAACACTGGTGATCTTTGCTTCTTCCAGTGCACTGGCATTAGTTTGCCTGTCTTCCCAAGTGATGTGTAACATTTTTCGGAGACACTGTTGATGGAATCTTTCTATTTCTCACCCAAATGACAGTGGGCTATCATAAATAGGCAAGTGACAAAGATGTAGTAAGATCTCAGAGGCTGCCTGCACAGTCGAGAAACACACACCAGCAACGTAAGGTTCCCCATTCACACTGTGTACCTTACAAAGTCCTTGATGAGTACTCCTCTTGCCCTGTTAGCCCCCAAAACCATCATTCCTTCATCCATTTTAAAAGACCGATAAGAGAAACAAATCTGGTTTGGGAGCAGCCTTGCCCAAATTGCTTTTAAATCTAAAATATCCTTTACAATCATAGAATCAAAGAATCGTAGGGTTGGAAAGCGCCAAAGAGTTATCTAGTCCAGCCCCGCAAGGCAGGAATCTCAGCTGAAGCATCCATGACAAATGGCCATTCAACCTCTGCTGTCAAACAGCTCTTACTGTCAGAGAGTTCTTCCTGAAAAAGTCCCTCCGCCAAATTTTGTGAAAAGAGGATATGCGCTGTTATAATAATAATAATAATAATAATAATAATAATAATAATAATAAATTATTTATTCCCCAGCCACTCTGGGCGGCTTCCAACAAAACACTAAAATACTGTAATGCATCAAACATTAAAAGCTTCCCTAAACAGGGCTGCCTTCAGATGTCTTCTCAAAGTCTGGTAGTTGTTTCTCTCTTTGACATCTGGTGGAAGGGCCTTCCACAGGGCGGGTGCCACTACCGAAAAGGCCCTCTGCCTGGTTCCCTGTAACTTGGCTTCTCGCAGCGAGGGAACCACCAGAAGGCCCTTGGAGCTGGACCTCGGTGTCCGGGCAGAACGATGGGCGTGGAGACCTTCAGATATACTGTTACCAAGACAACCCCCTTGTTGTCCCCATAGTCCACACCGGGTGGGGTGGGGGTCCCCAAGTGGGCAGTGGGGTTACCAGGGTGGGGAGTGCTAAGGGATATAAATGACTACCAGACTTTGCAAAGCTGGTATCGCAGGACGAAGTTCGTCCATTTCGCTGAATGAATTAAGCTGAATAGTTTCAACTGGATTTTGAGTAAACATGCAATTAATTGTTACTGTTCTGAATTTTATTTAGCCATTACCTTCCTTAGGGAGTCCTGCAAAGCACTATTCTGAATAAGAATGCTTTTAAAAGGGTAGGGTAAGGGGCACTGGGGAGGGGTTTGTGGAACAGGGGCAGAAGCAATATCCCAAAAAAGTTTGGGAACCACTGGCCTGTGCTTCCATTATGGTGGTCTGTCCCCACTCAGAGCCCCCTATACAAAGGGAAATTGAGAGAGAGAGAGAGAGAGAGAGAGAGAGAGAGAGAGAGAGAGAGATTAGTTTCCGGGCCCAAGTCAACAACGTGCTGGTTTTGATCTGTAAAGCCTTAAACAGCTCAGGACCTCAATACCTCAAGGACCACCTCTCACCATAGGAACCTACCCGGACCCTAAAATCATCTTCTGAGGCCCTTCTTCATGTGGCCCAGGGGGTGGCAACACAAGAACAGGCCTTTTCTGTGGTGGCTCCCCATTTTGAGAATGTTCTCCCCAGGGCGGCTTGCCTGGGGCCTTCATTATATATTTTTAGGTGCCAGGTGAAAACATTCCTCTTCCACCAGGCGTTTGGCTAATTAACATTATATGCCCTTTTAAATGTGGGTTTTTTTGAGGGGGAGGCTATTGCTGTGTTCATTTTCTTATTTTTTATTAAGTATTTTGTGTTTTTTACATTGTGAACTGCCCTAAGATCTACGGATGAAGGCCTGTACGCAAATTTAATGAACAAACCAACCGACAAACTTCACAACATCTCTTTCCGAGTGACACAATTGCTCTAAATTTCTTTCTTTGTGGATTATGCAGATAGTTGCTGCAATCATGGCCATCACTGGAATCGTCATGATGGCGTACGCAGATGGTTTCCAGGGCGATTCGATTATCGGGGTCGCGTATGCTGTTGGGTCTGCATCGATGTCGGCGCTGTATAAGGTAAGGCCTTGCACACTTTCTTGCTATCTTAATGCTTTGAAGGAGGAGAGGAGCAAAATTTGACCTGCAGGAGAGCAAAGCAAGTTCTCCATGCTGTGAAGGCCCCTTCCTTCCTTCCTTCTCTTCCCTCACCTGATTTACATTCTGCGCCAGGTGCGTCAGGGGAAAGTTACGACGGAGATAATTACTTTTGTGGCCCACCAAGGAATCAGCTTGGCTTCCCTTTATCGAGTCTTAATGAAAACTCTATTATTCCGCCGCGGTGAGATTAGCATCTCTGAGTCCCTCATTTTCCGCGCCGGTGTTTTTATCGACGCTCGCTGTGCATGAGTGGGAGAGAATGTTGAAATGTCGAAGGAGGACCCCTCCGGTGAGAGGAGGAAGGTGTCGCCCACGACGCCCCTCTTTTTTGGAAGTCCAGCCTTACAAGGACGCGAGGGATTCTTGCCACGAAGCTAACAGTCAAGAAACAGTGAGGAATCAACTCTTGTCAAAAGTGCACCCTTACAAAGCTAGGAGAAGGCTTGTCCGCCAGTCCTCCTGGGTGGTACTGTAGTCTAAACCACTGGGCCTCTTGCGCTTGCCAATCGGAAGGTCAGCGGTTTGAATCACCGTGACGGGGTGAGCTCCCGTTGCTCGGTCCCAGCTCCTGCCAACCTAGCAGTTCGAAAGCACGCCGGTGCGAGTAGATAAATAGGTACCATTGTGGTGGGAAGGTAAATGGTGTTTCTGTGCACCCTGGTTTCCATCACTGTGTCCCGTTGCGCCAGAAGCAGTTTAGTCCTGCTGGCCACATGACCCAGAAAGCTGTCTGTGGACAAACGCCGGCTTCCTCGGCCTGAAAGCGAGATGAGCACCGCAACCCCATAGTTGCCTTTCACTGGACGCAAACGTCCAGGAGTCCTTTAAAGGTAAAGGTAAAGGGTCCCCTGACCATTAGGTCCAGTCATGGCCGACTCTTGGGTTGCATGCTCATCTCACTTTATTGGCCGAGGGAGCCGGCGTACAGCTTCCGGGTCATGTGGCCAGCATGACTAAGTGACTTCTGGCGAACCAGAGCAGCGCACAGAAACGCCGTTTACCTTCCCGCTGGAGCAGTACGTATTTATCTACTTGCACTTTGACGTGCTTTCGAACTGCTAGGTTGGCAGGAGCAGGGACTGAATAATGGGAGCTCACTCCGTTGCGGGGATTCGAACCACCGACCTTCTGATCGGCAAGTCCTAGGCTCTGTGGTTTAACCCACAGCGCCACCTGCGTCCTTTACCTTTTACCTAAGTCTCTCAGCTTCTCCTAGGTGCGCACTCGATGAGGCAGTTGCTGCCACAGAGCTGCATGCAACCTGTTTCTGCTCCTCTCTCTTCAGTCCTCTCCTGGTCCTGGGAGACAATGGGAGCAGGAGGAGGAGCTGTGGAAGCCCTTGACTCTAGCCGAGACTGACCTCTCCTTCCCTCCTCCTGCACCCATTCTTCACTCTTCAGTCCTGCAGTTCGTCCTGCCTCTTCCTCTCGTCTCTCAGCTGTTTCTCCTGGTTCACTGATCCCTCCTTCCATGTCAGTCTCCAATCCCTCTTCTCCCTGTGCCCAGCCAGTCCCTGACCATGCCTCCCCACTTCAAGAGCTCTTTGCTATCTTCTGCAATGGGCACGACAAACTTCCAGCCTATGAACTCAAAGCAGCACCCAAGAGCTGGCTGGTTTTCCCCCTGGACTCTCCCAGGTCATGCCCGCACAGGCCCCGCCCTCCATCCAGACCACGCCCCTCCACACAGGCCACACCCCCTCCTCACAGGCCACGCCCCTCACCAGCCCTGCCCTTGTTGAGCAGAGTGAGGTGGCCACTTCAGGTTGGAGCTTTTGCGCGTCCCAAAAGGACACCACATTGCTATTTCAATGGGTAGATAGTCGTAGAATTGTTGGGTTGGAAAGGGGTTCCAAGGGTCATCTAGTCCAACCCCCTTAAATTTAACGTTGTCGCCTTCTTGCTCCCAGGATTCTGTGCCTCAGGTGTCAAAATAACTTGACCAGCTTTGGGGAAGTTGCACCATGACTTTGGGAGGGAGGCTAACCCTTTGCTGTGCTGCCTCGGGCACCGAAATATATTGAGTTACTCTGTTCCCCAGAGACCGGGGAGGTTGCACTCAGCCTGAACTTTTCCCCCCTTCCCCCCCATTTAGGTTCTGTTCAAGATGTTCCTTGGGAGCGCAAACTTTGGAGAAGCGGCCCATTTCATTTCTACCCTTGGCTTTTTCAACTTGGTCTTCCTTTCCTTTACACCGATCATCTTGTATTTCACTAAGGTGGAGTATTGGTCGCCCTTCTCGGCCGTTCCCTGGGGCTACCTGTGTGGAATAGCCGGCCTCTGGCTAGGTATTTATCCCTGTTTTATTGCTTTACCTGAATGTTTACGATTTGCACAACCGTCTCAAGGTGGCTGCGTGGATGGTGGAGCGAGCTTGCTTTCCCTGCTGCGGAGGGCAGGATCCGAACCAACGGATTCGAATGACGAGAAAGGAGACTCTGACTAAACATCAGGAAGAACTTTCTGACAGCAAGAGCTGTTCAACAGTGGAACAGACCCAGTGCCAATTGTCAGGGGTGATGAGAGGTCCAACAATATCTGGTTGGTCGCAGGTTTCCCATCCCATTCGCTCTACGCGGGGCTGCCCTTGAAGCTGTCCCAGAAACTCCAGCGGGTGCAGAATGCAGCAGTGAGGCTCCTCACGGGGTCTCTGCCATGGGAGCATATTCACCCAGTGCTTTTCCAGTTGCACTGGCTCCCGGTGGAGTACAGGGTCAGATTCAAGGTGCTGCTTTTGACCTTTAAAGCCCTTCACGGCCTAGGACCCTCGTACCTACGGGACCGCCTCTCCTGGTATGCCCCACGGAGAGCCTCAAGGTCCATAAATAGCAACACCCTAGAGGTCCCGGGCCCTAAGGAAGTTAGATTAGCTTCAACCAGAGCCAGGGCCTTTTCAACACTGGCCCCGGCCTGGTGGAACGCTCTGCCTCATGAGACCAGGGCCCTGCGGGATCTGATTTCTTTCCGCAGGGCCTGTAAGACAGAGTTGTTCCGCCTGGCCTTTGGCTTGGAGCCAATTAGATTCCCTCCCCCTCTTTCTTTTTTCTTCTTCCTTTTTCCTCCTGTGATGAGGCTGCATTTTAATATTTTAATGTTTCAATATTTTAATGTTGTATTTTAATTTTGTTTTAAGTTGTAATCATTCAACTTGTTTTTATTATTGCTTGTTAGCCGCCCTGAGCCCGGCCTTGGCTGGGGAGGGCGAGGTATAAATACAATATTATTATTATTATTATTATTATTATTATTATTATTATTATTATCCCTGATCTATATTATTATTATTAATATTATTATTATTATTTGCTAAATGTATTCGTTGCTTTTTTCTTGCCAAAGGCAACTGAAAGCAACAAACAACTGACAGCCCACCCACAGATCTGTTAAAACGAAGAAAAAAACAGAAAAAAATAATATATTTACTTCCTTGATGGATTACATGTTGCATAGTTCTTACCGGAGGGCTTTCAAGAGGGAGGGGCGGTAAGCTGAAGGCGACTCATTTTTTATGTTTATTAGCTACGAGCTGAGAAAGGGTTGTAGCTCAATAGTGGAGCAACTGCTTTGAGTGCAGAAGGTCCCATTAAGGCTGAGTGAAGCATGCGCCTAACTTTCAAGTCCCGCTCCTTTCGACAAAGGGCTGCAGCCCTAGTTCATTTTGCTGGGGGATATGCCCTATAAAACCCTGTGGGACTTTAGGTAAAGGCCACAGCTCAGCAAGAGAACATCTGCTTTGTATGCAGACGGTCTCAACCTGTCAGAGACGTTCCCCTTCTGACAGGCAAGAGAGGAATCCAGAAGGGAAGGGGAAGAGCCAGAGAGTACAGTGGTACCTCTGGTTTTGGACAGAATCCATTCCGGAGCTCTGGTTGGATCCCGAGGTTTTCACAAGTGGAGGTGCCTGTTCTGCGCATGCACGCGGGGCAAAACCCGGAAAAATACCGTATTTTTTCCTCTATAAGACACACTTTTTCCCTCCTAAAAAGTAAGGGGAAATGTGTGTACCTCTTATGGAGCGAATGCAGGCTGCGCAGCTATCCCAGAAGCCAGGACAGCAAGAGGGATCACTGCTTTCGCTGCACAGCGATCCCTCTTGTTGTTCTGGCTTCTGAGATTCAGAATATTTTTTTTCTTGTTTTCCTCCTCCAAAAACTAGGTGCGTCTTATGGTCTGGTGCGTCTTGTAGAGCGAAAAATACGGTACTTCCGGGTTTGCCGTGAGCATATCCCGAAGGATACGTAACCAGAGGTGCTCGTAAGTAGAGGTACCTGATTCCTTCACACAGTGAAAGCGAGATTTCTCACTCAGGAATGCAGCCTGGCGGTTCTGAAAGTAACACAGAGCAGAGAGAAGAGGATGCAACAGAAGAGGGGGAAGGGATAGTAGGACCACAGTCTCCGAAAAGTTGGAGATTGAGTTGTTTGGCAGAAAAGCGCATGACAGGAAAGAGGTGGGGGGAAAGGTGCAGAGTATCTTGCTTCAACCAGAAAAAGAAGCTAGATCCGTCAACTGACTCTGAAGGTGACGAATGAGTTCATGAAGCTCAGACTGCTGAGCCCTGTAATTGCTGAATAAATCTGAAGTAATAAAGATGTCAGAGGCTGCGTCTTGTGTGGGAGAGACTATCAAACCTGACACACACGCCCCCCACAGCTTTTTAGACTTTCAAATGGGTAACATTCCCAACCCAATCTCGAGATGCTAGGTAATCTGTTTGTATCCTCCATGAATTTGTTTAATCCTCTCTTCACGCCATCCAAGGAGATGGCAGTCACTTTCTCCAGTGGGAGGGAGTTCCACAGTCTTTCTTGACTTTTCCCAAACCCTTTCTTGACTTTTCCCAAAATTCAAAGTCCCAAACCCTATAACCTTTCCTCATAGGTCGCTCCATCCGATTCATCATTTTGGTTGTCCTTTCCTGAACAGGTGGGATTTGTCATCCAGGGGTCAGCAAACTTTTTCAGCAGGGGGCCGGTCCACTGCCCCTCAGACCTTGTGGGGGGCCGGACTATTTTTTTTTGGGGGGGGGGAATGAACAAATTCCTATGCCCCACAAATAACCCAGAGATGCATTTTACATAAAAGCACACATTCTGCTCATGTAAAAACACGCTGATTCGCAGACTGTCTGCGGACTGGAATGAGAAGGCGATTGGGCCAGATCCAGCCCCCAGGCCTTAGTTTGCCAACCCATGATCTAGAATCTTAGGAGGACAAGGCACTCTGGAAGAAAGATTTATTTACTGTATTTTTTCCTCTATAAGACTCACTTTTTCCCTCCTAAAAAGTAAGGGGAAATGTGTGTGCGTCTTATGGAGCGAATGCAGGCTGCGCAGCTATCCCAGAAGCCACAACAGCAAGAGGGTTGCCGCTTTCACTGCGCAGCGATCTCTCTTGCTGTTCTGGCTTCTGATTTTCAGAATATTTTTTTTCTTGTTTTCCTCCTCCAAAAACTAGGTGTGTCTTGTGGTCTGGTGCGTCTTATGGAGCGAAAAATACGGTATTTGCCGGTTCTGATCCTGGTGGTGCAGAAGATCTCTTTTTCTTCTTCTTCTTCACAACCTCACACTTTGCTGTTTTTCTCCGCAGCTTTCAACATCCTGGTGAATGTCGGAGTTGTGCTTACGTACCCAATCTTAATATCTATTGGGACATTGCTCAGTGTTCCTGGCAATGCAGGTATAAATAATGCCTTTTGATCAATGCAGTGGCTCTGCGTGTGGCCCAGGTTACTTGCTTATTTATTTACATAAAATTCCTAAACCACACCCCCTAATGAATTGGAAAAAAAATGTTTAAAAGCACCTTTCCAAAAAAAAAACCAACAACAACCCCAGAGTCCTTTTTGTTGGGGATAATTCAGATGGAAATTCCCAGGTGTCAAAAAAGGTTATTTATGTATGCCACTACTGCGGCCCGTGTATTGTTAGCCCAAAAATGGAAAATGAGTGAGGTCCCAACCAAAGAAGAATGGCAACTTAAACTGATGGAATATGCGCAGTTTGCGAATCTAACATATAGAATAAGAGAACAAGAACAACATTCGCTTAAAGAAGATTGGGAAATGTTTATTGACTGTATGGGGGGAAATTGTGTACACTTGAAAACCCTGGCAGCATTCAGATAAATTCAACAGTGTAAATAAGTTTCCATGGGTGTAATAATGGAATATGCTGAATGATTTAGTTTATGTAAAATGTGCAGGGATTTATGCTATGTAAAATGAACCATGGAAAGAGAAGAAGTGAAGTCATTTTATTTTTTAAGGTTGTTTAATGAATATTCTTAATTGTAAAACAGAAAATTTAATTAAAAATTATACATAAATTCTAATAATAAGAATACATTGGGGAGGAGCAGGGCCGGATTTAGGTTTGATGAGGCTTTAAGCTCCTGAAGGTAATGGGGCCCTTTATATGTCCAGCTGTCCTTTGTCAACAACAAATTGTCGCTGCTTTTTGTGTGTTGAATATATGCTATATGGTAATTTATGGACCTAATAAGTATCTAAAGCTATTTGCACTTGCAGAATGTAGGCACCCTACATTCTGTACATTTCTATATATAGAAATGAGCAAACCAGTGATATTTTAGGGAGCAGGCTAGCAGGCGGGGCCCATGACTTACACCAGAGGAGCCGACACAACACAAAACACTGTTGCTGTATGTAGGTTTTATTTTATTTGTTTTTCATCTTATATTTTGGAAAGGTACATCCAGGTTTTTTTCCCTTTAAATTTTTTGGGGGTCCCCAAGAGAGGGGCCCCTAAGCTATAGCTTGTTTAGTTTATACATAAATCCAGCACTGGTAGGAGGTGGAAAGGTGGAACATATATGTAAATGATAATAATATAAGAACCTCTGTCTTTCGCTGTACAAAGACAGAAGCCGCAAGAGTCCACCCACTTTCCCCTCTGCCCACCCATGGCATGAGGCCCTCAGGATGAGACTGCTCCCCTGACCATAGCTGTCAACCTTCCCCTTTTTTGTGGGAAATTCCCTTATTCCAGCGCCATTTCCCACTGCTTCCCACTGCTATCCCGGATTGTTAGATATCCTGTAGACTGTCCCTGGGACAGGTGAGGCTGCTGATCCCTTATTTTCGAGGCTGCTGATCCCTTGTTTTCAAATCTGAAAGTTGACAGCTATGCCCCTGACCCCATCTCTCGCTAATCTCCTCGCTCCCCTTTTCTCCCCAGCTGTCGATCTTCTCAAACGCGAGGTGATCTTCAGCGTGGTCCGTTTGGGTGCCACCACCATCATCTGCCTCGGGTTCCTGCTTATGCTCCTTCCGGAGGAATGGGACGAGATCACGCTGCGATTCATCAACAGCCTGAAGGAGAAGAAGGGTGAAGACCACCCTGAGGACGTCATGGACTCCAGCGTCCACTTCCGCAGCAGAAGTCGAGTCAACGGGACTGTGTCTATACCGCTGGCTTAGAGCCGGCCGGGCTTCAAGTTGCGTGCACGCCAATGTATATTCTGTGAATATGATTTAATAATTCCCTCCCCCCCCTCGCCCACTTGTATGCTTTAAAAAGAGACAGCTTTATTTTAAACAGGAATGGATTGTAAATTCAACGCTAAACACATCAGATACCTAAGCTGTTTACATTTGTACACTTTATCCAGGAGTAGGTGCAAATAAGGACAATAAATTCCTTTTTATACAGAAACGCAAATAAAAGAAAGCTGTATATGTCTGTGTTTGGTTCTGGAGGTTGGCGGGGGGTCGGCGTTTGGAATTTGCGAAAAGCGCCGCGGGCACCAGCTACAAATGGCTGCCGTGGGAGTGCTGGGGGACACAAAATGGCTGCCATGGGGGACGGACGTGGTGGGACACAAAATGGCTGCCACATCTAAAAGAGTGGAAGAAGAGGCCGGTTCACAAAAAGCAGCTCGTTGATGGGAAAAGGCACCTACAGCACCCACCGCTGTGATTGCGGTCAGAGGGAGCCCTTGGCGCCTCTCCTCCGTTCAGAATGGAAGGGATGGAGGGAATCCAGTTCTGGCATCTAATGAAATTTTGGGGTTTTTTTCCCCTGAGGGGTGTTGGCTCAGTGTAGAAGAGGCCAAGTGAGTGCAAATGGGAACCGACTGGGTAGATTGTGGGAGCTACTGGAGGGTGCATTGTGATATTATTATTATTATTATTATTATTATTATTATTATTAATAATACCTCGCCCATTGTGCTGGGTCTCCCCAGCCACTCTGGCCGGCTTCCAAAAAAATATTCTTCTTTCTTCTTTGGAGATCACTCCTAGCTGAGTAAGATTGTCTTCCATAAACACGGTTTTAACAATGAGTCCGTAAGTGACTGTGGAGGCCAATTCTGGACCCATGTCCTTCCACATTGGGTACAAGTGTGCCTTCCTCTTAGAACATTTCTCCCTTGCGTCCTGAGTTCGAGCATCTTCAAAATCCCAACAAAATGACTCCGAGGCTGCACACCTGGTCCTTCAGGGACACAGTTATCCCATTCAGGACCAGGGAGTCCTCCACACCCGCCGTCCCCCTGTCCCCCCAAAACAGTACTTCTGTCTTGTAAGGCTTCAACCTCAATCCGTTAGCCGCCATCCATCCTCCAACCGCCTCCAGACACTCACATAGGACCTTCACCACCTTCACCGGTTCTGATTTGAAAGAGAGGTAGAGCTGGGTATCATCTGCATATTGATGAATACCCTTTCCTTAACCCAGACAGAGTCTTACTCTCACCACCTATGAAAACAAGGGCGTAGATATCCTATTTTTGCAGACGAGCTTCAATGATCCGGAAGCAAAGCAATCCGCTAACTTAATTTTTTGCTGGGCGAAAACTGCCTTGGCGCTCCAAGCAAAGAAAAATACAATTTGACAAATGAGGCGGCTGTGAGATTGCGTTCCTCGGCTCGTAAGGGCAATCAAGCCTCTCTCTGTCTCTGACGGGGAAAACAAAATGTGTGGCGAATAATGTCAGCTTGAGAAGCTTCCCAGAAACACAATAATGCATTTCCAAAAAGCTCTGGAAGGAAGCGGTGACAGCGGCGATGGCCTCTCATCGCAGTTCATATGCAACAGTTTATTGCTCCTCAAATTCATCTCTGCTGCAGACATGCCGCCGATGGTACTTGAGTTCACAGGCAAGACCTAATGAAATCTAGGACACAGAGCGATGTGCTGTAATCTCTGGACTATCACATTATACCACAATATTTCTCGGAGTTATTTGATCAGTTTCATGGTGTGACACGGGGCTTGACTGCTGTGCTTTGCTGCCACAGGGTCTCAGAATTGAAATCAGGGCCAGGTTTAGGTTTGATGAGGCCCTAAGCTACTGAAGGTAATGGGGCCCTTGATATGTCCAGCTGTCCTTTATCAACAACAAATTGTCACTGTTTTTTTGTGTTGAATATATGCTATATGGTAGTTGATGGACCTAGGTAAAGGTAAAGAGACCTCTGACCCTTAGGTCCAGTCGTGACCGACTCTGGGGTTGCGGCGATCATCTCGCTTTATTGGCCAAGGGAGCCGGCGTACAGCTTCCGGGTCATGTGGCCAGCATGACTAAGCTGCTTCTGGCGAACCAGAGCAGCACACGGAAACGCTGTTTACCTTCCCACCGGAGCGGTACCTATTTATCTACTTGCACTTTGACGTGCTTTTGAACTGCTAGGTTGACAGGAGCAGGGACCGAGCAACGGGAGCTCACCCCGTCGCAAGGATACGAACCGCCGACCTTCTGATCGGCAAGTCCTAGGCTCTGTGGTTTAACCCACAGTGCCACCAGCGTCCCTAATAGGTATCTAAAGCCATTTGAACATGTGGCCATGCAATCATTCCATGCAGAATGCAGGCACCCTATATATAGAAAGGAGCAAACCAATGATATTTGAGGGAGCAGGCTAGCAGGCGGGGCCCATTACTTACATCAGAGGAGCCGACACAACACAAAACACTGTTGCTGTATGTAGGTTTTATTTTATTTGTTTTTTTCTGTTATATTTTGGAAATGTACATCCAGTTTTGTTTTCCTTTATTTTGGGGGGGGGGGGCAAGAGAGTGGGGCCCTAAGCTATAGCTTGTTTATCTTATGCGTAAATCCGGCACTGATTTAAATGAATATTGGAGACCATGTTCCGAAGTCAAATGGCTCTCCTTTGGATGTTTCAAAAAATAATAAAACCAAAAGTATCCAGGGAAGGACCAAAGCTCAGTGTTAGAGCATCTGAAGAATGTCATGGGTTCAAACCCCAGCATCTCCAGGCAGGGCCGGGAGAGGTCTTTGTCTGAAACTCTAATGAACTGCTGCTGTTGGTGAACTGGGTGGCCTGTCAGTGTCACTCGGTATAAGGCAGGATAAAACTCTCTCTGGGTGTCAGCAGTCCAGTCCCCGGCTTGATCACACAGCAAGCGTAGTTAATTAAAAAGGAAGATTTATTGTCAAAACAACAGATCGCTCCAGATGGCTCGTAATACAGCCTCCTGCCTTCATCAGTCATGATGACCCTTCTGAAGACTCCTTCCGGTTACAGATGTCAGGTTCACCTTTGAGCCAGTGCCAACGACTGGGCTCAACCTCTTCAACCCCGACTGGGCCAGGCGAGCTGGAAAAGCACTCCCAGAGACCTTCCATGCAGGAAGCAGGTCTAAGTGCTGTGGGCTCACAACTTAGAGCTGTGAGCACCAAACTTAGCTCCAAAAGTCAGTGGAGCACAGCAGAGTATGAACCACACGAATGATAGCTCTGAAGTATAACTTCTTTTATTCTCTACAGCTACTGCATAAACTAACTAAAGACTAATCGGAGACGCTGGACTGCATGAGTGTTACAGCTGCTTGAGCAGTCACCTTATCTATATACAGATAATACTCAGACTCCCACAGACTGGAGCGGAAGATGCGATGAGCAAAATCCGCCCCCTCCTTTCTGAAACATTGTCAGCAGATTCTTGCAATGGGAGGGGTGAAATATCCTCAACAGAAGGTATTGAACTTTCTCACTTTGCGCCTCTTGCTTTGTTTCCGGTCCAACAGCCCTCCCCTTAGCCTACTCTTAGGAGGGATTGGCTCTGCTCCAATCTCTTCCCATTCTGACAAACTGTTTCCTTCTCTGTTCGTGCCAGTTTGCACTCCTTGAGAGCGTTGGCTGGGTTCCGGCCCGCTCTCAGCCATTCCCTTATCAATTGGCCTTGCAAGGGGCGGGGGAGTTAGCACTAGCCAATGCTCATCCTGCCTGGCAGTTAACCCACTCTGTTCCTGGCTGCCTTCTTCAGCTGGTTGCAAACCTTCACTGGGAGCTGGCTCATTCATGACACTGAGTCACTTTTGTCTCTCCTTCCTCAGTCCAAGCAAGCATCAGGCATCAGAGGCACCAACTTGAATAAAAAAAAATGGGGGGGGGGACACACACAGAGATAAGTCCTGCCCCCGATCCTAGCAATGGTGATACCTACTGCTGGTGAAATGGATTCTTCCCACGGCACCCCGTTTTTTATCCCCTGAACAGTCCTGTGAGGTTGAAACAGCGACTGGTTCAGGGCTACTCTGAATTCTTAAAGCTAAAAAGGGACTTGAACCCAACTCTTCCCTGAGCTCAAGTTTCTAGATACAGTGATACCTTGGTTCTCAAACTTAATCCATTCCGGAAGTCTGTTCCAAAACCAAGGCGTGCTTTCCCATAGAAAATGGATTAATCCTTTCTAGAATTTTAAAAACAATCCCTAAAACAGCAATTTAGCATGAATTTTAGTAATTAACAAGACCAATGATCCGTAAAATGAAAGCAATAAACAATGTACTGCAATCACACAATCAATCAGTAGCTGAACTGGGGTCCATGCAGTCACAAAAACAAAACAAAAAAGAGCTGCAAAAACAAAAGCGCAAAATAAATAGCAAAAACAGACAGACCTCAGTGTTAACACTCAAATCGGAAGCGTGGCACTCAAATCGGAACCACAATACTCAAAACCAAGCACGTTCGGCTTCCGAAAATAGTTCACAAACCGGAAAACACTTACTTCCGGGTTGGCAGTGTTCGGGTTCCAAGTTGTTTGAGTACCAAGGCGTTTGAGAACCAAGGTACCACTGTATCTGTTTGCCTCCCCACTGCCACCCAAAATCAGCAAGGGTTGGCTGCAAAATTGCTTGGGCATATTTTTAACACCCACCTTTAAGTTGTTTTACACTGCTTTGACGTAAAGGTTGGGGGACCATCTGACAGGGATTGTTCAGCTTTGACTACTGAATTTCAAGGGGTTGGACTAGTTGACCCTTAGAGACCCCTTCCAAGTCTGCAGTTCTGAGTTCCTAACTCCTCACATTGATGCAGTAGCCAAGGCTGCGCAATCATCAACCTTTAAAAAGCTGCAGTCTGGTGGCCAGTCTGCTGTCCGGGAAGGGAGAAACGTGTTGGAATAAATCTCTCTCCCCCCCCCCTTCTCTCTTCCTTGCCCAAAAGCTGAATTGCAGGATTCCAGAATTTAAAAGACGGGTTTTATGCATGCAGACCTTGAGGGCTGCACACACTGCCTGTTGGCCCAGGTTTCTGAGTGTGCGTTCTTATGCGCACACGGAAGTAAACCCCACCAAACTCAGCAGGACGTAATTCTAATTAAGGATGCACCAAACTGGATTGTCAGTGTCAATATTCAGCAATTTCCCAACTCGCTGGGGGGGTGGGGAGGAGGAGAATACCTCCTTTGCAGCTACACTGCAAGTGTGTGTTGGGGGATTATTTCCTTGCAAAATGCATAACAAGTGCGCAAGGACGTCTAGTAACTAGCGCACAATGCGTAAAACAAATGGCAAGTTCCTGGTAATTTATCTGCAAACCGACTTTCAGGTTCAGGGGTCTCGGTTGCAATGCTATTCCATGGCAAAACAGTATCTGAACATGACTTTTCTTCCCCATTGCCAGCTCTTCAACATCTCCTTCCCCTGTTGTTTTTCCCCCCTCCCTGGCAAAATGCATTTCCCACCCAGCTGGTAAGGAAAACCACCCGCAACTGCAGAGCAAACGCTTTGCAGTATAGACATTAAGCTGGTGGAGCATGAAGAGTGTTTTCGTGTGGGTGAGTAACCTGCCCTGGGGAATGTGGCTCGGAGTCATGAATTTCATTACTGCATTATGCAGTAGCGCCGCTAAAACGATCGTTCCCCAGCTTGCGGGGTGCCCTAGCCTAACAATCGCTTATGTGGGGAGTGGGGTGGGTGGATGCGCTGCAGAGCAAGTGTTCTGGGATGTTAGAGACAAGGATCTGGAGAGGAAGCTGCCTTCGAGCAGAACAGGCTATCTATCCAGCCCAATATTGTCTGCACTGACTGGCAACAGCTTGCGGCCTTGGTCCAGTATACCTGAAGGAGCGTCTCCACCCCCATTATTCAGCCCGGACACTGAGGTCCAGAGCTGAGGGCCTTCTGGTGGTTCCCTCACTGCGAGAAGCCAAGTTACAGGGAACCAGGCAGAGGGCCTTCTCGGTAGTGGCACCCACCCTGTGGAACGCCCTCCCACCAGATGTCAAAGAGAACAACAACTACCAGACTTTTAGAAGACATCTGAAGGCAGCCCTGTTTAGGGAAGCTTTTAATGTTTGATGTATTACAGTATTTTAATATTTTTTTGGAAGCTGCCCAGAGTGGCTGGGGAAGCCCAGCCAGATGGGCGGGGTATAAATAATAAATTATTATTATTATTATTATTATTATTATTGCCAGCTATTTCCCGTATGTGCACAAGCGATCCTTTTAACTGGAGAGGCCAGCGGTGAACGACTTCTGCTCTGCCACTGAACTATGGTAGTTTTCTTGGGGGGGGGGGAGCAGGGATGCTGTGGTCCGCAAACCAACTTCTGAAAGATCCCCACGTGCCTGCTGGATACTGGCAATTTGCTCAGGCTGTTGCGCAAGGTTTGCAAAGTAAGGTAAAGGTAAAGGGACCGCTGACCATTAGGTCCAGTCGCAGACGACTCTGGGGTTGCGGCACTCATCTCGCTCTATTGGCCGGGGGAGCCGGCGTACAGCTTCCGGGTCATGTGGCCAGCATGACTAAGCCAATTCTGGCGAACCAGAGCAGCGCACGGAAACGCCGTTTACCTTCCCGCCGGAGCGGTACCTATTTATCTACTTGCACTCTGGCGTGCTTTTGAACTGCTAGGTTGGCAGGAGCTGGGACCGAGCAACGGGAGCTCACCCCGTCGTGGGGATTCGAACCGCCGACCTTCTGATTGGCAAAGCCTAGGCTCAAACAATAACCCATTCAGGAAAATAGCCAGGGGTGTGTGTATTGGTTATAGTGCCACCAAGCCACATGGAGGAATATCCAGGTTCAAATCTTAGCCATTAAGCTCACTAGGTGACCCGAGGCCAGTTACTGCTTCATGAGTTGCTGCTTCCATCAGCTGCATGGTCTGGGGCTGTTTCTGGAGCTTGGATGAGATGTTGCTGAAAAGTAACGGGAGACAGGACTCCATCAAAAATGCATCCACAAGATACCACCAATTCCTTCGCAGGCTTCTCCAACATAAGGTGTCTCATGGGGGTTTTGCTGTTGGATAGTTTTAAAAGGCAATTAGACATATTCATGATTGACTATCCGTGGCTCATGGGATGCGGGTGGCGCTGTCGGTTAAACCACAGAGCCTAGGACTTGCCGGTCAGAAGGTCGGCAGTTCGAATCCCCGCGACGGGGTGAGCTTCCGTTGCTCGGTCCCTGCTCCTGCCAACCTAGCACTTCAAAAGCACATCAAAGTGCAAGTAGATAAATAGGTACCGCTCCAGCGGGAAGGTAAACGGCGTTTCCGTGCAGTGCTCTGGTTCGCCAGAAGCGGCTTAGTCATGCTGGCCGCATGACCCGGAAGCTGTACACCGGCTCTCTTGGCCAATAAAGCGAGATGAGCGCTGCAACCCCAGAGTCGGCCACGACTGGACCTAATGGTCAGGGGTCCTTTACTTATCCATGGCTCATAGCCATGGTGGCAATGTTCTGCCTCCATTCTTGTCGTTGGTTGTTGTCAGCCGTCTGTCTCGAGCGACAATGGAGTGTGTCTCCAAGGGTAAAGTCAAACAGCTGTATTAGCAGCAAGGAAGTGACCTCCTTGGGGCACAATCCTGGGCAGTGTGTCTGGAGGTCCGGGATTGCCCAGATGACAAAACCACATTGATGAGGTCCAAAGGAAAGCAAAGCAATATGTTTGGCCCCAACTTGGCTGCAGTAGTTGCTGGAAGCAGACGTACAAGGCATCATCAAACTTGTGGGAATGTTCAGGGAAGCAGGAGAGGATATATTGTTTGATTATATCCTTTCCAACTTGTGTTAACAAGTTCTACAATTTAGCAGAGTAACATCTCCCTTTTTAAACTTGCACAGCCAATGCGTTTGCTCAGCCTCGCTAAAGCCTCTAAAATACGTTTTCCTTTTGGTAATTCCCCATTTAGTTCCCTCATAAAAAGATAGACACAACACAGTCTTCTATAAAAGTATAAAAAGAGTTTACTCACTCACATTCTGTTCACAGTTGGATCCCAGAAGGCAGACTTAAGTTGGAAAAGTAATATACACCTGGAAACTATCCCATAAGGAGAGCATCTTAGGCTAAGCAGATGTTGCTTCTTCGAAGAATGTGGTCAGAGAGAGAGAGAGATGGCTGACCAGCCCTGCTCTTTTGTTGCCTGGGCAGGTGAGGCCACGCCCACCTCTAGTCACATCCAGAGGAAGACTGTCCCAGCCTAGGAGAAACAGGAAGTTCTGACTGGCTGGTCCAGACATGCCCTTTTATGTCCACTCTAGGGATGTTGTACTTGACTGCTCTGTGATTTTTACACCCCACAAAACTGTCTTAGGGCTCCACTCTGGATTTGTATAGGGTTTACTCCTTAGATTTTTCTTCTCCCAAAGATATTGTGATGGCCTGGGACTCGGGCTCAGACTCGGAGCCAGAGGAGTCTCAGTCTGCACCGGATCTTTTGCCTCAGGTGGCATCTGAACCGAGTCTGGGGCCTGATTCTCAAGAGCCCCAGTCTGCACAGGTTCCCCTGCAACAAACCCCAGCTGGGCTGAGTCCGGGGCCTGAGCCTGCCCTGGCTCCAGATGCGGGGATTCCCTCGTTGCCTCCAGCTGGGCCATCACTTACAGCTGCTCCACTACCAGTTGGGTCAGGAGAGGCTGAGGTGGCCTCTGGTTCTAGTAACCCACTGACATCTCCTGAGCTGCAGAGACTCAGGTCTGAGAGAAGGAGAGACCTGAGTACTCGCCTTTGGGCAAGACAGGGAGGTGAGTAACCGGGGGATCAGGACCGGCCGTTACCCTGTCAGAGATAAAAGGCTGCCAGACCCCGTCTCAGGTTGTGGGAGCAACATTGCTGCTTGCTGGAACCTGCCTGTTACCCTGTGCCTGACCTTGCCTGGTTTCCTGCCTTGGCCCTGTTGGACTGACTCCTCGTGGAATCCTTGGATTCGGGACCGGACCTGGACCGTGTGGCTCAGGTTAACCCCTGGGCCTAGCACAGATATCTCGCAAGGTAGCAGAGGTTTAGGATCAGAGTCTTCCTTCTCCTGGATGGTCTCTCTTCCCAGGTGGACAAGCCCCACCTGCCCCTCACTTCCCTCTACAGCATGTGCAGAAACCACCTTCTTGACCATTGGACTCACTCTTGGTCTCGTCCTCTCAAACCACTGGAATGCTCCAGGCTGGCTTAATGTTCAGTCCCCGTGAGACGGCTCATTCTTTCATAACAGGAAGTTCCCAGACCAGGTCAATGTTTAACTGGACTTACCAAAGTGTGGAGATGGGAAGAGTCTGTGAGGGAGTTGCCATGGGAATGGGTGCACTTTTGGCTCTCCTGTGCGCCAGGGAGCGTCCTGAGGGAAAAATTCCACTGGGAGACCATCGGTAGGTTGCGTTAGAAATCCAGTTTCATCTCAAAAGGTGGTCGGTCAAACGAGTGGCTCTGAAAACCTGCCGATTTTTTCCCTTCTTGGGCTTCACCCTTCCTGGTGGACACTGAACTCTGCATTTTGAACCCGTCTTCAGCTTCAAACCTGGAAATGTTACCCCACTGCACGGAGGAATTCTCAGTCTGCGGGTTTTGTCCTTTTGGATCTTGCCCCCATTTTGATGACTCCACACTTATGGACCTGCGGAATGGAATGTAGGGCAGTTTTGGGAGTTGGAGCCCTTGGCTGTTACTTCTTTTCCAGAGCGACTCACGGCTGTCTGGAAAGATGGGCTCAAATTCCTCAAAGACCCGTCGGAAGGTGACTAAAGTAGCCCCCATGCCCATGAAAGAGGACTGGCCACAGGTCCCGGGCAGGGTGGCCATTTACACATTCCAGAGCCCTCAGAGGGAGACAAGTCTAAACACATTTGCCTCCTGGACGGAAAGGAATCCGGCATCAGACAGGCACCTTCCGCCCCTGAGAGAAATGGGACAAGGGGCATATCCAACAGGTAATTCTTCGTTCCTTTTTAGGGTTCAATAAAAAGGACAGAAGTGTCATTTTTATTGTGCCTTCCTGATGATGATGAGTGATATCATTTCTTGTTATTGTTGTTGTTTAGTCGTTTAGTCATGTCCGACTCTTCGTGACCCCATGGACCAGAGCACGCCAGGCACTCCTGTCTTCCACTGCCTCCCGCAGTTTGGTCAGACTCATGTTTGTAGCTTCGAGAACACTGTCCCACCATCTCTGTCGTCCCCTTCTGCTTGTGCCCTCCATCTTTCCCAACATCAGGGTCTTTTCCAGGGAGTCTTCTCTTCTCATGAGGTGGCCAAAGTCTTAGAGCCTCAGCTTCATGATCTGTCCTTCCAGTGAGCACTCAGGGTTGATTTCCTTCAGAATGGATAGGTTTTACCTTTTTGCAGTCCATGGGACTCTCAAGAGTCTCCTCCAGCACCAGAATTCAAAAGCATAACCTCCAATATTTCTCTGATGAGAATAGGGACATCCCATTCCATAATGATAATTTTACTGTTTATATATCCCACACATCTGACTGGGTTCCCCCAGCCAGTCTGCACAGCTTCCAACATATATATAAAACACAATAAAACATTAAACATTTTTTAAAAAACCTTCCCTATTCAGGATTGTCTTCAGATGGCTCGGGGGTAGGATAACTCCATCCCCTCCAACATTTCTCCAATGGAAATAGCGGCCACCTAAGGAAAAAGGGGGCATTCTGGGATCAAATCAGAAATCGGGGCGGCTTCTCTAAATCAGGGATGTCCCTGGAAAATAGGGACACTTGGAGGGTCTGGAATATTTTTTCCAGAAAAAGAGGCACCAGAACTCACCATGAACACCTCTTTCTTAGCATGGCGATAGTGGCCACCTGGGAGGTGCCAGAACTGAGTTCTGGCTGAAGACGAGTCCTGATGGCGATGGTTGTTATTTATTCCTTTCACCAGACCTGGGCTCAAGGCGGGTTATGCAAATTAAAGCAACATGGATAAAGCACAAAAAGCCAAGAACATACAAAGGGTAATCATTAAATGGTTTAAAATCGAAATTAGAACGATTTTCTAAAAGCCAGACCTGTTAAAATATAGGTGATCCAGGCAGGTACATCCCCTTCATGGGAGATATTTTATCACCTAGTCAACAGATATGGGGCAGGGTTGTCTGAATACCGCAGGTGTGAACATGAGAACGTCAGAATAGAGACCTGAGACTGGATCAGGCCAATGGCCCATCTCGTCCAGCATCCTGCTCTCACAGCCACCGGTGAGATGCTTAAATGGGAAACCTGAAAGCAGGATTCGGGCACAAGAACCCTCTCCCCTTCTGCGGTTTCCAGCAGCTGATATTCAGAAACATTGCACCAATAGCCCTCTCCATGGATTATTTGCCTAATCCTCTTTCAAAGCCATCCAAGTTTGTGGTCATCACTGCCTCCTGTGGCAATGAGTTCCACAGTTTCACTACACGAAGAGGTACTTTATTTTCTCTGTCCTGAATCTTCCAATGCTTAACTATTGACACAATACAGGTACCTGTTCTCTACTCTTCTTGGTGCCTGCTAGTAACATTGTTGTTGTAGTTGTTGTTTAGACTAGCCTAGCCAGATGAATTTTTTAGTTTATTACTGGGTTGTTGGGTTTTTTGAACTCTTTTTACTAATAATCAGCCCCCGAAAACCTGTTGAAATGGAACAGTCTCCACCTGCCAGCAGGAGGACAGCAAGGAGCGAGCCGGTCCAAATTCTGGGGGCAGCCACCAAGAAGGCCCTCTCCTGCATCCCCACCAAATATCCCTGTGAGGGTGATGGGACCAAGAGAGGGGCCTTCCCCGAAGATCTCAGACCTGGGGGGGGGGGGGGGCTCATGAGTTGCACTCATGGTGGTATCAGGGCGGTTATACACAACCCCACCCCTTTCAATAGTGTTTGTGCCTGCAAAAGTTTTGGGGCAGAGCAATCTGTGGAACGCCCTCCCACCAGATGTCAAAGAGAACAACTACTACCAGACTTTTAGAAGACATCTGAAGGCAGCCCTGTTTAGGGAAGCTTTTAATGTTTGATGTATTACTGTATTTTAATATTTGGTTGGAAGCCCCCCAGAGTGGCTGGGGAAGCCCAGACAGATGGGTGGGGTATAAATAATAAATTATTATTATTATTATTATTATTATTATTATTATTATTATTATTCCCAGATGGGCCTTGGAATGAGGATGGTGGATTTAACAGGCTTCTGGTATGATCTTATGCAGGGCCGTCTTAAGCACATCCGACGCCGTGGTGCAAAGATCCCTCCAGCGCCCCCCTTTCCCAGGGCTGGAGGAGGCGGGCAGCGGCTGGAGGGTGGCTCCTCCGGTGGGGCTCCTCTCCCAGCTCAGCTGGCTGCTTCGTGCCGCAGTGGCCACGGCAGGCAGCACACCGAGCCAGCAGGCCTGTTCTGAGCAAACAAGGGTGTGTGCGCCGCTCCCACTGAGCGCCGGCTGGGTTTTTTCCCTTTTAGCCTCCTGGCGCCCCGTTCCGTGTTCCCCGGACTCTCGCCTGGCACCCTCCAGAACTTGGCACCCTGGCGCCCAGCGCCATTAGCCTCTGTGTGTAAGACGGGCCTGATGTTATGCATTTCCATGAAAAGGTTTGTTTCCAGGAATTCATGTCCCCGAAAACAAGGACGCGAGCCTTTCTTTGAGAAATAATAATAATCTTGCGTGGGGAATCATGGATGTCTCTCTCCTCGACACCCCCCCCCCCCGGATGATCTCATGGTCGAGGCTGCCTTGCGCACGTGAAAGGGAATGTTACCCCCCCCCCCCGGAAGAAGACGTGGCGGTGAATACAAATGAGTCCTGGGCATTTGGCAAACGACCCAGAGCGCTTTATGACAGCAAGTGCGCTCACATAAAAACACCTGGCAGAAAGGTATAAGGAAGCAGATTCTGTTGGGTATTATGAAAATGTTGTTTCCTCCTCTCTTTTTTGCACAAACGTTTTAACCGTGCTCATTATGCCATAGTAGCAAATCTGTGAAGCTGCTGGGGGGCCTCTCCTGTGCTTTTCCTCCATCCCCTCAGTTAAAAAGAAAAAGGAAAGTGAGATGGATCTGTGTGAGAGAAAGAGAGCTCTGTTCTGCACGCAAGGGGATCTGCATCTTCTAGAGCTAATTGACTGTTTGGGGTTGCCAGTTTCCCCAGAAAGCACCCTCCCTCTCCAAGTTCTAATTTCTGGGCATTATGAATAATTTGCAAATTAGACGCCGTCCTTATTAAGTCGTGCGAAGATCCTGCAGGTGGCATAAAATGAAGCAAAAAACCAAAAAAACCAAGCCAATTTAATAAGCAAAGACAAACTGCCAAGAGGGTCAGTACGATGGTGGTGGTGGATCATAGAACTGTAGAGATGGAAGGGACCCAGGGGTCATCTAGTCCAACCCCCTGCAATTCAGGAGGCACGGCCTCCCATGTCCTCTTCCCCATGCTTTTCAACATCTATATGAAGCCGCTGGGAGAGATCATCAGGGAGTTTGGGCTGGGTGTTCATCAATATGCGGATGATACCCAGCTCTACCTCTCTTTCAAATCAGAACCAGTGAAGGTGGTGAAGGTCCTGTGGGAGTGTCTGGAGGCGGTTGGAGGATGGATGGCGGCTAACAGATTGAGGTTGAATCCTGACAAGACAGAAGTTCTGTTTTGGGGGGACAGGAGGCGGGCAGGTGTGGGGGATTCCCTGGTCCTGAATGCGGTAACTGTGCCCCTGAAGGGCCAGGTGCGCAGCCTCAGAGTCATTTTGGACTCACAGCTGTCCATGGAGGCGCAGGTCAATTCTGTGTCCAGGGCAGCTGTTTACCAGCTCCCTCTGGTACGCAGGCTGAGACCCTACCTGCCCGCGGACTGTCTTGCCAGAGTGGTGCATGCTCTGGTTATCTCTCGCTTGGACTACTGCAATGCACTCTATGTGGGGCTACCTTTGAAGGTGACCCGGAAACTACAACTAATCCAGAATGCGGCAGCTAGACTGGTGACTGGGAGCAGCCGCCGAGACCACATAACACCGGTCTTGAAAGATCAGCATTGGCTCTCAGTACGTTTCCAAGCACAATTCAAAGTGTTGGTGCTGACCTTTAAAGCCCTTAAACGGCTTCGGTCCAGTATATCTGAAGGAGCGTCTCCACCTCTATAGTTTTGCCCGGACACTGAGGTCCGCGCCGAGGGCCTTCTGGAGGTTCCCTCACTGCGAGAAGCCAAGTTACAGGGAACCAGGCAGAGGGCCTTCTCGGTAGTGGCACCCGCCCTGTGGAACACCCTCCCACCAGATGTCAAAGAGAACAACTATCTGACTTTTAGAAGGCATCTGAAGGCAACCCTGTTTAGGGAAGCTTTTAATGTTTAACAGACCACTGTATTTTAATACTTTGTTGGAAGCCACCCAGGGTGGCTGGGGAAACCCAGCCAGATGGGCGGGGTATAAATAATAAATTATTATTATTGTTATTGTTATTGTTGTTATTATTGTTATTATTATTATTTATTATTTTAAAAATTGTTGTAAAAATTATATGTTGATGCAAACACAGGATGCCTTTAGCTTCTGCAGTGAAATGTTGGAGGATATTGAGTAAGTTGGGTTCCTCAGCCCTCACTTCAGGAAAAAAACATGTTAAAAATATTATTATTTATTTATTCAAAAGCCTTTCGCAGAAACTCCTGTGATAAAGATGCTCCTCTTTCCTCCCTCTTTCTAAGTGCCAAGGTCTGTTCCGCTAGACCTGAAGATGGAAGCGGGAGGACAAAGCATCATCAAGCAGCACCCTCCCCGAAGACCCCAGGTAAGAGGGGGCAGAGCAGGCCAGTGACGTCGGGGGCGGGTGCCAGGAACAGGTCAGCAATAACTCACACGGCGCCTGTGACATTAACTATTTATTCAAAGAATAAAGCTTGGGAGGCCAGGCCTACGAAGCACAGCAACTCATCCCGGTAGATCTTGCCCCTATGAGGCAGTTGTGGGGCCTTCCCACAGTATACCTGAAGGAGAGTCTCCACCCCCATCATTCGGCCCGGACACTGAGGTCTAGCGCCGAGGCCTTCTGGCAGTTCCCTCACTGCGAGAAGCCAAGTTACAGGGAACCAGACAGAGGGCCTTCTCAGTAGTGGCACCCGCCCTGTGGAATGCCCTCCCATCAAATGTCAAGGAAATACAGTCATACCTCGGGTTACAGACGCTTCAGGTTGCGTTTTTTCGGGTTGCGGACCGCCAAAACCCAGAAGTACTGGAACGGGTTACTTCCAGGTTTCGGCGGTCGCGCATGTGCAGAAGCGCTAAATTGCGCTTTGTGCATGCACAGAAGCACCGAATTGCAACCCGCACGTGTGCAGACGTGGGTTGCGAACGCTGCGGGTTGCGAATGTGCATTCCGCACGGATCACATTCGCAGCCCGAACGTCCACTGGAAACAACCATCTGACTTTTAGAAGACATCTGTAGGCAGCCCTGTTTAGGGAAGGTTTTAATGACTGATGTTTTAATGTATTTTTAACCTTTGTCGGAAGCCGCCCAGAGTGGCTGGGGAAACCCAGTGAGATGGGTGGGGTATAAGTAGTAAATCATCATCATCATCATCTAAGTCTCCTCCTCTCCTGGGTCCTTCCCAAGCAATCTAAGACTTGGTTGAGGCATCTATCTCTGCTCCTGCCCTCTTCATACCTCTTCTGGTCCTGGGAGCCCAGGGGAGAAAGGAGCTGGTTGCAGCAGGAGAGGGAGACCCCCTGACTTCTTCAGCAGCCTGCCTCATCTCTGTCTCCTGGCCCCTCTCTTCTCCTGCTGTCAGGCTTCAGGGAATCATATCCCTCCCACTGTGGCAGCCAAGAAGCAGAGAAACGATAAAAGTTCTTACCAAGCAATTTATTCAATGATTCACAGAGAGCGGTGAAGGAATGCAACCTTCCCTAATAATGCCATTGCTGTAAGTAAAGTCCAAGCCCCCTACGTCTTCCCTATTCTACGTCACTCCTACATCAACTAATCTGAGCTTTCTGCCTCTGAGCTCTCTGTTCTACTACCTTCAATACATGTCTGGACTTGGCCGAGGGGGTCAGGAATGTTTTCCAAGGACACTGAGTATACGTGAAGGAGCGTCTCCACCCCCATTGTTCAGCTCCCAGTACATTTCCGAGCACAATTCAAATTGTTGGTGCTGACCTTGAAAGCCCTAAACAGCCTCAAAGGTCCAGTATACCTGAAGGAGCGTCTCCACCCCCATCGTTCTGCCTGGACACTGAAGTCCAGCTCCGAGGGCCTTCTGCTGCTACCCTCACTGTGAGAATCAAAATTACAGGGAACCAGGCTGAGGGCCTTCTCAGTGGTGGCGCCCGCCCTGTGGAACCCCCTCCCATCAGATGTCAAAGAAATTAACAACCATCTAATGTTTAGAAGACACCTGAAGGCAGCCCTGTTTAGGGAAGTTTTTAATGACTGATGTTTTAATGTATTTTTAATCTTTTTTGGAAGCTGCCCAGAGTGGCTGGGGAAATCCAGCCAGATGGGTGGGGTATAAGTAATAAATGATGATGATGATGGTGTCTGTCAGCTGTCTCTCCCCTGGTGCTTCTTATTCTTCTTGCTGTTCCTCTTCCAATATTTCCCAGCTTCTGCCCTCTGCAACCTCTGAACTATGCCCTTCTGCAAACCACTGTTCTAAATCTATAATGTCCTCCTGTTCTCAGGAAGGTTCAGAAAAATCGGGGCAGTCCCCACCATTCCTCCTCAGTCCAGCCCCTGACACCTGCCTCTGCGTCTGGACTGCTCTCTGCCACAGACTCATCCTGCTCACTAAATCCTGTTACCCCTTCAGCTGCTGACTCCTCCTCTTTCCAGTCTTCTCCCTCTGACCACTCATTGCCATCCCATCACCACTCCCCAGGCTCTGAGCCTTCTTCCCTTGGGGGTTCCCCAGCAGGTCCCCCCCCCCAGCATCCAGCCAGTCCATGACTAGTGAAGAGGGATGGAACTGGCTGAACGTGGCCCAAGGCTCTCGGCTTGGGATGTTAGAAGGCATCATTCTCCTTTCTACCCTGTATCTGTCAAGCGCCCCACCGTTTCCATTCTGCTGCAGTTCACCTTCCGCCAAACCCCACTCAATTCATCTCGCTTCCCACTGTGGCGAATTCACATAACTTGTGCAATATTGTTGTTGTTGTTGTTTAGTTGTTTAGTCGTGTCCGACTCTTTGTGACCCCGTGGACCAGAGCACGCCAGGCACTCCTGTCTTCCACTGCCTCCCGCAGTTTGGTCAAACTCATGCTGGTAGCTTCGAGAACACTGTCCAACCATCTCGTCCTCTGTCATCCCCTTCTCCTTGTGCCCTCAATCTTTCCCAGCATCAGGGTCTTTTCCAGGGAGTCTTCTCTTCTCATGAGGTGGCCAAAGTCTTGGAGCCTCAGCTTCACGATCTGTCCTTCCAGTGAGCACTCAGGGCTGATTTCCTTCAGAATGGATAGGTTTGATCTTCTTGCCATCCATGGGACTCTCAAGAGTCTCCTCCAGCACCATAATTCAAAAGCATCAATTCTTCGGCGATCAGCCTTCTTTATGGTTCAGCTCTCACTTCCATACATCACTACTGGGAAAACCATAGTTTTATATGTCTATTAATTAGAAGCCGCTGATGGGCTTCTCCTAGATGAATTTGCCGAATCCTCTTTCAAAGCCTAGAAGGAAATGTGACTCTCATGCTTTCAAGTTCCCCAGTATGCTATCCGGTTTAGCACTCGCACTGAAGTTAATTTGGTGACATGGTTAGCACAGCAGCTAACGGGAAGCTTTCGTGATGACAGGTCCCCCGAAGGCAATAATTGCACCATCGGTCCCTTAAAACGGCCGCTGCACAGTTGAGATTGAAATTCACAGGCCCGCGTCTCAAAGCCAAATCGAATGATGCTGTAGCCCGAGGGAATCTTCTCCCCGGAGAGATTCCCGTTACCGTTCTTTGACTTGACAAGATCCCTTTGAAGGGCTGCGTCTCTTTCGCTCCTTTGCCTTTTCTTCCAGGCAGTGTGGCGCTCGTCCCTTTTCATGTGAGATCCCACCAGATGCTTTTAGCTGGCTTGCTGATTCCTTTTGCTCGGCCTACTTCCTCGGGCTTTGAAAGTCTCGGCAGTGAGAAGGCTGAAAGAAGACCCCAAAAGGTGTTTCCAGGAGGACTTCTGGCCCTGAATCCCATGCAAATTCCCCACAGCTGTGTGTGAGGATCTCTGATGCAGTCTGGAGCAGAATCGGAAGCCCTTCTTATTCACACACACTGATCAAGCAGCTAGAAAGTTATATCATCATCAGCACCATCCATTTTAAATGCCACCCATCTGACTGGGTTGGCCAGCCACTCTGGGTGGCTGCCACAAATAACAGTAAAAGCACATGGATAAATGTTTGAGACCCTAGTGTTACAAACCAATTGGCCAAAGCAAATCCAAAGTAGGTGTTTTTTTTCAGCTGGGAAAGTTACAAAGGAAATGAGTGTGGGATTGTCCAGAGCTCCTCCCTGCAGAGGGTTCACTCTGTACAGTGGTACCTTGGGTTAAGTACTTAATTCGTTCCGGGGGTCCATTCTTAACCTGAAACTGTTCTTAACCTGAAGCACCACTTTAGCTAATGGGGCCTCCTGCTGCTGCCGCGCCGCTGGAGCCCGATTTCTGTTCTCATCCAGAAGCAAAGTTCTTAACCTGAGGTAATATTTCTGGGTTAGCGGAGTCTGTAACCTGAAGCGTTTGTAACCTGAAGCGTATGTAACCCGAGGTACCACTGTATTGTAATGGATCACATTTACAGCTCCGGAAATCACTTCTGCACAGGTGCGGTTTTCGGTGTCTGGGCATGCGCAGAAGCGATTTCTGGCGCCATGGGCATGCGCAGACACAATTTCCGGTGTCGCGCTGCACCGGCCCGGCCCACGGAGGATTTCCGCGGGAGTGATCCGGCCCATGCCCGGTAAGCCTTGCCAACCTCTGGTCTAGCCCTTTTATGTTTTTGAGTATGCCTAAAAAGAAGGGTTGCAGCTGAGCGGCAGAAAACCTGCTTTGCATGCAGGAGGTGCTGGGTTCAATTCCTGCCATCTCCAGGTAGGGCTGGGAGAGATCCTTGCCTGGAACCCCGGAGTGCCACTGCCCGTCAGTGCAGTGCAGCTTCCTATGTTCTTATGTGTACGGAAAAGTTATGATTTGTGAAGAGCGTTCCAGCTGAACTGAGCAGCTGGCAGATTTTCCTCCCTGGGTTCCTGGGCAAAATGGTTTGAAGAAGAGTTAGCTTTGCAGTGTTAGGTGCTGCCACCTAGTGTCCATACTCGGAAGGCAATTTCTGCAGAAGAACAGATGGGGCTCGTCCAACTAGGAAGGAAAACTCCTAAACCTCCGCGGACTTGCAAGGTACCGTATTTTTCGCTCCATAGGATGCACCTAGTTTTTACAGGAGGAAAACAAGAAAAAAAAATATTCTGAACCAAACAGTGGATGTATTATTTTTGTGGTTCATGCTGTGGCCACAGACATGTGATCTGATGGTGAATTTAGCAGAGACATCACCTTGCCAACAAAGTTCCGTATAGTTAAAGCTATGGTTTTCCCAGTAATGATGTATGGAAGCGAGAGCTGGACCATAAAGAAGGCTGATTGCCAAAGAATGGATGCTTTTGCATTATGGTGCTGGAGGAGACTCTTGAGAGTCCCATGGACTGCAAGAAGATCAAACCAATCCATTCTGAAGGAAATCAGCCCTGAGTGCTCACTGGAAGGACCGATCCTGAAGCTGAGGCTCCAAGACTTGGCCACCTCATGAGAAGAGAAGACTCCCTGGAAAAGACCCTGATGTTGGGAAAGATGGAGAGCACAAGGAGAAGGGGATGACAGAGGATGAGATGGTGGGACAGTGTTCTCGAAGCTACTAAACTGCGGGAGGCAGCGGAAGACAGGAGTGCCTGGCGTGCTCTGGCCCATGGGGTCATGAAGAGTCGGACACGACTAAATAACAACAACAACAAATGCAAAAATCCTGAGAATCCATGTGGCCCTGTGCTTTGTAACCACGTTTCTGCGCCATTGCGGCCCCACACAACAGTGGGTGCGTGATTTTTTTGGTGCAGGCTGTAGCCGTGGACATGCTATGTGATCTGATGGTGAACTTGGGATGACTTTGGGGTGACCCAATGTAAAATTCCTGAGGATCCACGGGCTTTTACCTCCCCCCTTCCAGGCAGCCTCCGCTAGCATCCCTTATCTCTCTTCTGATCCCACTGATTAGCTGTTTCTTTTCAACACTGTATACAAATATTGAAAAGCACTCCTCTCCTGAAAGATGCCTGCTCTGGCAGGCGCCCGAGGTCTCAGGAGCTCAGAAGGGCTCCAGAAAGGTCTTGCTGCCTCTCAGCACCCTCCTTTCTGGGTCCCGTCCCCCGGCCACCTCAGAGCCATTTCAGGGCTGGGCTTTTCTGAAGAGGCATCTGAGAGTAGAATTTGCAAAGTTTGGGAGACAATGACAGCTGACAGGGTCCTGCTTCTCTTCAACATACAGAACCAACGCACAAAACAACACTGATTAAGAAACGAGTTCTAGTTGTCCTGTTTATTATACATACATACATACATACATACATACATACATACCCCACCTATCTGGCTGGCTTCCAACAAAAAATTAAAAATACATGAAATACATTATAACATCAGTCATTAAAAACTTCCCTAAACGGGGCTGCCTTCAGATGTCTTCTAAAAGTCAGGGAGTTGTTTATTTCGTTCACATCTGATGGGAGGGCGTTCCACAGGGCGGGCGCCACCACCGAGAAGGCCCTCTGTCTTGTTCCCTGTAACCTCACCTGGAGGGAACCACCAGAAGGCCCTTGGCGCTGGACCTCAGTGTCAGGGCAGGGCAATGGGGGTGGAGATGCTCCTTCAGGTATAGTGGGCTGAGGCCATTTAGGGCTTTAAAGGTCAGCCCTAAACTTTGAATTGTGCTCGGAAATGTACTGGGAGCCAATGCTTCAGCAGTACATATACTAAAATTTGAACGATACAGAGAAGATTAGCATGGCTCCTAGTAAGGGAGCCAGTGTGGTGTAGTGATTAAGAGCGGTAGTCTTGTAATCTGGTGAACCGGGTTCACTTCCCCACTCCTCCACATGCAGCTGCTGGGTGACCTTGGGCTAGTCACACTTCTCTGAAGTCTCTCAGCCTCACTCACCTCACAGAGTGTTTGTTGTGGGGGAGGAAGGGAAAGGAGATTGTTAGCTGCTTTGAGACTCCTTCGGGTAGTGATAAATCGGAATATCAAATCCAAACTCTTCTTCTTCTTTCAAGACCAGTGTCATGTGGTCTCAGCGGCCGCTATTTCATTTATATACTGATTAGTTGCAAACAAAACAAAAACCCTCAAATATCTCAAAGCAAAACAGTTCAGCTCTCTCTTCTTGGCTTTGCAGAAGTTGGAGCCTTTCATTCTCGCAAAGGACATCCCTGCAGACCAGTTCTTAAGCCTGCCGTGTGGAGGAGCAACATACAAAGCAAAGGTTGGTAGAAGTTCATGAAGGAAGGAAGGATGGAGGGAAACATTTATGCCGTAAGTACAGGGTAATCTTAGTGTCCAACCACATGCTGCAGTTAGCAGTTTTTAAGGAGGTGCGGTTAACATTCTGGCCATGGAAGTATCGTATCAAGCACATGCACTGCTCTGCTTGGGCAAAAACTCCCATCATCCCTGACCATTGGCCATGCTGGCCAGGGGTGCTGGGAGTCTAGCAACACCTGGAAGGCTAGATGTCCCTTTTCCAGATAGATCAGGGTTTTCCAAACTTGGGTCTCCAGCTGTTTTGGGACTACAGCTCCCATCATCCCTAGCTAGCAGGACCAGTGGTCAGGGATGATGGGGATTGTAGTCCAAAAACAGCTGGAGACCCAAGTTTGGGAAACCCTGAGACAGAGAATGGTCTGCCCATCCAATAGGGCTGTTTAATTTCCATGCCCCCTTCTTGAGGAGGGGATTAAACTATCCTAATTTAGGCTAATGCTTCGATCTTTTTCAGTTTAATAATCCTCAACACATACTTCCTCCAGACACATAATATGTAGAACTTTAGCATGGGAATCTGCTTCCTATGTCCCATGGTTGCAAATACTCACTACTTGAACCAGGTTTTGCTTCAGCAAACCAATTCCTATGCCCATAGCTTGTCCATTCCCAGGAAGAACTATGCTTATACTCACACTAGGGATGAATGGAGATTTTTTTGCATTTTAAAGCAAATTGGCCCCGTTTGCACCTCCTGGCCCTAAGTCACAGACTGGAACATAACGAGCCTTTGGTTTTTACATTTCTCTGAATTTTGCAATATATTTCTCACCCCCAAATACATTTAAAAAGTGTGCATTTTAGGATAAAATACATTTAGGAATGAATGTATTTGGAGATTATATGCATGTATTTAAGTAAATACACATGTAAGTATGAATTTAAATAAGAATTTACTTGTGGGCTTTTTTTTTTACAAAAAGAAAGATAAAAACCCACAGATTAATGCAGAAACCGGATGGATCAGATTTATGAATGTACGCATGCAAACCTGCAACAGACCAGAAACAGAGTGATCCATCATCCTTATATCACCGCCTAAGAATCTTTGATTTTAGAGAGCATAAGAATAGAACACCAGTCGGGCGTGTTTTTTGCGTCAGCTACAAATACCCTTGTTCACCTTGCCCAACGAGTGATGGATAGGATTGTGATGGAATCATGAGTTTGTTTTGCAAAATATGGGTCTCCTCCCCCCTCCTTTTCCCTTGGAAGGAGCAAGATAAAGGAGGGAAAACTGTTCTGTACCCCGCTGGAAGACGGCAGTATCTACTGAAGATGAAGATGCTGGAACAAAAGAAAGAGGTAATGGCCATGGGATGCCCTTGGTGGATTCAAGAGGGAAACGGGGATAATTAAGCAAAATGATGGAACTTCCGTTTTGTGCATTAGAGAACACCACTGCAGGAGGGACTATGATAAGAGATGGTATCATTCTGAATGGATTCACTGCCATAACCATAGGCTTGCGGCATTCAGTTGTTTATCAATTCCATTAATTGTAGAGAAGTCAATCCAATTAAACAGATTTTAATTGATTCGTTTTATTTGACCGATTTAAGGTTTTTTTTTATAGTGCGACTGTATACAGGTCCAAATCAGAAGTGGATTTGGTGGGATTTACTCCCAGGTAACCTCCATAGGATTTCATCCGTAGGGCCAGATCCAGCTACATAGTTGTGCTAGTGGCAGCCAATGCAACAACGTGTGCGAGTGTAATGGAGCTGTCTCCTCTCTCCTTCCCACACTGCACCCCACCCCCGCAAATTGGCTCCAGGAAGTTGAGATAACACCCAGAATAGCACACAGGGGGAAGGAGAGGTGTGATCGTTTCACCAGGTAAGCAGAAATCTTTGTGCCAGTGCAGCACTACTTTGAATTCCACCCAAAGTCAAATAATCTACCAATTAAATGCACACATGGGTTAAAACAGCATTGCAATCTGTTTTTAATTGTGACCTGTGCTTGTTGCAACTTGCCCCGAGACCTTAGGGTGAAGGGAATAAAATCAAAATGATAATAATTATTCTTATTCTTTCTGAAGCAGGAAGTCTATTTTCTTTTCAAAACTGCAATAATGCTTGCAGTTCAAACACTGCGCCACCCTTTAGTTAGAGCGAGCGACCTGCTGCATTCTTTGGAGCGTGTCTTTGATGCAAAAACGAAGGTCAAATTTATTCCTCCTGAATTGGCGCAGCATCCCTCAAAGGTTCATGGGAACTGTAGTTTGGGGAGGATTCCGATCGCAACCCTCCGGCAGCTGCACTACAGCTCCCAGGTTCCCCTGGGGAGAGTGAAAGACTGCTAGACCTGTTTAAGGCCCTTCTGTGCATATAACTAGCTATTTATTAACCCAGGCAGAACTGAAGAGATGCTTGCAGCAGGAGGCAAGACTTAACAAGCCAAAAGCGAGGGACCTCAGCATCAGCGAAACTCTTGGGTGTGTGCCGGGAAATAATAGCTCCGAAGATGAGGAGCTTCTTGCGCTTGAGCGTGACCAGACATTTGACGGAGACCACGGTAAGTGATACTGGGGAGCTGAGCAGGTTTTCCGGTTTAAGCAACCTGCTGTGGTTCACACTGCTGCAACTGCCATATAATTAAGACACCACTTCCCGCAACCCAAGCGTCCACTGTAGTTTAGTGTAACAATTTGTCAAAGAAGCACGCTCCAGATCCTTCCAATAGCTTGTTACTATGAGCCTGGCCGCTAGTCAAAGAGAACTCCCTAAGAGATTTGAACTGTTAAGTTAGCATCACCTCCCACGAAAAGACTGAGCAGTGCCAGCTCTGGACATGTAAGGACGTTTCGTCCGGTAATTGCATTTACATCCACAAATACTTCCGGAAGTGAGACACTTTCTCATGTTTCTGCCGCATATGCTGATCAGACAGCAAGTCCCAGTGCTGCAAGATATATCAGCATTCAGGTCAAATGGCCACAAGTCACCAAGTGCCATTTTGTGACTTTCCTGATTGTCATCGGGCGACAAGGCAGAAGGTGGGAAAATATTTTCCACTCCGATGTCAGAAGTCCAGTCCCCGGCTTGATAACACAGTAAGCGTAGTTAATTAAAAAGGATGATTTATTGTCAAATCAAACAGATAGCTCCGGACGACTTAACACGGCTGCCGCCATCATCAGTCAAGATGACCCTTCTGAAGACTGCCTCCCACATGGCCAGAAGCAACTGAACTTTTGCTTCTTATGTCTTGTGTTTTACTTCCTATCTTGCAACCCTCCCATTCACCGAGACCTCGGACCTCAGCTCCCGCCTCTTCCCCATTCTCTGAGAGGCTGTCTCATAACTCTTTCCTGCCTGTTTGTGCTTCTGGTGAGCTTTGACTGTGTTCTAGCCTGTTCTCCGTTACTGTCTTATCAGCTTGTATGTCAAGGTCAGGATGAGCCAGAGTATGCAGCTTTCCTCTGTCTGACTAACATCAAAGCAACCTCTCTGATCCTGGCTATTTTCTGCAGTTAGCTGCAAACTTTTGCTTGGCGCTGGCTCATTCCTGACACCCGAGGACCACATTTGTTTCTGGGCATCCTTCTCAGGGTCATGCACCAGGGGTGGGTGGGGCCAGAGGCAAAAGGGGGCAGATCAATGGATGCAAATTTGTACTGAAGGCTAGTTTCTGCCCACACATCCAAACACCCCTGCTCTGGCTTCCACTGAGGCAAGGAAGAGGCATTCCCAGAGTTCCAGGAAACATTCCAAGCAAGCAAACACATTTCAGGTACAAAACAGCACCAGTGGGGCCTGGGGGCAGTTCCAAGGGCCTGGTAGAGCCCTGGAGGGCCGCACTGAGCCCCCAGTCTTGGGATTCCCCACTCTTCCTCTAGGCAAAACTACTGCAATTGATGGGCCACTCCAAGGTAGCCAAACCCATTACAGTGTTGTTATGAAGCTTCCTGTGGCGACCAGATACCCAATGCAGTAGAGCTTCCTGTTTCTTTTTATTAGGCGAACGGTGGAGCGGAGAATTTCCAAAAGAGCTTGGACCTTCTGAACCCCACCAAGGACAGAGGGGTAAAGTGGAGGCATGGTTGCTAAAGCAGCAGGCAAGAAGGGAATCTTTCTGGGATGCATCAAGCACAGACTCCGAGAACTGGGAAGGCGACTTGGGGAAACCTCGCCGGAGACCAGCCTTAGTGAGGACTAAGACGGAGAGGATTGCTCTGTTCGACGAGTTTTTTGATAGAGAGTTCTGAGCCAGAGAGTCCCCAGAAGGAAGGTCAGGTTGGCGAGGAAGATGGAGCGAGCCTTCAAGCCAGCAAGGCACCCTTCCATCTCACTTCTGCCATGGACTCGCAAGCTTCTCTTTTGCTCTGCAAAATGGGAGGTTTCAACATCTTACCTTACAGGGTAGGTGTGTGAAGCATTGGGCGTACTTGGAAGTGTTATACCAATGCTAAGTATTATTACAAAGCCCTCAATGGCTCGAGACCAAAGGACCTGCAGGAGTGACTATATCACCAGACCCTGTTCTTGATGCTTCCTGGTTGGCATTGACCCAATGACAGGGCCTTCATTGTGGTGGTCTCTTTTTGGAATGCCTTCCTTGGTCAACTGAGTCTCTCTCTCTCTCCCCGACTTTCAGGAGAAATTTAAAGGCCTCCCTGTTTACCCAGGCATTTGAGGGCCAAAAGACCTTGAAATTAGGAGCTGCGGGGGGAAAGTGATTGCTTTTCAATGTTGTTATATGTTCTCAACGGTTTAAAATGGTTTCTAAATGTTTTAAACATGTGTTTTATTTTAAGCTGAATTGTTTTAACATTTGCTATGTTTGCCACCTTGAGCTCCTTTGGGCAGACGGGCAAGATACAAAGATTCAGCCGTTGGTCAATAACTAAATTAAGTTGCATGGGAACCACAGGTTTTGCTGCAGTGCTCTGCTGAGATAAGCACATTTAACAGCCTTCATTCCAGCTCAGCTGAGTATAGTCTGTTGTCGCAGCGACTCTCCACGATTTCTGATGGGAGATTTCTCCCATCCCAGCTACCTGAGATAATTACCTGTTGAGTGGTGAGTTGCTAAAAGCTACAGCAAGCTGTCACCCTATCTGGTTTGGGGGTCACTCCTGGTTCTGGTGCAGTTCAAATAAACGAGCCCTTGCCTTCCTCGTTTTCTTCGATTCAGGCGGATGTCTAGGGCAGCTCGGAAGGGTCCTCGTGCAAATGCGCATGCGTGCAACGGTAGAGGCCCGGCTGGAAAGCTTAAATCCTGCCACCACTACACTGGAGAGGGATTGAAGAAAAGGAAATATGAATTGGCCCCGCCCTGTAGCTTGACCAATCGTGGCTAGGAGCGGCTAGGAGCCAAGTAGAGTCATAGATCTGAAAAGAAAAAAGGTGTAGACTTGCACACAGTGGCCAGCTTCCATTTTGACTTGAAATGTTCATGTTGGGCTTCTCTGAAGTATATAAAGACAAGAAGCGGGCAGGGGGAGCGCCGGCTCACAATGGCACCCACCTAAGAGGCCCATTCCAGGCTGAAAAAAAGCACTGTAAATAACTATCAGTCTTTGAAAAGCTGGCCTCACTGGATCAAGCATTTTGGTTGAATGAAACGAAATCATTTTATGTGTGTTTTGAATAAATATGCAATTCATTGTTACTGTTTTGAATTTTATGGTGCTACAGTGGTACCTTGAGTTACATACGCTCAGGTTACATACGCTTCAGGTTACAGACTCCGCTAACCCAGAAATAGTGCTTCAGGTTAAGAACTTTGCTTCAGGATGAGAACAGAAATTGTGCTCCGGTGGTGCTGTGGCAGCAGGAGGAGGCCCCATTAGCTAAAGTGGTGCTTCAGGTTAAGAACAGTTTCAGGTTAAGTACGGACCTCTGGAACGAATTAAGTACTTAACCCGAGGTACCACTGTATTTGTCATGTGACAGAGACACATGAGAGCAGAAGCAGCAAAGCAGGCTGGGAAGTGCTGGGACTGCACAATCATTTGGGCCTACTAAAGTTAGTCAGGTTATGGGCCCAGTGTTTTATGGATGGCGAATTGCTAAAGCTGGAGAATCAGGGTGTTGTTGGTGAGGACCTCGAAGGGACTGAAGGTCCAGTGGTGAGGCCACGTACCGGTGCAGCAAGGAGCAGAAGCCATGTCAGCTCAGCAACCTGCAGAGTTTATTAATCTTGGCAAGACTGCCTAGATGGAACGTCTGAATGGTAAGAATTACCTGACTTGGGCTCTCAAGCTTGAACTGGTTCTAAAACGTGATAGACTTTGGCACTGTGTGGAAACTGGTTTGAATCATGTTGTTTATGAAGAAGTTTATTTTAACTCAGTAAAGCTATTACAGTGGTGCCTCGCAAGACGAAAAGAATCCGTTCCGCGAGTCTCTTCGTCTTGCGGTTTTTTCGTCTTGCGAAGCAAGCCCATTAGCGGCTTAGCGGATTAGCGCTATTAAAGGCTTAGCGGGCTTAGCGAATCAGCTGATAAGCGGCTTAGTGGCTTAGCGGCTCAGCTGTTAAGCGGCTTAGCGGCTTAGGATCAGCTGATAAGCGGCTTAGTGGCTTGGGGAAAAGGGGGGGGGGGAGGGAAAAAACCCCGCAGGAACTCGCAAGACATTTTCGTCTTGCGAAGCAAGCCCATAGGAAATTCGTTTTGCGAAGCACCTCCAAAACGGAAAACCCCTTCATCTAGCGGGTTTTCCGTCTTGCGAGGCATTCGTCTTGTGGGGCACCACTGTATTCTTTAAAACTCTGCATCATTAATTTACGCTGCGCGTCACTATTATCTTCCTTAGTCGGTTGTGCAAACTGCTGTTCTGGACCATGCTTTTTATAGGGTAGATTAGGGGGCACTGGGGGTGAGTTTATGGAACCAGGGGAAGAAGAGAAGAGTTTGGATCTGATATCCCGCTTTATCACTACCAGAAGGAGTCTCAAAGCGGCTAACCATCTCCTTTCCCTTCCTCCCCCACAACAAACACTATGTGAGATGAGTGGGGCTGAGAGACTGCAAGAAGTATGACTAGCCCAAAGTCACCCAGCAGCTGCATCTGGAGGAGCGGGGAAGCGAACCCGGTTCACCAGATTACGAGTCTACCGCTCTTAACCACTACACCACACTGGGAGCAGTGACCCACAAAGGTTTGGGAACCACTGGTGTAATTCAGCTTTGTACTGTGAAGTACATCCTGTCTGTGCTTGCCACATGGTATTAATCACCGTATGATTCCCCACTCAAGTCCCCGTGTGTGCTGTTCCGGGGGTTCTCCTAACCACCCGAGCTAATTTTCAGCGCAGGGGTGGTGGGGGAGAAAAGCAAGGGGAAGCCCCACTGCGCATATAACTCTGGAATATTTGCAGATACCTCGAGCCACCTTGATGTTTTCATGATTTCCTGTACTGTTCCCTTCACCCCCCAGGTTAGGGTTCTGGCACTCCTAGGTGAAGCTGAAGTGGGATGCTTCTCCATGTTTTGACCTGGCTCAAATAAAGGAAACTAATGGGCTTTTTGAACAAAGGAATAAGCAACTGTCCAAAAGTGGAAAACGGTATTTATTTCTGTATAAGGGCTGGGAAGGGAACTGGCATGTGTTTTGAAAAGGAGAGAAAGAGGTCCGGCTTCATTTCAGTGAATCAATAAGTAAGTACCTGACATTTAACCTTGAAGGAATGTTTCCTTTCCTCGCAAGCCGTTTAAGTAACCCAACGCCAGGTGAAGAAAGCCAAGAACCAGCTCTCTTTTCAGATAAGAAACGTCAGGCTAAATGCTTTAGATGAAGATAACTCACCACGCTGAAACTGCGAGCTACCCTCATGCTGCCTTCCTCTCCATTTGTTAAGACCAACTGCCGTGATTTGGTTGATGGCCTGGGTGGGTGTCTAATCCGATCCTTGCAGTTTATCTTCCATCAGCAATCCTCCTTCTTCCTGAAGTTGGCATTGGCAGAAGTCTCATAGGAATGTGAGAAGAGCCTGCTGGATCGGGTCCATGGCCCATCGCAGTCCAGCATCCTGCCCTCAACCATGGTCAATGAGATGCCTCCATGGAAAGACCACAAGCAGGGCACAACACCCCTCTCCTCTCCTGTGGTTTCTAGCTACTGGTACAGTGGTACCTCGGGTTACATACCGGTACGCTTCAGGTTACACACTGCGCTAACTGAGAAATAGTGCTTCAGGTTAAGAACTTTGCTTCAGGATAAGAACAGAAATCGGGCTCCAGCGGCGTGGCAGCAGCAGGAGGCCCCATTAGCTAAAGTGCTGCTTCAGGTTAAGAACAGTTTCAGGTTAAGAACGGACCTCCAGAACAAATTAAGTACTTAACCCGAGGTACCACTGTACAGGGGACGCGGGTGGCGCTGTGGGTTAAACCACAGAGCCTAGGACTTGCTGATCAGAAGGTCAGCGGTTCGAATCCCCACGACGGGGTGAGCTCCCGTTGCTCGGTCCCTGCTCCTGCCAACCTAGCAGTTCAAAAGCACGTCAAAGTGCAAGTAGATAAATAGGTACCGCTCCAGCAGGAAGGTAAACGGCGTTTCAGTGCGCTGCTCTGGTTCGCCAGAAGCAGCTTGGTCATGCTGGCCAGATGACCCGGAAGCTGTACGCCGGCTCCCTCGGCCAATAAAGCGAGATGAGCGCCGCAACCCCAGAGTCGGTCACGACTGGACCTAATGGTCAGGGGTCCCTTTAGCTTTTTTACCACTGTATTCAGAAACATCACTGTCTCTGACTGTGGAGGCAGACCATAGTCATTGTGGCTAGCAGCCATTGACAGCCTTCCCCTCCATGAATTCGTCCAGTCCTTGTTCAAAGCCATCCAAACTGCTTGCCATCACTGCCTCCTGAGGAAATGAATTCCATTGTTTAAAATGTGGCACGTGAAGTTCTTTATTTTCTGTCCTGTATCTTCCAACCTTCAGTTTCATTGGATGCCCAATTCAACATAGCGCTATGACAATTCAGCGCTGCATTATCCTGTCTGTGCTAACATTCCAGCTGGCCACATGCGGCAATCCCCCGCTCTATTCCCCCCCCCATGTGTTGTTCCAGGGGTTCTCCTGATCCCGAGCCAATTTTTGGAGGAACGGGATATTATGTGGGTTTTTCTATCCACTTCCTCCACGCCACGTATAACTTGATGGGCTTTGATCATGTCACTTCTGGCTCAGTTTTCTCTAGATCTTGATTCCCCAGAGGTCCTGTTCTAAAGACCAAGTGGGATGCATGGAAACCAGATGTGCTTCTTAAGAGTTTCTTACATGAGTCAGTAGGGATGCAGGGAGACACAGAGTTTTCTGTTCTGCTCTCCACTTCTCACAAGCAGCGCTGCTTCCATTCCTCTGCAGTCCGACTTCAGCCAAAAACTGTATTATTCATTTCACTGGCTGCTGTAGCCATATTACGTAATTGACCTAATTATGTAAATTACATTGTCATTACATTATTCCACCCCATTAATTTCAATGCATTAGCTAGCTAGCAGGACCAGTGGTCAGGAATTGTAGTCCAAAAACAGCTGGAGACCCAAGTTTGGGAATCCCTGGTCAAGACCAACATCCTGTTTCCAACGTTGACCAACCAGATGACTTTGAGAACCTAACAAGCAGGGAAAGTATGGATCTTTAACAACGAACAGTGCGATCTGGAAAAATAAACCATTTTTTTTTTATTCTAGAGCTCATGGACTCAGCATTTTGGGGAACTTGGAAGCAAGTCACTCTGCTTGAATGGCAAAAGGCAGTGTGCACTGAAAATTCAACATACTAAATCTAGCCTTGGCCAACCTGGTGCCCTCCATGAGACTTGGGACTATAGCCCTCCATCAGTCTGTTGCTTCTTGGGGCTGTAGTCCAAGATATTTGGCTATTCAGAGGGTATGCTAAGCAGCTGCAGAAAGGGGCAGATTACCATTTCACTTTTGGGATTACCGGGATAAAGAACAGTAGGCAAAACCACAGATGAGAGAGGTAACCACTACATATTATGGCAGATAGGGGCTAAAGGTAAAGGTAAAGGGACCCCTGACCATTAGGTCCAGCCATGACCGACTCTGGGGTTGCGGCGCTCATCTCGCTTTATTGGCCGAGCGAGCCGGCATACAGCTTCCGGGTCATGTGGCCAGCATGACTAAGCCGCTTCTGGCGAACCAGAGCAGCGCATGGAAATGCAGTTTACCTTCCCGCCGGAGCAGTACCTATTTATCTACTTGCGCGGGTGTGCTTTCAAACTGCTAAGTTGGCAGGAGCTGGGACCGAGCAATGGGAGCTCACCCTGTCGCGGGGATTCGAATCGGCGACCTTCTGATTGGCAAGCCCTAGGCTCTGTGGTTTAACCCACAGCGCCACCCACGTCCCTTACAGCCAGTGGCTACTTCAAATTAAATACAGAAATGCAGCACTGTCATCCAGCAACAGGAAAAAACCAAGGCAACATCAGCTGTATTTTTTGTTTTGATATCTGCTTGAAGTTTTCAACTAATTAACATTATCTGAATCAAGTTTTTCCCCCTCACAGTGATTTGATGCAATGCAATTGTCAGGACTGCAAAGAATGTTTTTGTACTTGAAGACAAATCTCTTTTGGAGAAAACATTAGAAACTGATTGGTTAGTTGAAACTGTTTTTTTTTTATATAAAAAAACCTCATCTTGCTGCTGCAACAGCCCTTCAGAACATACCTTTTGCCTTCTGAAATTGGGAATAGATGAGTACCTCAAATATGGTCCCAGTACTGTTTTGCTACAGTTACTAATACAAAGAGCATTCTTCCAAAACAGGAAAGATGTACACAGCATGCTCAAGATTGTATTTGAAGTGGACTCAGTAGTGGAATTCTGGAGGACTTCAGCCAGCTGGGAAGAAAAAATACAATCTACAGATTAAATATTCCTAAAATGCACAGGGACAGATCGTTCAGGATTATGGCACTTTGGATTTTAGATGAGAGGTTACCATGGGGGAACAGTTAAATATGCAAGCACAAAAATGATAAACTTTCTGTATGTAGAGAGCTAGCATATTAAGAAGTAATTGAAGTTAAAATGTTTCATGACATGCTGATTTTTATATTGCAGTGGGTCCCCCCCTAAAAAACCCCCAGTGTATTCAAACATGCAATGTACACCTACAGTTGAAAAGTTATATAGTCCAGGAAGATTTATCCTTTGTTTTTAAAAAGAATTATTTCTAATTTGTCACTGAAAGCCTCAATAATTAAATAAGAGGGTTACCAACACTTTGAAGAAAATCTCATGATTTATACTAGAAAACTCACGTCAATTACTCTTACGGTGGCTAGACGCAGACCTCCAATCCTCCTGGCTTACTTTCTGTAGTGTCAAACAAAATTATATACTGGGGTGGGAAGCAGTAACAAAAAGATGCTTCCATTATTATGTCTTCGTAGCATTTACCATGGCCCAAACTCTTGGCTTTATTAGCGGCAAAGATGGACATGCACGATTGTTCAATAGCTAGACCCTGGTAGGAAATAGATGCCTGGTGGATGCTCAACAGGACATTATCTGCTGGTGCAAACATGGTAAGTGAGTCCTGCTAGCAGAGCACTCACTCAAATTGATAAAGAGATAAGGCCTGATTCAGATTGGGGGGCCACGGTGGAAGGAGAGGTGAGCCACACAAATTGTGTCCAGAGAGAAGTGCCAGTTTTAAATTAAAATCCTTTATTTTTCCCAAATACAATTCACAACTTATACATAGTGGGGAAGATGCTCAGTCTGTGCAAAATAGGGATGGCCTTCCTTTAAACTTACTAAGCTGTCCAGAATGGGTTGTCCTTCTCCAAAGGGTGACTGGAAATCAGGTACTCTCAAATGTACAGTTAACTCAAACCATTGCTGCTGCTGTTGTTGTTTAAGACAGGTTGAATCCTTAACAAACAACATAGTAAGGCAAAGTTGAATTCTGAAGATTTTCCTTCCGATATAAGGAAACGGTTTATTTTTCCATGAGTCATCTAGGGTTATTTTAATGTTTCCCTTATATATATATATTGTATATAATATATATACCAACGCTGTCATTGCCGAACTGCCAAAAAGAAATGATTTGCTTTACATATTGCACTGACAGACAGAAGTACACACTGTGCCGCTGCTGAAAAAGGATACTGGTTTTAACAAGCCGATGTAGCCCATTCTGAAAAGGGGGTCGGGGTTTGTATCAAACCTTTGAACACCTCTCTGCCAAATTAATCCGAAGAAAATTAAAACTGGAAGAGTTTTGGCTTTCGTTAAAAGAAAAAAGAAAAAAGGAGAGAAAGCGAATGCAGCTTAAAGATGGGTACGGTGCAACTTGAAATTTATTTCCAAGACCAAGAACTGAGAACTGAAACATTTTTAAGAACACGGAAGCAAAGCAATGTGAATCCAAATCAAAATTACGTTCTTCCAACTGCTTTAAAATAATGCCTCTTTCGCTATTCTAGTGATAATTTTGATTAAACAAAAATTGATCCAATCTACATTAATTTACTGCTTTGTGGTTTTGTTTTTTTATATATAAAAAAAGATCCCTCACTCTCTTTAAAGGAAAAAGTGCATCAGACTCCCTTTTAGCAGCCACTCAAAAAAAATAGCTTACACTTCTTGCTGTAAGAGACGGGCTTTTTAAGCCCTCACCTGGGAGAAGTTTCCAAATCATAAATGAAATAATTTATTATCAAATCCAGAATTTAAATAAAATCTGTTCTTGCAAAGACCAAAAAAAAGGGGGGGGGATCAAGAAAAGAAAAGCATGCACTCAAAAGTCAGCGGTGGAGACAAATATACTATCTATACAGGCACTGGCAGACGCAATTTTATTGTCACCGTTACTCGATGTAACACACACCCCACCCTACAATACATTTTTTCATCCACTAATCACTGAGGTACCAATATTTAAGAATGAAAAGTTCAATATTGAAAAATAAAACCTAAAGTTGAAGCAGTTTTTATTTTCCCCAGAGAAAAAAAAAACCTATGGTGAGTTTTGTATGAAATGTTAGTATACTTATAGTATTTTTTTTTAATTTTCTTTTTACAATCTACATTGGCTTATCTCTTTCTCTCTCTCTGGAACCGGGAAAAAAAAGAGAGTTGTGTTCCACATTACACAGGTTCTTGGATAAAATGTTCACCATCTTATATATCAGGAGTCAGTAGACTTGCAAATGAACAGGGATCTTGGCTACCTACTGGCACATCTTCCTGGTTACCAAGAGGATCTGAAGTCTGAAACAACCTGTTGCAAATTCAGAACAAGACGTGCCATGCCACACAGTGCAACGATTTAGGTGCGACGTTCGATGAGACACTCACAGAGAAGAGCTGCATGGAAGTTATTATGTCCACCTGCAAAGCAATTTCACACAAATTGCATTGCATGCAAAGGACGCCGCTGCCCAGCTGGTTGGGGAGAGGAGTCCTGGGCGCAAGGATGGCCTCCTATCAACGCAGCCACAGTTTAAGACGCAGTGCATCAACTCCATTTAAATAGTATCTGAACAGCCTCTTGTCTCGAACAAAGCCAAGGTTTTCATAAAGTTTCAACGCGGACTTGTTTGTGATCTCGGTCTCCAAGACAACCTGCAAAAGAAGATGACAAAATTTTCAAGCGATACTGCATTTTTCCGAAACTCCGAGGTTCATCAGATTGATATATATATATATTTAACAGCAGTCAGATTCTTGTATTTCAGCTTCATATCATCTGTAGTCCCGTAGAATATCACTATAGAAACCCCCAGAACTGGCCAAGGAATCAATTTGCTGATTCAAATGTGCATGTTTAAATCGCCTGTCCAACATGCAGGTTTGGGTTTTTTTTTGGAAAAAACAACAAATGCATTTACAAAGGAGGACCAAGGCATTTCATAGAGCCAAGATATGCAACAAATAACTTATGTGTGTACGTGAATCCATACAACCGGTTCTCTAAAATGCAGAAGGACATATTCTATGTTCTCCTAATGGCAGCCTGGTGCCAGAACAATCTAACCATCTCTCAGATGGTCAGACATTATATAGTTAAGCTGGCGTTACCTAGATGAGGGGCTGCCCAAGACCATAGAGGGTAACGGAAAACGATGATTGAATATGCCTCTGAAAGATCCTCTCAAGAAGGGAAAATGGCTGTAGCCCTCACAGTGAAAGTACAGAAGGCAGCAATACGCTTTAACTTTCTGTGCACACACTGTGTTTGTAAGTAGGTAAGTCTCTCTCTATGTAGTACAAACATTTGTTTTATGTATGACATTTGTCATATCATTACTTTAAAAAGTACAATACACTTGAGACATGTTTTTTCTTATAAGAGGAACAGAAAGCTAAAGTTACACCACATCTTGATTGAAGTTTGTTAAGAGACACTAGAGCCCTGATTTAGCCTGCCAACAGTCAAGTGGCCATCCCAGTTCTATACTACTGCTCACCTTTACCAGGTCTTAGAGGCAGCTGTAATAATAATAATAATAATAATAATAATAATAATAATAATAATAATTTATTTGTACCCTGCTCATCTGGCTGGGTCTCTCCAGCCACTCTGGGTGGCTTCCAACAAAGATACATCAAAATGTCACACATTAAAAACTTCCCTAAACAGGGCTGCCTTCAGATGTTTTCTAAATATCAGGTAGTTGTTTATTTCTTTGACATCTGATGGGAGGGCGTTCCACAGGGCGGGCGCCACCACTGAGAAGGTCCTCTGCCTGGTTTCCTGTAGCTTTGCTCCTCACAGTGAGGGAACTGCCAGAAGGCCCTTGGCGCTGGACCTCAGCGTCCGGGCAGAACTATGGGGGGTGGAGACGCTGTTATTCCTGGTTACCTCCTGTCCCTCCCTGAAACCCTTCAGCATCCTGAGAGACTCCGAAGTGGAGACCGATCTTCAGAGGCAGTCTGAAGCTGGGAGTCGTTTTACTCTTTTCTGGAGACTCTGAAGCCTAGTGCAATTCAGAGACGGTCCTCTAGGCCACTTTGTACAGGGGCAGGTGGTTTGGCTGATTAAAGTTTTATGGTTTCCTCTGACAGCTGCATTTGCAGACTCTTGCCTATGAAGCATGCACATAATGATGATAATCAGGATCAACAAGAGCCTACTGCTTCTTGTATGCACCTCTGCCCCTTCTTGCTATCCGCTGCCACATGGGTAGTCCACAGCCCTACTGCTTCACTGCCCCACTTAGGAAGTTTCCTATTTCCCCAATACCCTAATTCAATGCCTCCTCTTCCACCAAATGTATCCAGCCATCACTACCTATTGCAGTGTTAAGCATATCCACAAATGAAGCTGCTTCACGTCCATCAGCACCGTCATGAGCGGAAAACCACAGATCACAGTTGCCTCCCAAAATATCCATAAAGCCAATTTATATACGTTGAGTTGGGGTGGCCAGGAGTGAGGGAGCTGAAGTTTCAAGTTGCAACAGATTTTGTGATTAACAACACTATGTCCACCCTGAACTCTAAGGATGGAATGAGCCATAAACCAAACAAACTCCGCTAACATTATCTCTAGAAGCATTTGCTTTTCTAACTACACAGGCAGCATTCACTTCCACCAGTGCTATTTTAAGACACTGGCTGTGCTCAGACATTCAAAAGGCCACAGAAGCCTGGGCTCTGCCACACCACTGTGATCGTCCAACAGTGCATTGCCCACAAATGTGTATTAATTACTCTGTAACTGCATTAGATTATTATATTATGGTTACGATTTGATAGTGAGAAGATAGGGTGCAGAAGGGGAGAACAACTCCTCTGTGGAAAAAGGAGTGGCAAGTCAACCAAAATGAGAAAAGACGAAATTGTGTTTTGAATGTATGTGTTAAATGTTGAAACTCAGTATACCGTCTTTTTCGCTCTATAAGACGCACCAGACCACAAGATGCACCTAGTTTTTGGAGGAGGAAAACAAGAAAAAAAAATACTCTGAATCTCAGAAGCCAGAACAGCAAGAGGGATCGCTGCGCAGTGAAAGCAGTAATCCCTCTTGATGTTCTGGCTTCTGGGATAGCTGCGCAGCCTGCATTCACGCCATAAGACGCACACACATTTCCCCTTATTTTTTAGGAGGGAAAAAGTGAGTCTTATAGAGCAAAAAATACGGTGTGTGTGTGTGTGTGTGTGTGTGCGCGCGCGTGTGTGTATATATATATATATATATATATATGTATATGTATGTATATGTTTTGGGGGGGAATTATTCAGTAACTGCTACGTAAAGTGACTGTATGCATGCATGAAATAGTAATAGATCCATCACCGCAGAGAACTTTTATTACTTGCAACATCAAAATACAACACTTTTCAGCACACATTGTTTAGTTCAGACTAAAGCTGCTGAGTAGCAAGAAATGTACACACATGAATGGCTCAGATCCAAACGCATCAGAATTAAATATATGGCAAGGTAAGAGGACGCATCATCATAATCCGTTTATTACGGTCAATAGACCTGAAACAAAGGGGATTGATACTGAATGCTCCCGTTTCAGCCTTCTAATTTACTGTATCAGGAGAGAGAAAATCTACTATAAATGCAAACTGGAATTTATAAATCCGAATAATCCAATTGTTCGGGAACTTCAAGCTCTTCAAGGAATAGTTCAATTCAAAAGAGCTGCAGAGAAATGCAGTTTAAAATATATCTAGGGTTCCAGGTTTGGGAAAGGATGCTGCAGACTAATTAATAAGGATGTTGCCAAGCTGGGATGTGTGCAGAAGACAGCAACTAAGATGAACAAGGGTCTGGAAACCAAGCCTTATGAGGAACGGCGGAGGGAGCTGGGTGTGTTTAGCTTGGGTAAGAGAAGACAGGATAGCCATCTTCAAATATGTAAAAGGCTGACACATGGAAGAGGGAACAAGCTTGTTTTCTCTTGTTCTGGATGGCAGGAACTGAACCCATGGATTCAAGAGGAGATTCCGACTAAACATCAGGAAGAACTTTCTGGCAGTAAGTGCTGTTTAATAGTGGAACAGATTTCCACAAGATGTGGTGGACTCTCCTTCCTTGGAGATTTTTAAGCAGAGGTTGGATGGCCATATATAATATGTGATTTAGTTGAGATTTCTGCATTGCAGGGGGTTTGGCTTCAGAGAAGAAAAGAGAAATGGGGCAACAACTAGGACAAAATTGACCCCCTCAGTAACACGTAGCAAGGCTATCATTTTAAAGCTGAAGATCATGGGTAGGCAAACTAAGGCCCGGGGGCCGAATCCGGCCCAATCGCCTTCTCAATCCAGCTCGCGGACGGTCCGGGAATCAGAGTGGTTTTACATGAGCAGAATGTGTCCTTTTATTTAAAATGCATCTCTGGGTTATTTGTGGGGCTTAGGAATTTGTTCATTTCCCCTCCCCCCAAAAAATATAGTCTGGCCCCCCACATGGTCTGAGGGACAGTGGAACGGCCTCCTGCTGAAAAAGTTTGCTGACCCCTGCTGAAGATGTATCTCATTGGTTTTCATTTTAATTAGAATTCCTCTGTATTTCTTTTCCTTTTTTGGCTCAAGCAATGGTCATTTCCACAATGAAATTTTGCTATTTTTCTGCCTGAGTGGGCTGTTATGTTAAAATGAAATAAACACCTCAGTCTTTGATAGCTATCATTATTTTCCTGGCCTTTTACAGGTAAGGGGAGATATTTATTAACTTCCACGGTGTTCTTTTCAAAAATGAATTTTGTGCATTTATGAAGCAAATGAATCTTTAGCTGTCATATGCAACACCTTTGTTTTCAAGGCAGGGCAATAAATTATCATTGCAAGTAGTCAGCATAACCAGCAGCATGCATTCCATTGTTTACTCTGTTGGTTCAGCAGGTGTGAGTTAATGCTGAAATTCCTGTTTATTGGTATTCTAAGTACTTCAAGGTTCTCTTTTGTGGTTGTTCATGAAAGCCTTTCTACCAGTTTGCCCTTTCAAAAACAAGCTGCTTCCAAGTCAAGATTTCAACATTAGTTCTGATCGGTTGATTTTATTAGGTTCCTATTCAGAGCTCCTAAAAAGCAGTAACTGTTTTAAGACGATTGAGGATGTTTGGCTCAATGTCCCATTTGATAAGCCATGGTTTGCAATTTGGCAGCGAGTTGGAATTAGAAACTGTGGCCTGTGATGCGATGTGAGTTTGCAAACTATAGTTTGTATTAGTTATGGCTTGGTGTGATGCCAAAGCTGAATAAGTTACAGCTGCTGCTGTATGCCTGGAAGCCACTAAATCTTGAGACAGGAGTGCTGAGCAAAGAGGGAGGAAATGGGAAAGAAACTCTAAACCATAGGTGGGACATTTGAATGCTCTGAGCAGTAGTTAGCATAAACCATAGATTTGGTACGGTGTCTGAACCAAGCCATAATTTCAGATTTTTTGCCCATCAACCTGGTTTGGTCCTAGTTCAGTGGACTAAATTTGGGCAGTAAAAGACAAATCAGTTTTAAGAGAGTTCAAGCAGATCAAGGGGAGGAGGCAGGGAAGGCTGCAGGGCAGAGCACCAAACCAGGAAGATTAGCAAAACAGGTCAGCAAAAGGATAGCCCACTGATCAGCAAAAGGAAAGGTATCCTGTATTGCGCTTTTAAGGGTGGGTGTCTCCCTCTGGGTCACATGTAGTTCCTCCAGCAAAGGCCCAACATTATTGTAATCAAAGTGTGCCACAAAAAATTCCCAAAGCTTTGCTCATAAACAAAAGGATGGGGGGAAATTGCTTTCAGATGATGTGTGCGAGAGAGATTTCATGCTTTTACATGGTAAATTTCACTGCCAGGTTTTTAAATGCAACACATCAGCTATGCACAAGCGATGCCCTTCATCGGTTCTTCTTGCTAGGTGGCACCAACTTTATAATAAAGTCTGGTGGCTGCTAAGGGGGATGTTTGGGTGGAAAACCACTTCTGGGCCCAGACTATTGTGAAGAGAACGCATTAGCCCCAGAGAATACTGAAGCTGCTGATACCCAAGATGTGTTTTCATGTAATAAAGCCTTATTAGTCATGTGGTGGTTTTTTTAAGAGTAAAAACTGTCACAGTTTTGCATAGTCTACAACATCTTAAACTTTTAGTACACAAGCCAGAAATGCCATTTTAAGGTGCCCTTACTCTGGACAACTGTTACTTTCTCCAACTGTTTTTGGATGTTTGTAAAAACAATCTTTATAGACATCACTGCCCTGTCTAAAACAGTCAAACAGATACCAACTCATTTCCTGGAGTCACAGAAAGCTCTCAGAATAATGTATCTTTCTGAATGTGTTCTATATTCTGCTCTAACAGAAGAGTTGCTTACATAGCAAATGGCATTTGAAATGATGGCCTTCTAGCGAAGCGAGGAATGAAAACATACTTCCTTCAAATGAAGAAAAGACTCACCTCATCGCAATCTCCTTCTACCATGGCATAAATAGCTTTCTTAACCAAGTTTGTACCTGGAATAGAGATTAAAAGCAACAGATTTAAACCACTGGCACAAATTATTTCAGCACCAATTAGCTCCTAGAGTTCAGGCTATGGCATAAAAGCAAATGTACATAATTAATGATTACTATGGCTATTCTGTACAACCAAGATAAAATACCTTCTCTAATTCAAAATAAAAAGGCCTCTTAGCCCTCTGCATCAAATTGGGCTGGGCATTTCCTGTCTCCTAATTCAAACTGAAGAACTGGCCTTATTGAGGTCTTTTTTATTTTGTTTTTACTGAAGCAGAAGCACAAAGCAGCTTTCAGGAAAACAATCACCAAACAATAAATCAGATTTAAAATAACGAAGGTGTTACAACAGCCAGGGCCACCTAGCCTGCAATGGTATAATGAACTGTATGGCCAGGGAAGATTCTGGGGTACAGGGTAGGGGGCTAAAAGTGTGAGGCATTATGGGTTGTGCTAAAAGTGTGAGGCATTATGGGTTGTGCATTAAAGACAGCCAGTGTCTTTAATGCCTTGGCATTAAAAAACAACAACCTTCAATTGCCTGCGTTGTCAGAGTTTTGCTTCTCACAAAGTGTCATGCTTTGGACCCTCCCCTCCCCCAAGTTTTGTATTTGTTCCGTTAGTGAAGTTCAGATTTCCGTCTAGACGTGTTTTAACCGAGGAAGTCTACCATCTGAAGATGTCTTACAAGGCAAGGCAACCCCCTCGAAGAGCATGCACTGCACATAAAAGAGGCATGCCAATCTTCAATAGAATACAACTAGAATGAACACTGGGGGAAAGATAATAAATGAATTTCTATATCAGTGAATAAGCAGGGAACCAAGCTGTGTCCAATAAGTTGCTGCTGTGGACAGAGAAAACCAAAGCACCCTGGTGTGTCTGCACAAGGGATTCTTTAGATCCCTGCCAGTCAACAGTGTGCTGTACCAGCGATCTGAAGCAATGGCCCGTGAATTCACTTACTCCCAACTGCCAAGGCAAGCTTTCCTCTCTCAGTTCCCTGCAAAGCAAGCCTTCAGAGCTCAGAGGGCCAAGGCAGAGGACAAGTGTGGGAGCTAGTCCCATCTCCTTGTGGAACCCTGGTCTGAACAAGGTGGCTGGGATTAAATTGGAAACCGCCAATTTCTGTAACCAAGCCTAAAGCCGAAGTGTATTTGGGGAGGAATGCCCGACAAATTCCTTCTAAGATGGGAGTGGGAGAGTAGTTTCTGCTTCATATCCAATTTACCATTCATTCATGGCACCTACATTTGCATTAAGGGGGGGAAAGTGGTTCTCCCCTGGCTTTTGGTTCATTTAAGGCATACATAAAACGGCTGGCAACTGGTAGTTGTCAGGCTACATCTGGCCACCTGAGGGATGCCATCTGTTCACAGCAAATGTAGGTAGATAGATTAGGGGTTTTATCGTGTAGCAGCCACGAGGCCCCGTAGTGCCCAACACTGGCAATTTCCTTCAAAATGCAGCCATGACACACTTCAATGAATTCATGATGGCTCAATTTAACAAACACAGGAAACTTGCTGAGAAGGTGAAGTTATCACCTGGTGGTGGGCAAGCTGGTGAACTCACAGAGGCCCGGTTTCAGCTTTTTATTTAATTTTTGTTTGCTGTTCCCTCAACACAGACACACATATACTGGAGGGCTTCCGGTGATTTGCATGATTAAGTGTATGTCCTTAAGACATGATTTTCATAACATGGCTTGCATATTATTTTTATGAACATGGGATGCACCACACAGCTGTAAGTATTCCACAACACAACGGTGCAGCTACTCTAAATAAAAAAAATCAACTCTCTTTTCTCCCCATGATGGAACTCTAAACTGGGTATCTGAGAACTCAGACTGACACCCAGACTGGTGCATGTCTGGTGCATCTTATGTTTTCCGGTCATGCCCAGTTTCTCCATCTTTTGTGTACGTTATGATTATTTAAAAACAAACTACAGTCATATGGAATTGTTAATGAACAAGAAAAACAGATTATTATCAGGAGTCTATTATGGACTTCAAAGACTGTAGAGATGGGCTGGAGAACTGCAAGTTTTCTCACCTAAAAACAATAACGTTCAAAAATAACTTGTAACACAAGAAGGGTGTAATCAAGATTTCATCCCAAAGCAGCAACTTATCAGCAACTTTTAGATATATTTTTATTTATTTAAAAAAGGACACAAATGCTATTCTTACCTATGCCTTTTCTTCTGTATTTGGAATCCACTGCTAACATGGCTATATAACCTCTGCGAAACATCTTTTTGTGCATATCCAACTTGCAGACGATGGCACCTACACACTCGTCTCCTACCATTGCCTTGAAAAAAACAACAACCCAAGAACATTTTTGTAGATTAAGAGGGCAATATGCAGTGCCAGAAAACTCACCATTCTATAGGTACATTTACAGCAAGATTGCTTTCTGGAAGTTATTTGCTTTACAAATAAAGGCAGATGCATCTCCCAGTAACTAAAGCATACACTACACATTTTGTAGTATGGCAAATTTCGAGGATGATTTCTCAAATTATTACATTGACTGGCTTGGATTCTAAGTAGCACAAATTTAAGAAAGCTCACTTTCCTGTTCCCTCAAAGCCCCACCATCCTGAGAAGTCTCTCTCTCTCTGAGGGGTGGAGGACCCTCTCCACTGTGGAAGACAGGGCAAGGAGAGCTGCTGGGGGAGTTGCCCCCAACTGGGCAGAGGGACTGTCTGCGAGCTTCATCTGCAGAAGGCATCTCTGCTCAAAAGCATGTCCCCCCCATGCCTTTTAGGAACACCCTCCTGCCTGGCCTCTCCTCAGGGGCTTTTGGGTGGATGCAGAAGAGACAGGAAAGTCCCCTTGTGCAAGCTTGTTTCTGCTTGTCATTTAGGATGCACACTACTGATTTCAGCCTAGCCCCTATTCTACACAGAACTCCTAAAAGATTATGTAAAGGAAGGCCTCATGCAATTCAAAGAATGCATCGATACCAGTACAGTGGTACCTCTAGTTGCAAACACCTCTGGACACGTATCCTTCGGGTTATGCACGTGGCAAACCCATAAGTAATGGAAAGGTTTCCACTGCATGAGCATGTGCAGAAGCAGGCTTTCGCCCCACGAGCATGCGCAGAAACAGCGCCTCTGGATGCGAATGTTTCGGGGTAAGAATGGACCCCCTATTACTCGCCTGAGGAAAATAATTTTGAAATCCTGAGAAGGGAATACACAATCTAAGCATTATTTAAGTTAGCAAGCTGTTCTAATGATATACAGCCACTGTCCTCTAACCATGAACTAAACTGGAGAGTCACAAACAAAGCTGCAGTCAGAGAACTCCAGAAGCTATTCTGGAATAACTGGTTTGAGGACTGCAAAGAAGGACTGTGAAGAAGGGAAAGAAAAATCTACACTCCCCAAACCACCTCTTTCACACAAATATACACAAAGGTTTTCGATATATACGTAGATCACTTGCCATAACTAAATTTGTTTCAGAATTCTTATCCTTTCAACAAAATACTAATTACTGATAACTTAAGCACTCATGGAAGTTAATTGTACATTTCCTAATCCACTTATGACACACCTGCACACATAAAATATTGAGTGAGGAAAAGAAGCTGCAAAATCAATTCATTTGAAAAGATTCATAAACCTATGTGATAAAATATACTGAATGTGTAAAATTTACCACCAAGGAATACTTTAAGGGGAGATTCCTTGCTAAATCTGCACCTCTCTCCTCTCAGATCCAAGTCTCTACCCACAAAACCTGTGCAGCAGGACAATGCAGAGACCAACCCAAGCACTCTGACTCAGAAGCAAAAGTTACTGGATTTAAAATTCAATCCATCACATCAAAATGTTTTCTTCATAAAATCTGGCATAGAGGGGCCCCATACGTTTTTTAAGATATAAAAAATTAAGCAACAACAGTGAGTTGCAGAGGAGTTCAACTACCTTCTCAAGTTCTCAAACACAGGGGAGGGGGAAATCCCCAACCTATGCTAAATTCTTGCCTTAGGCTGAAACCTTGCACAGTATACAATAGGCTTACTCGCCTCTTGCCAGATCCTGAGAAGTGTCACTGAATATGCTAAAAGAACACCAATTTTTGCGCAAAGAAGCTCGAATGTATTACGTGACTGTTCATGCTATATCTTCTTTTGTTAAAGAGACACCAAGGGTAATAATGCATTACAGGCCAAACCACTTGGAATCAGGCATCATTATAGGCTAGCAGCACAAACCAATTACAGTTAAGCACCCTGAATTCTGATCAAGTTCAACAGGAGGGATTTAAGCAGGTACTTAACTCTCCCATTGTGATCAATGGGGGCACGGTTTTTCTTCCTAACAAACCTCTTGGAACAAGTGTGCATTCATGTAGTGAGTTCAAGGGCGCACACACACACACAGTATACAATAGGCTTACTCGCCTCTTGCCAGGGAACAGCGTTTGCATAGCAGGATGAACAGAGCCAGCTGCTTGAACTTAGAAATGCTTACGCTGGCATACAACATAAGCATTTTGTGCCCTCACGCTGGCACAGCTGTTCTCTTACATTCTGTCCTTAGAGGTTACATGGAGTCTTAGATTTGGTAGGTAGGCAGGCAAGAGTAGATTTCATTGTGCAGCAGCAGCAGAAGCACCCAGGCTATGTTATGACATACAGAAGATGACATTTCAAGCAGCTTTCTCTTAAGATTTCACTCAAGTCATGAATAAAAGCAGGTCTCACTTAGTTCCTAATGTCTTAAAAGGGCACCCAGCCAATTATTGTTAGAAGCATGAAGAAAGTATGCAAGTTAGAATCCACTTCGAAGTGAAGCTAGGGTCACAGACATGAAGATAACAAGACCTGCAGAAAACTTTGGTAGTATTTTAAGAAGTGGGCACAAAGAGCCCTGCCTTAAACTTCAGCTGCAAATCACTTCTTACTGATGGCCTTGCAATAGTGAAGACAAAAAATTCTAGAGATAAGCAGCTGTAAGCTAACGTCTTTCATCTTTGAAGCCAATGAGCAATACCTGAATTCCTGTTGTCACTTTATTATCTGGAAACAATAACTTTCTGTCTCTAGTTCCAGCAACACAGCTAAATGAACGGCGTTTCACTTGGAGCTCAGAATTTAACCAAAGCTGCTTAGAATTTACTTCTCCAGCTTTTATTCATGGGCCTCATTCAGTCACCACACTAGTTCAATCTACAAACCATAGTTTAGAGATCAGCAACATGTGACAGGTTTCCATTCTCTTTCTGCCTTTCCTACTCTCAAATGTGTGCATATACTTCCTTTCTTCCATGGTTGGTTTTGAGGTAGCGCTAGTTAGCATTTATCATTGTTTGCATCTGAATCAAGCAAATCATGGAAAGAAGAGAGAATCTTTGAGAGGACAGGGCTGCAGCTCAGTGATAGGGGATCTAGAAAGTCACAGCTTCAATTCACGACATCTCCAGGCAGGGTGGGAGAAACCCCAGTCTGAAACCCTAGAGCCACTACTGGTCAGTACAGACAATACTGAATTAGACGGACCAACAGCCCGATTCAGTATACAGCAGTTTCCTATGTATGTTTCTATGACAGGTAGAAGGGAGCAAGCATTACTGAATGCTAGGTTTAGACTAGGCCACTGGAAATAATCTATAAAACACAAACTGCAACCAAACCAGAAGTTTACCATCAAGTAGCACCATTTAGAAACTTGGCCTAGTAAAAATTTGGCCCTTATGAGGTCACCTTTAAATTTCTCGTTTTATGTTCTGTTACCATTCATGTTCAACATTCACAAGGGTCCAAGCTCACCAGACTTCTAAACACACAAGCAGGGAGAGACTATGGCGTATCACCAGCATTACAACTTTAAGCAAGGAAAGTCCCATTACTAGAGGAAGCTTAGTGCTTCACTCCAACACTACCGCTTAAAAAAATAATAAAAATCAAACCTGACTTCAGGGATGTTGAAAGTATCAAGCACAGACTACAAACAGATTAATTTTGTTAGAGGCTAATCAATCCGGGAGGACTAAGCATCTTGCAGCATTATTAGTTTTAATATGTTCAGAGAAGAGAAGCCATAAAGCTTCAGGAAGAACATTTCGTATTTGATAATTAGAACGTCCACAGATCTATTAGCACCGATAAACCGCTGAAACCCATAAATGCAATGTTTGCTTGCTAGAAGGCCTTCCAAAATTCAGTTTTGTTGGGTGCTCTTGTTCAGCTTTCTGGAACATCAACCCTGCAAATGAGTGTTTAGAAACCAGCCTCACAAGTGCCAGAAGCTGTGTAGAACAAAGGTATTGGCTGACTGAAGTTGAAATGCTTAATCACTTTTCTTAAAAGCAGGTGCTTGCGAACACCCTCAGTCCCTTTACCAAATGCAGCATGTCAGCAGCATTATACACATGGTGTTCAGTTTTGTTACTGGCCCAGCCAGTGGCTTCTGAGGTCACATAACCAATCTGCTGCAGCGATACACAATGCCTGTGTGATTCACAGACCTAACAAGAAGTGTGATGAGCATTTGGACTGATGCTGCCAGTATGAAGAACCACCCCTTAAGATTTTCCCCGCAAACCAATTTTGTTCCCTACCTAGCCAAGTGATGGTTGCCCATGAGTGTTCTCTTCTCCACATCACAAGCCCTTAAAAAGCTGTCTAACTAGCAGTTCATAAACGTTTTAAAATCAACTGATAGAAAATTCTATAGGTGGCATTTCCTTGTAAAAAATAAGGAGATATCTTATTACACTCCTCATGAAATAAATTCCAAGGATTATATTAAAAGGCTCAACAAAATACCTGTACAAACAATATCTAAAAACCAGAAACAGTTCACAAAGTCTATTTTATGTCCACTTATAATTGTCTTTAGAGACATAATATTTGCCTTTCCCTTGAATGTCGTTTACCTCTACTCTCATCGTCCGGTAACAGCACAGCTTTGACCCTGAAATTATTTACTACTTCTGCATGTGCATCCATAAAAATAAACATAAGAGGGGCTGACAAGCCTGAGCTCTGACCATATAAGTCTGCAGTCCAGTCTGATTGTTATTTCGCTATATGGTGGGACACTAATATTTCCCTTTAGCATTGACAAGTTCTTTAACATATATAATGCAGTAGGAGCACTTGATTAGGTGCTCTCTAACATATCACAAGCAACAGTTACCCTTCAATAGAAAATTCCCCAAAGCTTCCACACACAGTCCCTAATCTATATGGGTGGACCAGCTGCTGTTTCAGTAACTAAAATGTATACTTCAGACATGCATTTTTATGAGACTTTTGATGATACGAAAAAGTCAACTTTCTATTTAAAATTGGCATGCCACAGAAAAAAGGAGAAACCATCAAGTTTCTAGCTCTGTGATCACTTCTTTCAGCATTCTGAAATCTCTACAGGCCTCAGTACTCTACCATCACAGAATAATATCAAAAAGAAGGTGAGGCAGCCAAATGAATAATAAAAAATAGCATCATTTGGTAGAGACTAAGGAGAAACACAATTTTCAATGTATGACAGCTGTGTTCCAATTTCATTAGGGAGAATAAGAACTGAATACAATGCAAAAGAGATTTTCAGCACAGCACAGTTCCACAGTTCCAAGTGGAAATGTATTACTATGTAATGACACAGAATATCCATTTTAGAGGCTTTTAAAAGGTGTTGAATTGCTTTTCAGAAGTAATGTGGGCTTAAATCAATGCTAGTCTGAAGGAAGATGGGACTAGACAATATCCAGGCTAAAATGTTTCTAAAAACTTCTCTACAGATATGAAAGCTGCCTGCTGTCAATTGATACCATTAATATGGCTATTTCTCATTTTTACTGGGCTGAAGTTGAGAGAGGGAATGCTAAAAAGAAATCAAATGGGAAAGTAATGTCAATGACAACTAATGCACACAGAAGGTTGAGGGTCTTACTTGTACACGCACACCCCAAATTTGAAGTTACAGAGAAATCTCCATAAACCAAAGACTTACACATTCCTATGCCAAATCAGCTGAGCCACAGAGGTCACCAAGCCGGTATCATTTATTTCAACCACAAAGTGACCAAATGTGGGCTAGCTTCCCCTTCGACCACCGCCTCCCCAACCCTGCACTGGCCACCCTTCCTCTACACCCCTCAATGCAAACTTCCTTCACCATGCCTCCTTCTTCGCCCCCTCCCCCAACTTACCAAAAAGCAAAGCTGAGGCCAGTTGTGGATAAAATACCTATATGTGTAAATGGAGTAGGGTTCAGACAGATCTTTGGTGATCAGTCTCATGATATCGGGCATCTGCAGCTCGGACTCATAGCGGACGTATCGTATCGTCAGGTCCCCTTCCTCCTCCTCCACCTGCTGGGGGCCCCAGGAAGAGTCCGTGGTGGGGGGCCCCGGGGAGCATTTCTGCAAGCTGCAGTTGGAGGCCAAGGACCTGGACAGGAGCAGCAGGGACTCCTCCTCCTCCTCCTGGTGGCCTCCTCCTCCTTCCTCTTCCTCCTCCTCCTCCTCCACCCCTCCCGCTCCAGCCAGCCCATTCCTGTCCCCTTCCGAGGGGGCAGAAGCAGCGTCGTGGCGGCGCTTCTGCTGCTCCGGGGGCTGCGCAGTCCTTGCTTGGGAGCGGGGGACCCGGTGGGGGTGGTGGGGGTGGTGGTTGCTGAGCGAGGAGGGAGGCTGCTGCTGGGGGGGCAGCTCCGGACCCTCTTCCTGCTGCTGCTGCCCGTGTCCCATTGTCTTGCCAGCGGAGCCGGGGCTGCTCCTGCCGCCGCTGCCGCCTCTCTTGCTGCCCGGCGGGCGCTGCTTCTCTCCGCCGCCGCCGCCGCTCAGGGCCTTGCCCTTGAGGGGGCCGCGCAAGTGCCGCAGGTCCGGCCCGGAGATGAGCCCGTTGAGCTGGTGGTTGCGCCGGTGCGGCGGGCAAGGCCGGCGGCGGTCCCGGGCGCCTTCATCCCCGGCCTCCTCCTCCTCCTCCTCTTCTTCCTCGCGAGGCCTTCTTCCTCCGCCTTCCTCTTCTTCTTCTTCCTCCTCCTCCTCCTCTTCCTCGGCGGCTCCCGGAAAGGGCAGGAGGAGCGAGGCGGCGTCTCCCGGCGGCGAAGCGAGGAGGCTGCTAGGCCCGGGCGGAACCTCGGCCATGTCCTGAGGCGGGAAGAGACCGGCAAGGGGAAGGGGGAGAAGCGTGAGAAAGAGAGGCGACCCCCGCCCAAGACGCTCCCCTCGCCCACATGCGCCCCCCCGGCCGCCCCTTCCCCGCCGCCCCGTCTCCGCCTCACCCCAAAATCCCCTCAGCAGCAGCAGCCGCGGCGCCTCCCGCTCCCCTCCTCCGCTCCTCCTCATCCAGCGGCCGTAAAGCGAGGGCAGGTTTCCCGTCAGGCCAGGCCGCCGCCGCTCTCGCGCGAGGGCGGACGAAGGAAGAGCGCGACACTTCGCGCCGGCGCCTCGCTTTACGGCCGGGCCCCCCTCAGGAAAGGGCTGCGAGGGAAAAGGGAAGGAGAAACGGCGTAAGGAGGGGCGGGGCCTCGCCGAGAGGGCGGGGCGCGGCTTCTGCGCGCGCCGTCGCGGCCCATCCCACCCTGCGGGGCGACGCTTCCGCTCGCGCGCTGGCTTTGTGCTAACGGTCCCCGTCCTCCTTTTCTTATCTCTATGGTCCTGACAAGTCGCGGAGACTCTATGGTCAGCGAGAGAAAGAGAGGCCGATATATATCTATTTCTCTTTTAAAAAGCTGTCCCTTCACGGATAGGCCCTCGCGACGGTGGGAGAGCTGCGCAGGCGCAGATCGTGCTTTGGCTGAGGGCTAGGCGGGAACGAGGTTGAGGGCTGGGGGCGGGGCTAGCGGTAGGCAGACAAGGGGAAAGCGATCCTGTACACGTTTCTCACGACAAGGGGGGAAGACACGTGTACAGATGCATGTGAGTATGGGCGTACACGTGTGTGGTTTTCGTGAACTATATTTCTCGGGTGACTACTTTGACTAAAGCTCTTCATTACACCCCCCTCAAATTAAGATGATGGATCATCACCATCTGTTAATTAAATCACCCTTTATCTCCATGGAAGCCAAGGTGGCATATAGTAAGAACAATTATAATTATTAACTACATTTGTATACAGCGGTACCTCGGGTTACATACGCTTCAGGTTACATACGCTTCAGGTTACAGACTCCGCTAACCCAGAAATAGTGCTTCAGGTTAAGAACTTTGCCTCAGGATGAGAACAGAAATCGTGCTCCCGCGGCGTGGCGACAGTAGGAGGCCCCATTGGCTAAAGTGGTGCTTCAGGTTAAGAACCGTTTCAGGTTAAGAACGGATCTCTGGAACGGATTAAGTACTTAACCCGAGGTACCACTGTACTGTCCTCCATCACAACGTAAAAATGCAAAATGAAAACACAAAATACATAATAAGACAGAATCAAACCTACAGTATAACCCACCCACCCCCAAACACAGGCCATAGAATGTTAGTCAGCCCATAGCCTGGTTATAGAGATTGTTGTTGCTGTTGTTTTATTAATACCCTGCCCACCTGCTTCCCCCCAGAGTGGTTTCCGCAGCCACTCTGAGCAGCTTACAGTGTACATATGAAAACATGGTTTTTTCCTGGTCCGTAAACATATAAAGGGGATGCGGGTGGCGCTGTGGGTTAAACCACAGAGCCTAGGACTTGCCAATCAGAAGGTCAGCGGTTTGAATCCCCGCAACGGGGTGAGCTCCTGTTTCTTGGTCCCTGCTCCTGCCAACCTAGCAGTTCAAAAGCACAAAGTGCAAGTAGATAAATAGGTACCGCTCCGGCAGGAAGGTAAACGGCGTTTCCGTGCGCTGCTCTGGTTCGCCAGAAGCGGCTTAGTCATGCTGGCCACATGACCCGGAAAAACTGTCTGTGGACAAACGTCGGCTCCCTTGGCCAGTAAAGCAAGATGAGTGCCGCAACCCCAGAGTTGGCCACGACTGGACCTAATGGTCAGGGGTCCAGGGGTCCTAAAGGTCAGATGGTGGCCCACCTCTGGCAACTCCCCTCAACCCCTGGTAGGGGCTGGTGGGAGTTGTAGTGCAGGACATCTAGGCAGCACCAGGTTGCAGAAGTCTTTCCTCTCCATCCCCTTGGATCCCCAGACCCTCCCATTCTTTGAGGCCACCTGTTTGCTACTCAATGGACAGTTGCCTCCATGAATCCCGCCGTCTCTCCTGCCAGTGGCCGGTGTGCCATGGAGATCAAGCAGGACCACCTGCCCAGGTTTCACGAGAAAATGTCCCCTGAAAGGAACTTGGGTCATTTGCTTCAGGTAGCAAAGGCCGTGTTCTCTCGGCCTGAAGTCACAAAGCTTGCGGTGATGTCAGAACCGGCTGCAGGGTGGATGTCTGTGATCGATACTTCAACATCAATTTTGTGTCTTTTCCTTAGCTGAAGCAGTTTTTTGCTCCTCCTTCTAATTTCTCTCCTCATTGATTTTGTCTTCCTGTCTCCTTGCCTTGCAAGTTTGCTGTTTTTACCTCCCCCCTCCCAGGCAGCCTCCTTTTTTGCTAGCGTCCCTTATCTCCCTGCCCGATCGCTTGCCACCCACTTCCCTCTTTCAAAAAAAAAAAGCATGATATGCTTTTTGCCCCTGGGCAATTTGGCTCCAGGGACCACACATTCGCTCCATAAGACGCACAGACATTTCCCCTTACTTTTTAGGAAGAAAAAAGTGTGTCTTGTGGAGCGAAAAATACGGTACATAAAATAAAAACAACAACCCAACAACCTCCCATGTGAAAAAAAAATCACATTTTAAAAGGGCATAGGATCCTGGCAACTTTTAAAGTAAGACAATTAACAAACCGCTCATTGGAAAGATCATGATCTCAGAAATGTCTGCAGCAATATTTATTGGCAACCCAATTGGCTGAGTGTATGGTTTACTCCTGTGGCCTTTCTTCTCCCAAAGATGTCCTGCAAGGCAGCAGGTATGGGTTTTTCCTCGGGGTTTACTCCCGAAGCCTTTCTCACGAATGCATATAGCCAGAAGGCAGCAGAGGTTTAGGACCAGAGTTTTCCTTCTCCTAGATGGGCTACCTTCCCAGTGGACAAGCCCTACCTGCCCCTAAGGGCGGTGTAAAAATGTAATAAACAAGCAAGCAAGCAAAGCCATCTCCATCTTTCACCTAAGATGCACTCCTCTCCTGTCTTTCACCTGGCTGGGATGAAAAGGGGCAGGCAAGTTTCACCATAGGAACAGAAGAAGAGTCTGTTAGATCCAGCATCGTTTTCACCCAGTAGCCAAATGCCCTCAAGGGAAACCCATAAGTTTCCTCTGCCTGAGAGCTATGAATTGCTACTGGCAGCCAAAGCAGATGATATTGAGTTAGGTGGCCGAAAAAAATTACATATCGCAAAGTGTTGAAGCAATGATTCTTCATCAACAACTTTGTTGGACTGGTCATGTTGTGCGGATGCCTGATGATTGTCTTCCAGTGCAACTACTCTATTTCCAACTTAAAAATGGAAAGTGTCATGCTGGTGGTCAACCAAAGAGGTTTAAAGACTCTCTCAAGGCAAATCTTTAAAAATGTAGTATATAAAGAGAAATTTCCTGGAAGTAAAAATTAGGCTTAGGGGTAAAATAAGATTATGTTGTCAATAAATATTAAGGATTGGAGTATTAATAAAGGTGAAGAAGTTAGTAAATGAAAGAAGTTAATATTATTAGAACTGTGAATTTGGAGAACTGCTAAACAGGTGATAGAATGAAATTCAGTTAGAGGGGATTCGAGGAAGTCAGTTATCAGTGTAATTAAATTAGGATTGGGAAGTTAAAATCTTTTTTCTTTTTTTAATGTGTTTTCTCTTTATTTTTATGTATTGTAATGTTTTTGTTTTTTGTTTTTTCCTTGTTTATTTCTTATCTTACGTGATAAATGTGAAAATCAATAAAAAAATTGAAAAAAATAAAAATATAGTATAAACACTAACAACTGGGAAACACCGGCCTGCGAGCGCTCCAACTGGAGAACAGCCTTTACCAAAGGTGTCATGGGGTTTGAAGACACTCGAACTCAGGATGGAAGGGAGAAACTTGCTAAGAGAAAGGCAAATCCACACTGTGATCAACTTCCCGGAAACCAAAGTCCCCACTGTGGAAGGACGTGTGGATCCAGAATTGGCCTCCACAGTCACTTACGGACTCACATTTAAAACCGTGTTTATGGAAGACGATCTTACTCAGCTACCAGGGATTGCCAAAGAAGAAGATAGCCCAAGATCACATGGAAGATTGTTTTCTCCTGCTTTGGAGAGTAGGACTCGAACCCATGGCTTCAAGTTACAAGAATGGAAATTCCAACTAAACATCAGGAAGAACTTTCTGACAGCAAGAGCTGTCTACATTTTATATGTGCCTTGTTCAGATGTTGTGAGTTTGTACTTACCTTCTATCCATTGGTTGGAGGGAACCCCATTTATATTTTTCCAGTTCTTTAATACCTGTCTGCCATGCTGGTGTTGGTGCAAAAAAATGGAAAACAGATAACGAAAGAAAAGAGGCGTCTCAAACTGCTAGAATATGTGGAGTTAGCAGGTATGGCCACCAGAATAAGAAACCAAAATGATGATCCCAGGAGTAAAAAAAGGTTTTATTTAAATATGCAACGACAGCATCATGAATATTATTAGCTAAGTACTGGAAAGAAGCACGTGTTCCAGCGAAAGAAGATTGGCAAATCAAATTAATGGAATATGCTGAAATAGCTAAATTGACGTTAAAACTAAGAAGAATAGACAACAACGGATTTAAAGAAGAATGGAAGGACTTTATTGCATATATACAAAAGCACTGTACACAGGTCAATACATTGGCAGGATTTTGAAGTACTTGTAATGTTGTGATTATGAATAAGATAATAAGTAAAAACAATGACTTTTCAGGCTACAGAGGATGTGAAGAAATACAATGTAACCAAGGAAGGGTTTTTAAATATTTGGACATGAGTATATATTGTTATTGTATAAGTTTGTTATTTTTGGAAAATTAATAAAATGTTATATAAAAAAGGAAAGAAACCAAAATGATAAAAGATATAAGGAAGACTGGGTATTATTTATTGATTATATGAACAAAAATTATAAGCAGGCAATTAGCCTAGCAGGATGGTAATATTTTCAGCAGCGTAAGTTAGAACTAAAATTAATGGGATGAGCAGAGAAAGATTGGGAAAACTAAGAAGACGCGAAAGGAAGTGGAAGTCCGTCAGTTACCGTATTGTTTTTAAAAATGTAATAGAATATCTAACATGTAATTTTATTTTTCCTATTTCCTATTACTTTCGGGGGCGTTTCTTGTGTTGAAATGTATCAGAAATGCAAATTTAAAAAATAAATACCTGTCTTTTTGCAGTAGTAAGGGAGTTCATTCTTATTGTCCCCTTGTTAGGTTCCATGTATTGGGGATATAATTCAAAAGGGTATTTTCCTCTGCAAATTTAAGATATTTCCATACAGTTACATTAATTGTTTCTGTTACCCTATGCTACAAATTTGCGAATACATTGGTAAGAACATATGTTTTAAAAAAGTATTGACCCTGTTCAGGGTGGATTTGATTTAAATCAAATCGATTTAAATCACTAGTCAATAAGACTTGATTTAAATCACTAGCCAGCAAGACTTGATTTAAATCATTATTTTTTTTACAGAAAGACTCATTCTTGCTGGTATAATCTTAATATTTACAACCAGATGAAGGTTTCATTTTTGGAATAACAAATTTTCAGAGTAGTTTTTACAGTTATATCAAAAATTACTGATTTGGTTATACTATTAGAAATACATTGACAGATAATTATGAAATTATTGTGAGGTTTAATAAGTTAACTGCTTATATTTGGACAACTTTTCTGCTGTACTTTTTTTGGAAGGAGAAAAATGATCATTTCCTTAATAACAGTTAAAATAATTTATTTAACTAAAACAATAACATTATAGCAGATGTATCAATGTTTGTTAACTGATGTGGTTAAACTTTTTTTTTTTAAAAAAACCCTTTTAAAAAAATCTGATTATTTTGATTTTTTTACATAAAAAAATCATCAATTTTTATCCACCCTGACCCTGTTACATCTCCAGCAGCTAATGTTTTGTGCCTCTTGCACTGCTTTGATCTGGAATATGGAAGGCAGTTTGCATTAACAAACATAATATCGCTAGAGGGCAATGTTGCATAGCTTTCTCTGCTAGCGCTGAAAAGCACCGGGATAAATTCCCTTTCAGTTGCTCTGGGCACCTCTCCCCTCATTAAGTTTTGATATTCATACCCCTAAAAAGCGTGAATGCGGTGCACAAGTTTGCAAAGATAGGGTCTCATTGTGGGTAGGGATGGCCAAGGAATTCAATTCAGTTTACATTGAGAGGTGAACTTACTCAATCCACACTTGCGGAAGCAAAATGTAAACCAGAACCAAAACAAAATTTGCACTGCTCTGGATTTTGCAATGCAGTCACTCAGCTAAGCCTTATGAACGAAAATGGGATGAAGCGTGTTGAAAAAATGCACATATGCGAAAATAACATCCAAAATGCATTATATTGCGGGTGGGGATCCTTTGAAAATGTGTATATCAGGCAAAATGGAAAGAAATCAGTCTATTGACTTCACTGTACCTTTTCAGACACCTGCTAAACACATTTTTGTTTATGCAAGACATTTAGAAAGTTGATGTGTGTTTTAAATATGTTTTTGCTGACCATTCTTCCTTAGGCTTGGTTTCCAGACCAGTTATCCTCCTGGCCACCCTCCTCTGAAGTTTGCCTCTTTTGTCTGACTGACGAACAATTCTGGATAACCTGTAAGCCTGCATGCTCTTATATTGGCAGATAAAGAGACACACATCTCAAACCTTTCTTTTTCTTTTTCTTCTTCTTAACTTACATCTCAGATTCTCCCCCTGCCCCACACCCAGCCATTCGACTCCTGGATATCACACTGCAAAAAATGAATTGAGAAGTCAGAAGGGACCCATGTGGAACCTTTGTTTTGTTTCTATGGCATGGGTAGGCAAACTAAGTCCCGGGGGCCGGATCCGACCCAATCGCCTTCTAAATCTGGCCCGCGAGCGGTCCGGGAATCAGTGTGTTTTTACATGGGTAAAGGTAAAGGGACCCCTGACCATTAGGTCCAGTCGTGACCGACTCTGGGGTTGCGGCGCTCATCTTGCTTCACTGGCCAAGGGAGCCGGCGTACAGCTTCCGGGTCATGTGGCCAGCATGACTAAGCCGCTTCTGGCGAACCAGAGCAGCGCACGGAAACGCCGTTTACCTTCCCGCCGGAGCGGTACCTATTTATCTACTTGCACTTTGACGTGCTTTCGAACTGCTAGGTTGGCAGGAGCAGGGACCGAGCAACGGGAGCTCACCCCGTCGCAGGGATTCGAACCGCCAACCTTCTGATCGGCAAGTCCTAGGCTCTGTGGTTTAACCCACATGACCCACACATACAGCGCCACCCGCGTTGTATAGCACATGAGTAGAATGTGTGCTTTTATGTAAAATGCATCTCTGGGTTATTTGTGGGGCAGAGGAATCCATTCATTTTTATTCCCCCCCCCCCCAAATATAGTCTGGCCCCCCACAAGGTCTGAGGGACAGTGAACCGCCCCCCTGCTGAAAAATTTTGCTGCCCCCTGTTCTATGGCAGTGCAGTTCAAGGACCCAGGATCTACTGCTCCTTTTAAAAAATAACTATTTATTTACTTTTGAATGAAATCCAGACTTATTCTGTGCATAAGTGATTGCGCTTTCTGTAAGCAAGAGAAACAGCGAGCCTAGGTCTGTTCTGTCTAGAAACAGGCTTGTGACCCACACTGGGCTGAGTTATCCGCGGGTTCCTCTCCTCTTCATTTGGATATCATACACCATCTGGCTCTCTGGCAAAGCTTAGCAAAGCACCACCTGAGTGGGGCAAATTGCTGGCGGTGAATCAGCTGCACCTGTTGGGTTTTAACCTGCTCTTGACTGTGATGTTTACTATTTTATTCTAATGCATCATTGAATATTGCTTTATTTGATATAAGTTGCACCTTTTAAAGTTATTGCGGCTTTTTGCATTGGATCAGATTGTTATTAGGCGTGTGATCTTCGCCGTCTATTTTGTCGCTTCTTCAGCTTCTAAACCGCCTTGTGTATAGTAATATAGAAAGGCAGTATACAAATTAACAGTGAAATGAAATGCAACTGGCTGGGTTTGGCGGGGTTTATTGTTCCTTGCGAACACCGTTAGCTGAATCACAAATCACGCAGCGTTCAGAAGCATCTCTGCCTGGAAGTGATCTAGCCAGGAAAGTACCTAAGAGTTGCGTTTATGTTGCAGTTGGGGATTAAATGGAAAGGGAGCAGATGGTAGCAGTGACCCCTGATGAAGAATCTTTTTCTTTTTTTGCTCAAGAAGGATCCTCCGCTAAAATTGCTACTGTTCTCCCATGTCGTGCAAGCACCCTCTGGTGGAGAAAGATAGCCAGTGCAACCATCGCGCCTTGAAAACGTGATTGCAACAAGGTAAACTCACTGTAAACCATGGGTAGGCAAACTAGGGGCCAGATCCGGCCCAATCACCTTCTAAATCCAGCCCACGGACGGTCCAGGAATCAGCGTATTTTTACCTGAGTAGAATGTGTCCTTTTATTTAAAATGCATCTCTGGGTTATTTGTGGGGCATAGGAATTCATTCATTACTTTTTTTCAAAATATATTCCGGCCCCCCACAAGGTCTGAGGGACAGTGGGCCAGCCCCCTGCTGAAAAAGTTTGCTGACCCCTGTAACCATCTCGTACCTAAAGGACCGCCTCTCCTGGTATGTCCCACGGAGGACCTTACGGTCTTCAAACAAAAACATCTTGGAGGTTAGGCTGGCCTCAACCAGAGCCAGGGCTTTTTCGGTTGTGACTCCGATCTGGTGGAACACTCTGTCACAAGAGACTAGGGCCCTGCAGGACTTGACATCTTTCCGCAGGGCCTGCAAGACAGAGCTGTTCCACCAGGCCTTTGGCCAAGGCACAGTCTGACCCCCTCCTTTGGTAATCCTCATAGAACTCTAGCCCAATGGTTGCCATTAATTTGACTCTGAATTGATTTTAGAATGAATTGATTTTAGAATGTATTTCAATTAATTGATTGTGATTTTATGTAAACTATGTTATTTTTACTGTTGTTAGCCTCTCTGAGCCTGGCTTCAGCTGGGGAGGACGGGATATAAATAAAATATTATTATTATTATATTGATCCAGTGAGCAACCTGGCTTCGGTATTCCGCACTAGCTGAAGTTTCCAAACCGTCTTCAGAGGCAGCCCTACGTATAATGCATTGCAGTAATCTAACATTGAGGTTTACCAGAGCATAGGTAGTTAGGCTGTCCGTGTCCAGGCAGGGGCGTAGCTGGGCCACCAGCCGAAGCTGATGGAAGGCACTCTGTGCCACTGTGACCACCTGAGCCTCCAGAATCCAGGACCTGCTCCTTGAGAGCGAATGTAACCCCCCATCAAGAGCAGGCGACCTCCCACCCACTAGGGGACCACCCACAAATAGTGCCTCTGTCTTAATCTGGATTGAGCTGCGGTTTGTAGCTTGCGGAGACCAGAGAGCAAAATGAAAGCCAAAGACTGCAATCAGCTGGCGATTGGAGCAGATGTGTCATGCATTGCATGTCTTTTTGTGGGAGTGTAAGACCAGCCCTGCAAGATCAGGCCAGTGACTCATCTCATCTTCAATCCTGTTCTCACAGTTGCCAAGCCAGAGCCTCTAGGAAACCAGCAAGCAGGAGTTGAGCAGGGCTGGGCGATAGATCTATATATTGCCCCAAACCAGTTCAAAGTCCATATTGTGATACCAGTTTCGTAATTTTTGACCTGGCGATATATTGCAAATAATGGTGTTGGGGTGTGTTTGTGTATGTGTGCTTGCATGCTATGCAAGAATCACGATGTCTCTACACTGCACCATCCTTCTTTCAGACATCGTGATATATCGGTATATCATGATGTTTAGCTGGTGATATAGCACAGGGTTGAAAACCAGATATCCCCCAGCCTTACTGTTTGCCTCCACATACTTCCACCCTTATTTCAGACATCATGATATATCAATATATTGTGATGTTTAGCGATATGGATATGTCGAAGTATCACCCGAAGTACAGTGGTGCCCCGCAAGACGAATGCCTCGCAAGACAAAAAACTCGCTAGACGAAAGAGTTTTCCGTTTTTTGAGTCGTTCCGCAAGACGAATTTCCCTATGGGCTTGCTTTGCAAGACGAAACGTCTTGTGAGTTCTTGCGAGTTTGTTTCCTTTTTCTTAAAGCCGCTAAGCCGTTAATAGCCGCTAAGCCGTTAATAGCCGCTAAGCCGCTAATAGCCGCTAAACCGCTAAGCCGCTAATAGCCATGCTTCGCAAGACGAAAAAACCGCAAGACGAAGAGACTCACAGAACGGATTAATTTCGTCTTGCGAGGCACCACTGTATCACTTTTCTCTAAACCAAAAGGTCCCAAATGCTGCAGCTTCTCATAGGGGAGTCGCTTGACCTCCACGATCGTTTTGGTTACCCTTTTGGGAACCATTACCAGCTCTGCAATATCCCTTGCACACAGCTAAACATTCAGGTGGATGGATTGAGCCCTACAAGACAGCTGGACAACATTGTCAGCTAACAGTAAGGCTGGCTTTGCTAGAAACACATATTTAAGTTCTCCGATTCCAGAAGTCCCAGCTGCTCACAAAGGACACCGTTTCAAGGAAAATACAAGAACAATGGCATCACCTGATGCATGTTATCATTTTATTTTGCTGCTGGTGGGAAACTTGCCATATTTGCATTTTTGAGCCTGAATAGTTCTAATTTCCCATTTTTTAATTGCAGAAGCTCAAGAGGAACATTTACTTTGTTTTCACTGAGCAGTTATACAATTATTCCTTTTCAGATACTATGTGAACCATGAACCCTAATAGGCTAGGCTTTGTTAATGCAATTTGGCAGAGGTATTTACATGAAAACAGAAATCTAATGAATTTTTCAAATGAGTACATTGGTAACACAAAGTAATTACTTTTTGGGAGGTGGAGGAACCCAAAATTCATTAAACTTTTTTTTTTTTCTCAATTAGCAAAGTGACTTGCTAAATAAGCTGGGGATGGATGGAAAAGTGTTTTATTATAAACATGTTACACACATACCGCTCCCCAGCCAAACCAAGCAAATTTGCTTAGAGAGGGCAAGCTTGCCTTGGTGTTTCAAGGCCAACTGAGGGCTGAAAGTTTTTGGAAGAATTATCACAGAGCTGAGAAGGGCAAAGGTTGTGGCGTTGTAAATAGCAGCAGCAGCAAATGGTGCCCATTGAGTCTGATAGGATGAAATGCAGGGAGGCCAACAGTAGGTGGCGGCAGAACTTAATACTAACCTGCTGGATCTGACCAATGGCCCATCTAGTCCAGCATCCTGTTCTTACAGTGGCCTGTGGGGAACCAGCAAGCAGGATTCTAGCACAAGAGCACTTTCTCCTCGTTTTTGATGATGATGATGATGATGGAGGCTATCCTCCAAACCATGTGGAAAGGAATTTTTTCTGAACTCCCTCCCTCGTTTCTCTGGGCTTCTTCATCTCTTTACTACAGGGTCATCCTCCCAGATATATCAAGAGTGTTGACTTTCAAGAACTGACAACGCTGTACCTTCATTCTCGAACTTAATCTGCTCCGGGAGTCTGTTCGACTCCTGAAACGCGATTCCGTTTGGCTGGAGGAGCTTCCTGTACTCAACCAGAAGCCACATCGGACATTCAGCTTCCGAAAAATGTTCACAAACCGGCACACTCGCTTCCAGGATTGCGGCGTTCGGGTGCCGATTTGTTCAGGGTCCAAGCCGTTCAAGTACCAAGGTACCACAGTATCATCGAGTCCCACTCTCTTACTCTCCGCAAGATCTAGACTCAATCGAGACCGGAAGCAGCCCATTGAGGGCAAGCATGGATGGGGGAGAGGGGACGCACCCTCCATTTGTGTGCTGTGAACAGGTTAGTATGTACGCAGCCCAGAGTTTCATTTGTGTGAAAACCTTGCCAGTCTGTTTCTTTTAAACATTCAGCCTTTGTTGTTGTTGTGGTTTAGTAATTTATTCGTGTCCGACTCTTCGTGGCCCCATAGACCAGAGCACACCAGACACTCCTCAGTTCTTCTCTGAAGTCTTTATTACAGTGGTACCTCTGGTTAAGAACTTAATTCGTTCCGGAGGTCCGTTCTTAACCTGAAACTGTTCTTAACCTGAGGCTCCACTTTAGCTAATGGGGCCTGCTGCTGCCGCTGTGCCACTGCTGCACGATTTCTGTTCTCATCCTGAATCAGAGGTCCTAACCTGAGGTACTATTTCTGGGTTAGCAGAGTCTGTAACCTGAAGCGTCTGTAACCCGAGGTACCTCTGTATTTGCATAACAAGTGGCATTAACACTTGTTGTTTAGTCGTTTAGTCGTGTCCGCCTCTTCGTGACCCCATGGACCAGAGCACGCCAGGCACTCCTGTCTTCCACCGCCTCCCGCAGTTTGGGCAGGCTCATGTTTGTAGCTTCGAGAACACTGTCCAGCCATCTTGTCCTCTGTCCCCTTCTCCTTGCGGCCTCCATCTTTCCCAACATCAGGGTCTTTTCCAGGGAGTCTTCTCTGCTCAGGAGGTGGCCAAAATATTGGCGTCTCAGCTTCAGGATCTGTCCTTCCAGTGAGCACTCAGGGCTGATTTCCTTCAAAATGGAGAGGTTGGATCTTCTTGCAGTCCATGGGACTCTCCAGAGTCTCCTCCAGCACCATAATTCAAAAGCATCAATTCTTCGGCGATCAGCCTTCTTTATGGTCCAGCTCTCACTTCCATGCATCACTACTGGGAAAACCATAGCTTTTACTATACGGACCTTTGTTCAGCCTTTGGGAAGTGGTAAATCTGCAAGCAACACAAAAACCTTTGATTTCTTTCAGTTTGACGGAGAATACCTGAAGCCTTTACGATGGCTCTTGATGCACAGTGTTAAATACATCGGTTGGTGGGGGTCCCCTTTGTCTCTTCCCCCAGTGACCCACTATACTTTCCATAATCAAGGCCGGCAAGGGGGGGGGGCGAGGTATACGCTCTTTCCTTTTCTGAATATTCTCTCATTAGGCTGGAGGGGTGCACACCAGAAGGGCTAATTGTTGGAATCTTTAATTGTTCCCCTATGACCCCGGCTTCCCTCGGGTGATAGTGGGCCACCACTGGATCTAATAGAGAGAAAATCTGACTGCCGCTCCGACTAATGGAACACTTTCCCCTCATTTTCTCCGTGGGGGGGCTGTGGGAGTGCAGCGTTCTAATTGTTGCTCTTACGGTAATTGGAGGTAGTAGGTGTACGAATAATTTCATTGTCTTTCCTGCAAGGGGGTAGGTTTATTTACGACCTCTTTGACGCCTCTTAGACCCCGGCAGCAGCACGGCGAAGATTGCATTAGCTTTCCTTGCTGGTTGAGCAAGGGCTACCCGAAAGCTGTCATTAACTCAGGGAGAAGTCGGGAACCCGGCTGGACAGGCAGGTCTGGAGCAAATCGCGGCAGCGCGAGGTGCTAAAGAAGGTGCCGTCCTGCCACAAATCTTGGGGGTTTTCTTGGAGCCCCCAAGCCCTCTCTGCTCTGGGATGAAAAGCAGGATGGTTTCAGGCTCTTTCCTGAAAGGAAGCTAAATTGCAAAAACCTCCCCCTTCCTCGAAAAAAACCCCAATTTCCTGCCACTTTTGCCACTTTTCTGTTCGCCCTAATAATGTTTGGATCATCTTCTTTCTGCAAATGCAAGAGGGAATCCCAGGATGGTGTCGCAGCACCATGCGGCCAATCAGAGGTGGCCGTGTGACTAAAGGACAAAGAAAGCCAATTGAGAGAGAGGACACCGCGCAGTGATATTGCTGTGGCTAACCTACGGGAGGCTGGCAAGCAGGACCTGAGTGCGAGAACACCCCAACTGTGAATCCCAGCATACTGTCTCCGATATTGAAGAATATAGCCTTGTTATAGAAATATAGCGTGTTGCGCTGTGGTCTAAACCACTGAGCCTTGGGCTTGCCAATCGGAAGGTCGGCAGTTTGAATCCCCTCGACGGGGTGAGCTCCCGTTGCTCGGTCCCAGCTCCTGCCAACCTAGCAGTTCAAAAGCACACCAGTGCAAGTAGATAAATAGGTACCACTCCAGCGGGAAGGTAAATGGCATTTCCGTGCACTGCTCTGATTCGCAAGACGTGGCTTAGTCATGCCGGCCACATGACCCAGAAGTTGTCTGCAGACAAACGCTGGCACCCTGGGCCTATACAATGAGATGAGCAAGCAGCCCCAGAATTGTCCGCGACTGGACCTAACAGCCAGGGGTACCTTTACCTTTAGAGTTGGAAGGGACCATGAAGGCCATACAGTCTAAGCCTCTGCGATGCAGGAATACTTTTGCCCAACGTGGGGCTTGAACCGATGACCCTGACATTAAGAATCTCATGCTCTACCAACTGAGCTATTGGATGAGGCCCATGATAAGGCTCAGGGAGCTTCATTATGCTCAGGAGGCTGCTAGTATAATGATGATGATGATGAGCTGCCATGGATGCTTTAGCTGAGATTCCTGCATTGCAGGGGGTTGGACTAGAGGACCCAGCTCTATGATTCGATGATAATGATGATGAAGAAGAGTTTGGATTTGATATCCCGCTTAATCACTACCCGAAGGAGTCTCAAAATGGCTAACAATCTCCTTTCCCTTCCTCCCCCACAACAAACACTCTGTGAGGTGAGTGGGGCTGAGAGACTTCAGAGAAGTGTGACTGGCCCAAGGTCACCCAGCAGCTGCATGTGGAGGAGCGGGGAAGCGAACCCGGTTCACCAGATTACGAGTCCAGTGCTCTTAACCACTACACCACAAAGGCTATGGGATTCCCTTCTTCACACACACTATGTATGTATGTACAGTTTGGTTGCCAGATTTTTTTCAATGAATCTGGGGACCCTTTTTTTTTTTTGCTGCGTAGCAACAGGGAGTCAGTAGTGGGGATGGTGAGGCAAAAGACCCTGGGCCCAAGCACACATTCTCCCAGAGTTGTTTGGCAGGGCAGGAAGCCTCGAATAAAATTTAAGATATTGATGGATGCCAAAGAAGGAGGGGGATCTGCCCTGCCAGACCTTTAAACTTTGCTGTGAACCACCTGCTTTTTGCTGGTTGAGAGAATGGTTGCCTTTTGAAAACACTGAAGCGTTGGACAATGGCAGATGAAGTTGATGGACTATATGGAATTGGCGGAAATGACTGGCGAGATCCGAGACCAGGGAGAAGAGTCGGTGGAAGAAGATTGGAAAAAGTTTAAAGACTATTTATAGAAATATTGTAAAATTAAGGAATGTTAGAAAAATGTTGGAATGAAAATATATGGCTTTAGCAGAAATGTCATAAGGAATTAAGTATAAATAGATCAATAGAAAATTAAAGGAAAAGTATGGCAAGAATGTGTTATGATAATTATAGAACAGAAAACAGAGTAAGATGGAAAGGAATTGCTGAAACAAATAATAGAAGTGGAATACAAAAAGGGAGGTGGGAGGAGGTCGCTGGAAATAAGTGAATGAAATATAAGATATTGAAAATGTTTGAGGTGTTTTTAAATTGTTTTTGCTTGTTCTTGTTTGTTTTGTTAGTCCATGTAGCGTCTTTGTATTGTACTTGCATTGTTTTTTCTTTTTTTTCTTTTCTCTTTTTGTTTGTAATGTTGTGTTGGAAATGTTAAAAAAGTAATAAATATCATTTTTTTTAAAAAAAATAAAGGTGCAAAGCCCTTCTTTCACACCCTGTGAAACATAAATGCACAGTTTTTTTTACAAAACTGGGCAACGGCACGCTGCCCGCCCATGACTTCCAAGCCTTCCCTGATCTCCTTCCCCCTTCCCCCTTTGTTTTGCCAGATCAGGGGAGTCTCGGGAGTCACGGGCGGGCGGCCGTTGCCCAGGAGGGGCCAACCTGGTAGTGCAGTTGGCTCTGGCTGGCTTCAGGAGCTGCTTGCTGCCTGCTGCTGTGGCGCAGGAAAAATAGCGGGTGCCATGGCAGCGAGCGGCTCCTGAAGGCAGCCAGAGCCAACTGCGCTACCAGGCTGGCTCCGGACTGCTGAGGCTGCCGCTGCCACGTTTTCTGGGGAGAGATTTGCAAATCTGGGGACATTCTGGGGACGGAACTTGTCCGGGGACAGATTTGCAAATCCGGGGACTGATCCCCGGGAACATCTGGTAACCCTAATGTACAGTGTTTATGTATTAAATTTATATACCACCCTCCATCGAAAGCCCATAGGGCAGTCTACGGTGTAAAAATACAAAATGTAAACACGAAATAATATCTTCATAACAAGAAACAACAACAACCAATAACCTCCTCCCACAAACAAATTTAAAAGACTATAAAATGGTTTTAATCAGCCAAATGCCTGGTTATAGAGGAACGTTTTCGCCTGGCAACTTTAACCCTCTCATCACGGCGTATGTGGGGCAATGTTTGCTGGAGCAGCCAGCGGTACCTGTGTGTGTGAAAAACCTACCTGCTTACCTTTATAAACCTTTCCTATTCCCACTCCTGCTTCCGTCGCAGTTGTCTTCCTGTCCCCCTTACACCAGAGCCCTGTGCCAGGAGAGCTAATCCAGACATGAAGGGGATTAACAGGGAATACGTGGAGAATAACATAATGCTATGAACTGATAGTGCCCTTTTTATGGTTGAGATGCTTATTTGTACAGCAGTACCGAGGGTTAGGGATGCAGGTGGCGCTGTGGGTTAAACCACAGAGCCTAGGACTTGCCAATCAGAAGGCCGGCGGTTCAAATCCCCGCGACAGGGTGAGCTCCCGTTGCTCGGTCCCCGCTCCTGCCAACCTAGCAGTTCGAAAGCACGTCAAAGTGCAAGTAGATAAATAGGTACCACTCCAGCGGGAAGGTAAACGATGTTTCCGTGCGCTGCTCTGGTTTGCCAGAAGCGGCTTAGTCATGCTGGCCACAGGACCTGGAAGCTGTACGCCGGCTCCCTCGGCCAATAAAGCGAGATGAGCGCCGCAACCCCAGAGTCAGCCATGACTGGACCTAATGGTCAGGGGTCCCTTTTCCTTTACCGCGGGTTACAGACGTTTCAGGTTACAGGCTCCGCTAACCCAGAAATATTACCTAGGTTAAGAACTTTGCTTCAGGATGAGAACAGAAATCGTGCTCCAGCGGCACGGCAGCAGCGGGAGGCCCCATTAGCTAAAGTGGTGCTTCAGGTTAAGAACAGTTTCAGGTTAAGAACGGACTTCCAGAACAAATTAAGTTCTGAACCCGAGGTACCACTGTATAGCGTTTTCCTAAGTGCTCAAAAGCCCTTAGTTCACCCAGAAAGTGAAGTCACAGCATCCCTTGGAGCTGTCCAGGATATTCCCCCCAACATTATTCCAGGTTTCCAACATTACTTTGGAATAATTTTGGGATGGGGAACCAAAGACCCTCCACCTGTACTCAACTACAACTCCCATCATGCTTTGTTCATTGGCCATGCTGGGGGGGAGTGTCTGATGGGAACTGGGTTCCCCTTTGAGATGCCCATTTGTTTTTCCTGGGTGATGGCAGACAGGCGGTTGCTTTGTTCCAGGGTGAAGGTGCTCCTAACAGGTTTAGACTGGTGAAGCTGTTTTGGAAGCCTCTTTGCTGCATTCCTTCCAAATATATTCTGGGCTGAACTACAAAACGACAAACTCTCTAAGTGCAAGTTCAAAGCTTCAGCATGTTATGGAAAAATCTAGGTGTGAGGCTGCTCAGTCACCCAGCTTGTTGGGCAGAGCCCGCGGGTCCCTGTGGAATAAAGGAAGGAGTCCAGCCAACCGGAGCAAATAGCTGTAGACCAAAGTTTATTGCGCAACAGGTTCAAAGAGGAATTTTGAACCCCAAGGATGGGGTGACAATAACTTTTAAAACTTTCCCACCATATCCCAGAATACAGTTCGTACAACGTCATTGCTACATCACTGACATGTCACAAAAGTCGAGGGGTTAACCTTGGCAAACTTAGCATAAGCAGACATGGAAGGTAAGACTCAGGTATAAGATTAGCATAGACAAATATGTCTTAAATACCCACCACCCAAAAGTACAATAGAAGTTCCTTTGCATGTCTGATGCCTGAGGGAGTCAGGTAATGAGATTTGGCTTCCTTTGGCTAACAATGAGCCCAGCAATTGTCACCTCTGGGAACTTCCTGGAGTCCTTTTTCAAGGGGAAAATAGCTTTGGAATGGAGGGAGGAAACTGGGAAAGGAGATGATTTTATATTATTTCTAAAGCTAGGTAACTTCCCTGAGCTGTCAAGTTGAAAGGATACATTCAGGCATAATATTTGTAATATTTAACTTTAAAGATGTGCCCCCCCCTGTAATTTCCGTAACAAGCATTTACTGGCTATCACCTATAATGGCATGGGAGAGGGCGGAAATCTCCCAGTTACCAGAGCAGTTGTGGACTTTTTTCTCCAAAAAAAGGTATTTGCTTAATTGAGTGTTGAGTAAACCGATATATGTTCATGCAACACTTTAAAATTAAAAAGGGCAGATAACTTAAATGAAGCACGGGGGAGAGGTAGCTCAGTCGGTAGAGCACGAGACTCTTATCTCAAGGTTGTGGGTTCGAGTCCCAGGTTGGGCAAAATATTCTTGCATTGCAGAGGGCCAAACTCCTTCCAACTCTACAATTCTACAATATGACCAGTGATCTATCCAGCGCTGTATTTGTTAGTTTGCATGTCCGTCATTTTGGTTGCAAAACGGCCTTTTCGATTCGCCTGTGGTCACGCAGGATTCTGAAACAATTTGGAAAGGAAGTCTGCAAAGGGTGGAAGACGAGTGTGTGAGCTCGGATTCCTCTTTCAAGCTATTTCAGGGTTCCGGAACGGACGGGAAGATCACATTTCTCTGGCTGTTTTGAAGACGAAATGGTTGTGCTGAATACAGATTTATTTTAATCTATTTATTTGCAAAAAAATAATAATGTCCGCCCCACCAACCTTAAGGAAAAAAAGGTGTCATGGCGGCGAGCAGAATATGATCCACAATAAAACTGCATTCATGGAGCGAGTGCAAAATGCATTGCTAATCAGTAGAGCAGCTTAATACACCAAACTTAGCAGGATCACCCCTCGGGGGAAGCCTGGATGAGCAGATGAGCTTTAAGCAGGCGCCGAAATGCCAGTTCTGTAGGTGGCTGGCTGGTGTTCATGGCATCTACCTTTCAAAGCACACAGCGAAGCAAATCCAGCCCCTGTCAGTTGGCAAACAATACCGCATCGGAATGCCGTCTTCTTGGCTCGCTGTCCATCTTTGGACAACTCTCCCCCCCCAAATCACACACACTCCAGCCCCTTTCCCAACATCTCCTTCTCAAGGTGAAGCGAAATCAAGACAATCCGCCATCCTCCAAAATAGAAAGCATAAAATGGGGAGTACATAGAAAGTCAATCCTTCACTGCTCTTCTCCGCCCTCTCTGAGGATTTAGAAGCAAACAAGAGAACGAAGGAAGGGGGGGGGGAGAACAAGCTGACCCACTTTTTCCAGCTAGCAGAAAAACTCCAGAGATAAAACAGGAGAATGGATCTTTGCATTTCACAAACATCGGGGCGGGGGGACGGACCACTTCTGCATTTTGAGATGCAAAGCTTGCGGCTTGACCAGGGGTCGGCAACGTGCGGTCCATGGGCTGGATGCGGCCCACGAAGACCATTTTACCGGCCCACAAGCCGCCCCCAAACCGAGCAGCCCGCTTGGCGCATCCCCCGCATGCTGCGTTAAGCCAGTTCAGCACGGCGCGGGGACTCACCGTGTGGCACCAGAAATCGCGTCTGTGCATGCACAGATACTGGAAATCACTTCTGTGCATGCCCGGACACCGAAAATTGCTTCTGTGCAGGCGCGATTTTTGGCGTCTGGACATGCGCAAAAGAGAAGAAGAAGGGTTTGGATTTGATATCCCGCTTTATCACTACCCAAAGGAGTCTCAAAGCGGCTAGCATTCTCCTTTCCCTTCCTCCCCCACAACAAACACTCTGTGAGGTGAGTGAGGCTGAGAGACTTCAGAGAAGTGTGACTAACCCAAGGTCACCCAGCAGCCGCATGTGTAGGAGCGGGGAAGCGAACTCGGTTCACCAGATTACGAGTCCACCGCTCTTAACCACTACACCACAAAAGCTATGGGCTTTCTTTCCGGCACTGCAAATATGCGCAGATGCGATTTCCAGCATCGCACTGTGCTGGTCCGGTCCATGGACGATCTCTGCGGGAGTGATCCGGTCCATGCCCAGTAAGCCTTGCTGACTCCTGGGCTTGACGGTCATCAGGGCCACTTTGGGGACAGGGTAGATGCTGTGACATTTTTGTAGGGAGATGCAAAGCCACTGCTGGACCACCTTTCCAGGTGTAAACCTCCTCACCTGAGGCTGCAGTATGCTCTGTCTCCACAGTCGAAGGCAGTAATGCTTCTGAATGCCAGTGACTGGAAACCGCAGAAGGACGAAGGGCTCTTGTCCTCAGGTCTTGCGAGTTTACCACAGGCACCTGGTTTTCCACTGTGAGAACAGGATCCTGGACTAGGTGGGCCTTTGGCCTGATCCAGCAGGCCCTTGTTATGTACTGAGTTGAATAGGATCAAAAAAGCAGCAGTCTGATTGGTCCTAGAGCAATGCAGCAGTATGATTGGTCCGCAGGAGCCACCCAATCCAGCTCCAGGTGGAAGTGAATCCACAACCTGATTGGCCTACAGGAGAATCCCGGAATTAGCCAATCACATGCGACCCATTGTGTAAATAATGTATATAAAGCAGATATTTTGGGGAAACATTCATTCTTCACTACTATGAGCTGAATAAAGAGCATGAAATCCACACTCGACTCCAAGTATATTTCACTCTTCTTCTGTTCTCTGCATGGCACTTCAGGGGGATGTCCAGGGTGTGAGGGCAAAACAACAGGCCTTCTCTGTAGAACTCTCTATTTATCAAATCAAAAGGAAGTTTGCTCAGCACCCATCTTGTTGTCGTTTGGGTCCCTGGCAAAGACATCTTTTTAATTTCCCTTGGGAATTTAGGAACAGCAACCATGGTATGATTGCACTGTTCAATCTCCTTTTAACCATTGGTTCTGTTATCGTCGTTTTAATTTATAATAATTTTCTTATTATTTACACCCCACCCATCTGGCTGGGCTTCCCCAGCCACTCTGGGCTGCTTACAGCACATCACAATTGTAAAACATCAGTCATTAAAAACTTCCCGATACAGGGTTGCCTTCAGATGTCTTCTAAAAAGTTTATTTCATTGACGTCTGATGGGAGGACGTTCCACAGGGCGGGCTCCACTACCGAGAAGGTTCTGGTTCCCTGTAACCACACTTCTCGCAGGGAGGGAACTGCCAGAAGACCCTTGAAGAAGGACCTCAGTATCTGGGCTGAACGATGGGGGTGGAGATGCTCCTTCAGGTCTACTGGGCCAAGGCCGTACAGGGCTTTGAAGGTCAGCACCAACACTTTGAATTGTGCTCGGAAACGTACTGGGTCAATGTAGGTCTTTCAAGACCGGTGTTATATGCTCTTGACGGCCACTTCCAGTCACCAGTCTTGCTGCCACATTCTGGATTAGTTATAGTTTCTGGGTCACCTTCAAAGGTAGCCCCACGTAGAGCGCATTGCAGTAGTCCAAGCAGGAGATAACCAGGGCATGCACAACTCTGGTGTGGCAGTCTGCGGGCAGGCAGGGTCTCAGCCTGCATACCAGATGGTGCTGGTAGCCAGCTGCCTTGGACACAGAATTGACCAGCGCCTCCATGGACAACTGTGAGTCCAAAATGACTCCCAGGCTGCGCACCTGGTCCTTCAGGGGCACAGTTGCCCCATTCAGGACCAATTTAATTGCAAATCTCTTCAGGAATTATAGCGGAAGGTAAAGGTAAAGGGACCCCTGACCATTAGGTCCAGCCGTGGCTGACTCTGGGGTTGCGGCGCTCATCTCGCTTTACTGGCCGAGGGAGCCGGCGTACATCTTCCGGGTCATGTGGCCAGCATGACTGAGCCGCTTCTGGCGAACCAGAGCAGTGCACGGAAAGCGATGTGCAAATCTAACGAACCTCAACCTAGGGAGCCGGGCTACATATTACAAAGGTAGATTTCAGCACTGGCAATAGGACAGCGCCCTCTGCAGCAGGGGAGGAGAAAAGACTAGTCTAGGGAAAGCTGCTTCCTAGCACAGGTTGCCTCACTCTGCCTAATGGTAGTGCCGGCCCTGATATCCATTTCTGGCTATGGCTGATGGATCAGGAGCATCCTAAGCCCTGAGATTTCAGAGCCCAAACCTGAGACCTACAGGCAGCCCCTGGGGGTGTCAAGGAGGAAAGCCACTGGTGGTTCTCCCTCTGGGCTTCCTCCCCCCACTGAGCCTGGAAGATGGAAGTTAAAGGGGAGAGAGGTTTAAGGAGCTTAGGAGGACAGACCCCACCGCAGAGAGGCTTATGCAATAATTTGCAGCGGGCTCCTGCCAGGCTGAAGCTTTCTTTTCCTTTCTTTTCAATTTTTTTAATTGATTTTCACAAAATTAAAAACAGACTCACAAATAAACAAACAAACATAAACCATAACCTTATTAAAACTAATCTTCTTAACATTGTTAGGTGACTTACTCGTATCCCCCTAGTTGAATTTCAGTGCTTATCATTTTAACAGTTTTCCAAATCAAAGTTCTTATAATTTTAACTTAATCACTTAACATCACTCTTTCTTCCCAATTCAGCATTAAGCATAATAATTCATCACATTACTTATTTAAGTCCTAAGCCTAACTGGTAATTGCAAGCTTTTTCCAATTAATTTAACTTAACGTATTTAAATAATCATTAAATTTCACCCATTCTTGCTTCTGGTTGCGGACTCTTCCGGTCAGGTCAGCTAGCTCCGAAAAGTCCATCATCTTCATCTGCCATTCTTCCACAGTTGGTAGTTCTTGCGTTTTCCATTTCTTAGCTAGTAAAATTCGAGCAGCAGTTGTGGCATACAAAAATAATTTAACATCTTTCTTGGGCAGTTCCAAACCTGTTATTCCAAGAAGAAAGGCCTCTGGTTTCTTTATAAATGTATATTTCAACATTTTTTTCAATTCATTATAAATCTTATCCCAGAAGTCTTTCACCTTGGGGCAGGTCCACCACATGTGATAAAAAGTTCTGCCAGGCTGAAGCTTTCAAGCTGCATGCATGCTCTTATTAATAATAATAAAAATAAGATTTTTAAGGCGCTCTTGCCCACTTGGAGATTCAAGTCTTCCTGCTGCTGCCTGGAGACATCAGGTTAATCCTGGAGATCTGGCAACCCTGGATGTACAACTGTGTTAGAAAATCTGCTTTGCCACAGAAGGTCTCCAGTTCAGTCCCCAACAGCATATCCAGGTAGGGGAAGAAGAGACACTTGTATGGGCAGTCTATCCGGAAGATAATTGTATTTCGAGGAGATAGTGATCAATCTAGCAAGGTTATCCTTCCTGCCTCTGTTTGCTTCCCCTTCCCTGTCTCTTGTTAAGTTCTTGGAAGGCTGAGAACAGCTTTAATGTCCTATTCTATTGGAAGGAAGTGATGGTACTGTTATGTACTGAGCTGAATCCTAGAACAATAGG